TGCAATAAAAGTATGTTTTGTATGAGCAATCAACAAAAAATATATTATGTAAAAAGATAAATTAGCATTGTTTTTCTTGAATTCATTGAACAACAGGGGACCAGCTCATCAGAGAACGACGCGAAGCTAACGCCTACCATGCCAGTTGAATATCTCACCATCATAATACCCTATGTCCCCTTTGGGGTCTACATAGAATCGACTGATAAACCAACAACATAATACCCTAAACCGGCCATTTGTTTCTTATCCCAATAAACATCACAGCCTGATCGGACACAGCCCACAACTCGACATATATAACCTATTACAACAAAACACAACCTAGATCACCAATTATGCAACAGTACAATAGAACATAACCCAGTGTCAAAATACTCAGAACGCAATATAGCATAACCCAGCACCAAAGCCAGCATGGCGCAACCTGACTTACAACCACCAAAACACAACCAACTGTCAGATTAACACAATATGTCACAACCCAATAATAAGACAACAAAGACAAACACAACCAATTGTTGAATTAACTCAACACAGTTGTTCACAATCCAACACTTAACAATAAAAACACAATCAGGCACAACCAATAAAACACAACTACACTAACAACCATGAAAACACATCGAACTGTGAAATTATCACCACACAATTTGGCACAACCCAATGTTAAACCAACAAAAGCAAACACAGCCCATTGTTCAAGTAACACAACACATTTTTTCAAAACCCAAAACCAAACAATCAAAACAAAATCAGGCACAGGCAAAAAGAACACATTAAAATTGTAATACCGAGATTCACAACTAACTTAACCCAATTGGAGATAACGCCTATCACACAACACAATCAGACAAAACAAGAAACCTCACCCGACTAGCCACAACCAGCTAGCCAACAAACAGAACATATTCACAAGAGAAAACAACCCATTATAAGATTAACATAACACAATGGGACACAACCCGATACTAAATCACCAGACTAACAACCGTCAAAAGAGAACCAAGTCTCAAACGTACTCAACACATTTCGGCAAAACCTATACCTATTTGACACTAACCCACCATTACACAACCAGGCTTAGTCAAATACTCAATCGATTTACTCAACCCATCAAAACACAATCAGGCACAACCAATAAACCACAACGAAACGTTGATACCGATTCACTCAACTAAGTTATTCCAACTGGAGACAATCGCACAAAACAATCGGGGACAACCCGATATCTACTGAATATGTACTTGAATTACAACCCCCCCCCCCTTCCCTATCATTACATAGTATGTCAGGCCTGTCTTTACAAAAATGAAAATAGGAAATGATACGGTGGTTCGGGGAAGCTTGGGCACTTAACTTTAGGGCACTAGTCTCCCTGGACCCCCAAACGAGGCCGCTTACTATTTGACATAGATCGCATGACTTGATGCGTGTTCAAGTCATACCACGGGAAGAAGCTACCTGGCTAGAATGTTTTTCAAAATCATTCAGTTTTTCATCATACTGAGCACTTCTTGGGAGTTTTAAGCCAAAAAAGCCCCCCCCCCCCCTTTGCCACAAGCTGGATACGGGGAAGAGTGATGCGGGGCGCCATCTTTAGACCCAATATCACATTCATTGTCGAGGTCAGGAACAAGCTACTATACTCAAACTAAGCCCAAGACCCTGCTCTATATGAATTCGGAGTGTGACTTAAGGCACAAAATATATATTCAGGTGACCTAGCTGCTAACCATTGGTTTGATGTCCCTAAGAAATTGACTACGGTATTACTATTGACCCCAGAAACGATAGCCTTACATCTGCCTATTAGCAAATGTGACTAAAGCTTTATTTGCAAAAATTGCAGGCCCATCGCTAACACCCCAGTCACATTTTCTGCGGCCGCCGTGTGGTCTATCATTTCTGCGGCCAGTTGCTTTTCTACGCTCGCCGCAGAATTTCTACGCTCTCATACTTTTGCAGTCACATTTTCCACGACATAAATGGTGACGCAAGGTCACCGTACGGTCTCCCTGCGGAGAGCGTAGTTTTTTGCAGATACAAGGGCATATGCGGCAAACGTACGTTGACCGTTCTGCCTTTTGGCCTCTACAACAGCCGTACGCACTTTTAATAGAAACATTGATACTCATTTTGATTTCATTTACATCATATATTGTGAGTACAATTTATAAATGTTATTTATAGGTCTACATGTAGGATCTTATATGTAAGAAAAAGTGTTGAGTGAAATATGGACCAATAGTAATATAGTTAATCTTTTATATAGAGGTTGTTGTGGTATCAGTGACCTTAAATGTGGCCCCATATTATGACAACTGTAGTAAATGCCATTACATTTCACTCACCATGCCTCCAAAGAAGAGGCAACACGTATCAAAAGAAAGGAACAAAAAGAATGCCATCCTTGATGATTCGGGTGATGAAGATGATTTCTCTGTCACCCAGAAAATAGTAGAATTCTATGAGGGACATCCATCCATCTATTTGATCTCCGGCATGAGAACTATCGCAATAACAAACCAAAGGAGGCAAAGTTGGCCGAGTTGGCAACAGATATTAAATGGAATGGTCAGTAGAATGAAAGCAGAATATCTACAGTAAAAAATTCAAAACAAATCAAAATGAACAAATCAAATTATCTTAAATTGGAATGCTCTTGGCTCAGACATCTTTCAGAATAAATGTTTGTGTATTGTATTGTATCCTTCATTACCACATTATTTCTATGTGAGTACGTTACAATTTTCAATATTTTTTTAAAAGCATATTTACATCAACAGGTTGCGTTTTTCATACATAACATAACCTTGGCCTTTAAAATCAAATTGAAATAATCAAAATCTGGAGTACATTATCTTTTCCCATTTTAAAAAGGGCTAGTAGAGCTACCCTTTCAGCATCTAGAGAGCAGCTATAAGGTAATCCCGACCACGTTGCACTCGCCTCAGCTGCATTCTCAGATAACCCAACCTGAGTCTTTGAGGTACAACAAGCGCCATGTAACAGTATTGACTTGTGTTCACAGCAAATATATGATAGAAAACCTGACCTAAAAACGTGTTTCCTAAATTACATAATCAAAACCCTACGACAGACGCAAGTCAACCGCAAGCCCGACGTGCGGCCACCGTGCGACCTTTCTGCGGTCTGGCTACGGGCTGTTGATTTCTACGGCGACCTCAGAAATGAACAAAAATTATAACAACCCAGTCACATTTGTCGCACGGCGGCCGCAAGTCGACCGCAGATCAATTAAATCGGTGAATTTCTGCGGCGAGCGTAAAAAAACTACGCTCGCCTTGCGGCCTACGTACGGCGAATGCAGATTTTTACAGGCCGCAGGGAAGGCGTAGAAATTTTAACTCGGAGTTATAATTTTTGTTCATATCTGAGGTCCCTGTAGAAATCAACTGGCTCAAAAAGATTGAATCATTATTTGTCAATGTTTCACGATCACTTTTCATTTGATATTACATCCTAGCACTATGAATAACAGTTATAAATTGTCCCAACGTAACACCCCAGTCACATTTCCTGCGGCCGCCGTGCGGTCTATCATTTCTGCGGCCAGTTGCTTTTCTACGCTCGCCACAGAATTTCTGCGCTCTCATACTTTTGCAGTCACATTTCCCACGGCAGCCGCACGGTGAATTTTAAATGTCTGTTGATAAATAATACTTTTTTCATTTTATTTACATCAGGACAATTTATAAATGTTATTCATAGTGCTAGGATGTAATATCAAATGAAAAGTGATCGTGAAACATTGACAAATAATGATTCAATCTTGTTGAGCCAGTTGATTTCTACGGGGACCTCAGAAATGAACAAATATTATAACTCCGAGTTATAATTTCTACACCTTCCCTGCGGCCTGTAAAAATCTGCATTCGCCGTACGGAGGCCGCAAGGCGAGCGTAGTTTTTCTACGCTCGCCGCAGAAATTCACCGATTTAATTGTTCTGCGGTCGACTTGCGGCCGCCGTGCGACAAATGTGACTGGGGTGTAAATAAAATGAAAAAAGTATTATTTATCAAAGAAATTTTAAATTCACCGTGCGGCTGCCGTGGGAAATGTGACTGCAAAAGTATGAGAGCGCAGAAATTCCACGGCGAGCGTAGAAATGTTACTGGCCGCAGAAATGATAGGCCGCACGGCGGCCGCAGTAAATGTGACTGGGGTGTAACTCCGAGTTATAATTTCTACGCCTTCCCTGCGGCCTGTAAAAATCTGCATTCGCCGCACGGAGGCCGCAAGGCGAGCGTAGTTTTTCTACGCTCGCCGCAGAAATTCACCGATTTAATTGTTCTGTGGTCGACCTGCGGCCGCCGTGCGACAAATGTGACTGGGGTGTTTTAATCAAATTTATCGGCAGATAAGGCTATTACTTCATCAAAATTAGCACGACACACATGATAACATATGTGTGTTACTAAAATTATACATTTAGGAAAAAATTTATCAAGATTTGAAGGACAAAATAGATACGGAGACAACTACGCACAGAAAGTGTTAGTTTACGTACTTTCGGTATTGCTGTTGGTATCACAAACTTATTGAGTACACTTTTACTCCATCGATGCGTTACGGATTTTGATACGGGTAGCTAAAACGTTGTGCGAAACATGTACACTGTAATTATTGTAATACCATTCCATACAGTGTAAAATGAATTGAACATAGCATTTGAAAAACTCAATTTATTTCAAACAATAAACAAATTCATTCACCAAATTTTAGTCAAATTATACACAGCACACTGTGCTTGTTCATATAGTGATACCTTTAAAACTAAAAACAATATAATCGAAGGGTAAAATCGGATACGTAAATGACCAACGTACAAAAGCCTCATTGTTCGTGTTTTCCGTATCATTTCACGTATAAATTGAACTGACTACGCATAAATCTGATAAATACGTTACGGATACAGATCCGTGGAGCTAAAAAACGTTTTGCGAAACCTCTCTATTATTAACAAAATACTTACTTATTTCATCCGTGAGTAAGCATTTGTGACTCGGGGCACTGACGAGAGTATTGAGCTCCGCACTGACATCTATACAGTGAGATTTCCCAGGTTGCAGATTTGTCAAATTCACACCGTATCCATCCCCAGATCGTTCAACATTACCAATAGTACCATTAGAACCAGGTGGTAGTGAAACAATGTACTTGTCTACACCTTTCTCACTCGTTGAGTTGGCCCATGTGATAAACATGTGGTAGGGCGACCATGTTGGAGGTTCTCTTATTAATTGTATTTCACCTGGAGGACTAGGTTCTGTAAATAAAAAAACATATAATATCTAATATTGAAATGCCAGCATTAATTTAGTTTATATTTATCCGTTATATATACACGTACCACCAGACACACACTGGAAGACTTTAAAATAATATGGGAGGCTTTGAATATGGGGTTTATCCAGAGGGAGATACACACATCTACCTGAGGGAGCGTAGGGACCGAAGATAGATGTGCATATCTCACAAGGGATAGACCCCATTTCCAAAACCGATCGTACATAACTGCTTTATCCTATACACAGTAGAGTTTTCTAATTTGAAAAAATCTCATTTTTTCAATTTATTTTTTCAACATTTTTTCAAAGAGAGAAGATATGCCCTGAAACGGGAGTTATGGTGGAAGATATGGAGGTTCCGGATATGGAAACCTCAAAATCAGGATACGGGATATATCTTACCAACTTATCTCCCCAAAACGCTAATGGGTATGAATAAATACATATCTAAATTATATTAGTTCACCAAAATATAGAAAAAATAAAAACGTGATTGTGTCTATAAACTGCATGCTTGAAAACATATTAACATATTAAACTAATTAAGGGAAAACCTAATGCAAATTATATTGCTCTGAAGACTAGTTAACGGTGTGGAAAAAATCAGTTTACATTTTTCACCACCCCTTTTCGTATGATTCTTCAGAGTGCAGAGTTCTTTATTGTTCCTAGTCTTACGCAAAATAGTGTATACTATCTTCGAGTTGTTCTTGTGTCTTAGAGTCAGCCGTTTAATATATGAATATCTTACTTGTCAGTTGACCTGCTCCTCCATTTGCAAAGGCGTCTCGGCTCTCCTGGGTTGCCTTACGAGATCGCACACTTAAATTGTATAGCCTTCCTGGGTACAAATTCGTAATTGTGAAGGAGAAAGGTTTTTGATAGAGAACGGTATTATTTTCATTATTCTCGTCAGGTGGTGAAATAATAATACGATATCCATCGTAGCCTCCCTTTGGTTTTCTCTCTGGTTCTTTCCAATCTAACTTGATTGATGTGTTACTAATAGCATTAGCCACCACACTCCCAGCCAAAGGCGGCAATGGTTCTAAAATATATGAGTAATTTACTTAAAAGCATACTTATGAGACAAAATGTTGATTTCATTATTATGAATGCCATTTAGCCTTTCGTAGAAATAACGAATTCTGACTGAAATGGGTTATCATTTCATTATAAAAATCATCAAGCATTGTAATAAATTGGAAAATTGAGGGCAACTGGATCCACGAAATCGTTCATATCTATGAGATTATAGATACTTATACCCTTCACTTTTTCTCCGGATTTTACGTTTATCAAGTAATATCGATGATCAAAATTTTATAAGCAGTTAAAATAGAGCTGTAGATAATTACTTGTCAGTTGAGTTATAGTGATGGTCCTGCTACATTGTACCAATGGTATGCCGGTATCGTTAACATATGTTCTGACTCTGAAAGTTATATTCGTAGCTGGTTCAAGTCCACTCAATGTTATGGACGTTGCACTATGTCCAGCTGATATAGATGTCACGTTTGGATCTGCGACGTAATCTAAGTCATAACCCGTATAATGCCCAGTTGATGGTTTCTTCCAGCTAATAGTGATACTTGTTTCGTTGATTTCTGTACCCTTCACGTCCCTTGGGGGATATGGTCCTGAAAATAGTGAACTACATAGAGTATTTTGAAAACATAAACGACAACTAGATAAATAATCCATTACGATATGCTTGACTTATCCAATTGTTTTGAAAGTTACTTGCTACGTTTCGGTAGACTTCGTCCATCTTCATTAGGCACTTCTTCCGGGCACTTTTCTGGCTGATGGATGTTAGTTCGCCAAGCCACCGCTCCAAAGACGCGTTGCGGTCGGGGATTAAGGATGTTAGCTGGTTGGGTTTGTAGCACCTACACTCAATTTTTTTATTCTGTGAACCAGTTCATTTGGTTAAAATAACGAAAGAATGTGATGTAACCACGTGTCTACTTACCAGCTTGTTCTATGTCATCCATCGGACTAAGTTACATTGTGGAACGCTACCGTTTTTTCAGAAATCTACCGTAAAAACTCCCGTTTTTCCGAAATCTACCGTAAAAACTCCCGTTTTTCAGAATCTACGGTAAAAACTCCCGTTTTTCAGAAATCTACCGTAAAAACTCCTGTTTTTCAGAAATCTACCGCAAAAACTCCAGTTTTTCAAAACCTACCGTAAAAACTCCCGTTTTTCAGAACCTACCGCAAAAAGTCCCGTTTTTTCTGAAGTCTTCCGTAAAAAAGTCACGTTTTTAAAAATTTACCGCGAAAAATACCTTTTTTTAAATCTCCCGTAAAAACTACCATTTTTCAAAATCTCCTGTAAAAACTCCCGTTTTTTCAAAATTTACCGAAAAAACTCCCGTTTTTTAAAATCTCCCGTAAAAACTACCCTTTTTAAAAAAATCTCCGGTAAAAACTCCCGCTTTTTTCAAAAAACTCCCGCAAAAACTACCGGATTTTGAAAAAAACTCCCGTAAAAGTACCGCAATTTTTTTAATCTCCCGAAAAATTTTCATTTTAGGTTGGCAAGTCTGGATATGTGCAAAGTCGCGAATAACGAAACGACATCATAAGATATAAGCATCTCATCCTCTTTGACTAACGCAGGTGTGAAGAATTCTTAATAAAGTTACCATTCTTACCAACCATAAGAGCAAGAATATCATCAAATTTACGTGAAACTTTGTATCCTATAGGACCTGTGTAGTCTACAATGGGCCATAAGGCCTTTATAATCGGATAAGTCAAGCATATCGTAATATAAAACGCTAGCCAGATGAACACATTCAATAATAGACACAACTAGATAAAGTTCCTAAATCACAAAGACACACTACCCTACCACGTTGCAAACTGCTCGATGAATATATACGATGTCGTATAGTAGAACACTTAGAATGTAAAATCTCGTATACCTTCAGAACCATGAAAATAAACAAACGTCCTCCATTTGCAACTTCGCTGCAGCCTATATTTCCTCTAAAGGAATACAGGATATAGTATGGGGGTATAGTAGTGTGATAGACTCTCCTTGTTATTTATTCATGTGTCATTTGATTTATTTAGCATGTGTTCATATGGTTTGCTATGGTCACTTATTATATGTCATCGCCACTCTTTTTACAATTTAAGAATGTACATGTTTTTTGCTCTATGCCAGTTTTGCATACGCAACATTATAACCTCCATTTCCCTCGCCATCCATCATGGATGCGTCTTAGATATTTTAATTTTAGACTTTTAAACGTTCTATCCTGTACTTATTTATTTTATTTATTCTGTTATCACCAGGATATGATTCACGGAAGGGTGGATAAATTTCGGAATATTTGATATCTTTTCTAGATCTCTCTGGTCCCCCGAGAAGATGTTATATCGTCCCCCTTTTTTATCACCAGAGTACCAAATGTAAATCCCCCGTAGGAATGTGTAAAGGCTTTATCAGTTGGACTGAGAGTTAAGCTTATATCGGTCCTTCGGAAAGATAACGTACAGTCTCTTTAGATAAACCATCCCTCCCTAACAGGGGTGAACATAGTAGAGAATTTTGGTGAGTTTCATGTTCGAATCATAATATAGACCCCAGAGCAGGTATAATGTCGAGTAATAAATACCTTCGACCTAGGCTCAAAAGCCTAACTGCATTCGATCGTTCGGAGTACAGAAAACGCTTGTGCCTGACCCTGCGGCATTTATTCCTCGATATAATACCTGTCCCTTGTTCTATATTACGATTTAAACATGAAAACTCACCTAAATTTTCGAATATACATATAACGGTCCACCATTTCTTCGGCCCTCTGTTTTGACGTCGCACATTCCTCGTATTACCAGGGGTATTGTTCGCGAATATAACCCGGGTGAAATGTTAACTTTGTTCACAGATAAAGGCGTGGATAAAGTCATGTTCGAATTTTATAAAATACATATGAATATTAGATGGATGCCTGCCAATTTATATCAATTGAATGTTTCTCCGGTGTACACGGAATGGTAAAATGTGAGGTTTTCTTCGAGTATTTACGGTTGAACTCACGAAAATACCCCTCCTCTTTATCCACCTCTTCACCGGAAGCATAGAACATGAAACCCGTTCCTCGTGTAATGTACGCATCGTTTCTTGAAAGTTTCTGAAGAGAAGCATTTCAGCCATTACTTTACAATACATGTTAAAGCTGAAAGAATAGTTGTTTTACATTTTAAGCACATTCGTACATCATTTATCGAAGAGAATTTTATTTACTTGTTATTGCATCCTTTATGGGTGACGATTCAACAACGCTGTAGTTTACATACGTAACTTCAATCCTAACATTATACCTAGCACCCGCGTGCAGTCCTGTTAAGTTGATATGACTTTCGTTCCTATTATTAACATCTATAGCAATGAGAGTGGGATTTGCTTCATACTTCTGGTAAGACACTGACAGTTTCGTTGCTAGTCTTTTGAGTTCTTCCCATTCAACTACCATAGATGTTTCGGTAACATCGCTGATACTGAAGTTTGTAATTGGACCAGGGCCTAAGACAGAAATAAATCATCAATCAAATATTTGTGTTATATCATACTTCCCCCTCTATCTATGTGTGAACGTGCAGCATATAGTAAATTTAAAACGTCTGAAGTGCAATACAAAACAAAATGACGGATTTATTTATTTAGTGAGTTTAACACAATTAAACCTGAATATGATGAGTGATCATCCAACAATGAGTAGTGTACTATCGAAATCATTTTTTCGTAAGTGTGTTAATGATAGTGAAAGATATATTATCTGAATAAATTACAAGTGGAAGCAATCCTTACCAGTTTCTATCACTGGTGTTGAATTTGTACAAGTGGTACTGTTCAGATATAGCTCACCAGTCCTTTTTACGGAATACACACAGAATGTATAAAACCTGGATGGGATCAAATCTTTGATACTTTTGTATGTGTATCCTTCTGTACGAGGGAACATGGTTTCATCGTTCACAGTGTTCTGATCTATTATGTGCACTGCTCTGTAATGTGTCGCCTCTTTTTCTTCGTCAAATACGCTCAGTGTAATCGTAGTTGATAACATTATAGCTTTAGCACCAATAGCCCTGGGTTTATTCGGAACTAAAATAAATTAGCAATAGTATATATTAAGGCACCAGAACGCATTCATATATATAGATTGAAAGAATTAATTAGTGATATTATCCAATTAAAGGGTTACGCAAAGCTTCCCATATAAACACTGTAATAAAAATAATATGGTGGCACTACTGGATCAATTTTGAAGAAATTCGGGGAGTGTGAAAATTTCCACTTTATTGATATTGTCTTCCTAAAGAAAGTTTACAATCTGTAAGTATTAAGATTTTGAATCAACCAGATGATTCGTGTGCTTGTATTACAGGATCCGCATAAGACCATACTTTGTACAAATACTTGCCAGAGGTCATCAAAATATAAAACAGTGTGATTCATTTAACCGATAGTAAGACTAGAATCATATACAATAAATGTCTCTAGAAAGTGAAAGTAATTATATTGTAACCGAGTGGGCAAGAGACCTGTATCAAAATACTACTTTATATATACAGTAACAAAGGATTTCCGAGATGAACGACCTGTCGAAAGGCAGTCATTTGACAATTGATTAAAATAATATTCCTCATTTCTTAACTAGTTCAATAATTACAGTCAGTGTTGTCCACCACATAAATAACTGTGGTCAAGTTGTCACTGTGCCAGGCTGGAGCTGTGCCAACAAATCTAGTGTTTTGATAATTATATTTTAACTGGTTTGATTGGCTTCATTGAACTAATTCCTCTCCCTATCAAAGAAGACATGTTAGTCATTGGTTTAGACAATTGGGTCATTAATCTTATCTCATGCGATCAAATGAAACAAAGAATCGGTGCATCTAATTCTGTACTAAATCCAGAACACGGCCAAAAAAGGTTCAACCGAAATAACAATTGAATACGATACAGAGAACCATAAAAGACGATTGATGCATAACATCCGAACCAAATCTACAAATAACTGAAAATGACATGATATTTTAAAACAATGGGGAAGGTACAACAACTGTTAAAATGGCACAATACACATCTGTTACACTATAGTATATACAAATAATCAGTAATCAATGGCTTTGTATAAAAAACCTCCTACCCACGTACCCTCGTACCCACGTACGTGGGTCCTGACCCAGTCTTTAAAGAGTTAAATCTTTAACATTTTTTAAACATTATTCTATCTCAATGTATGCTTAATTATGGATGAATTTATGTACCCATATGCCTTTATTTCTAGATCGGACATCTGTCTCGTCATAAAATAAAGCCGGCATTGCATAATGTTCATTTGAGCTATTTGAGTGTTGTTTTTGATACATCGAAGCGATTTTTTGTTGATCGGACAGTCTTACAGTGTACAACCAATCTATTGCTTGACACGTTAATCACGTGGGTAGCCCATTGTCTGATTGTGTTTTCCTTACTTTTAAAATTAGTAAACAGTGTACTTTAGCGTTTGAAAGTCAATAATACTACACTCAGATTTTAACTTAAGTGTCATGGTCAGAAACTCATACAATGGTTTGTAACTACATACACAGGCTGCTAAGTGTCTTCATTCATTCAGAGACATACTATGATTATTTTGCCTTCATATAGATGTTTTTGCATACTAGTATATTGTCTTCATATAGGCTCTTAGTCTGGATGTAGAGTGCCATAAAAACTAAAAGGAAGAGTTACAGATGAATGATACTTGTAAACTAGGTTGCACACTATACTGTATACATGTATATGGATGTCCATTCTGAGGTTAAATTTTCATTTTACAATAAATGTGAAATTACAAAACAATAAATGTGAAACCTTTTGGACAAGGTAGTTGTCAATGCATGTGTAAATTGTTTTTTATTGAAGCTAAAATTTTAAGCCGATCAGGAATGATAGATCAAGGATCATTATCTCAATTTAGCTGTAAATGCAAGAATCTCAATCAACAATGTAAACTAGAAAACGGAAACATCATAGAGTATAAAATCCAAAGGAACATTGATCTGTACAATAGTATGTCAGATTTTGGTATTGCTATCTACTCTATCCTTTATTTGCAGATTATTAAGACAGTCGGTGATTCAGTATATCAGAATTTCTACGAATTTAAGCATTCGGGAGACCATTTAGGAATACCAAAGGCACAAATTATAAAAATAATCCAATATTGTGTAATGTAGTATAACATACTTCGATTATATCTATAAATTATAGCAAAATCCAATATTAGGGAGCCATTTTTAATTTTCAGAGGCCCAAATCAGGAAAATTATACAAATCGGTAATCTACTTTATGTAGCTGTCATTTTAACCTTTACTTATAAGAAAGATATCAAAATTGACGATCAATCATGTTTTATCAAGCGCCTCGCCCCCTTCATAGAAATGTTGAATAGATACACTGCCAACGTTTCAAACAGTAACACTTATTCTTTTATAAATAGTTTAAAGAAATTCCGTAAAACTATTCACCAATATCAATTTTCCACCAAATATCAACAAAATCCATCCACTAATATTCAAGACATGTTCCGGACGGAGGTCCTCGCTTTATCCCTATCAAACTTAGTTCGAGGAGGACTGTTACATAGTCCGTGATCTGCTCCAAAAATGAAGTTCCCACAAACAATACTGCAATTCAAGTATGCCTATATCAATCAATTTTGATTAACAAAAGAGTATATAATTTTGAAAAATATAAAAAAGATGAAGGATGCAAATGTATAGATCTGCAATAGTACAAATTCTACATTGTGAAATGTTTTGGTGTCCATACATTCCAAGTGATAATAAAAACGTCTGAAGCTTGAAAAGGTGACATATATAATACATGTATTATAAAGATACATGTATGTTAACAAGGTCACAAAAATGACAGCCAAATAAATATCAATGCTGGCTTTGAATATTATGATATCCCCATATAAAGTCAATAATGGCAATAATGCATACCTGTAGCCCCGTCTGAAGTCAATGCATCTTTGTTCAAATCATCATTAATTTTACTAGGAACACTATCTTACTATGGAGTAGCTGTTTTTTATAGCGGGCACCCGGACAACAAACTCCTTATCTACAGGTCTTAGGAAAATCAGATCTATTATGAATGGATAGGGTTGCTTATGCCTTGGTCAGATTTGCTTCGATTTTCACTACGGCGCCCGGCCGATTGAGTATTTCGTTCAGAATTGAATTCACTTTTGAACAAAATACTCATTGGCCGGGCGCCGGTGCTGAAAATCAGGGCAAATGTGACCATGGCATCAACTAATGATGCTGGCGTAGTAAACAAGGTAACACATTATAAAACACTGTCCTCCGCCATACTGTAGCATGTATTTCTTAAAATTAATTACAGACTGAAGTGAATTTGCAAATGTTATCCATGGGGCTTTTCTGCCACCTTGCAAACTGCTCGATGAATCTATGTAATGCAAGGGAAGAACACTTGGAATATATGTAGCTAAAATCTAGTATACTGTCCCGGGTATACTGTACCTTCAGAACTATGGAAATAAACAAACGTTCTCCAAAGTTTGTAACCTCTTTGCAGCACCCTTTGAAGAAATAAAGGCTAGCCTACAGTTTGGGGGCAGGGGCAGGGTAGTGTGATACGTACCTTTAAGTTCTACATAACTTACCTAAACAGTAAAAACTCATGCAGATCTGCCGTTCAAGTAGCACTGTTCGTCGTGTCCGACTGTTGCCTTCTTGTGTTCACACTTGAAAAGTTGCAAAGTTGCAAGAAAAGGGTTTGGCAACATTTACTTCCTCTCATTTCTTACATTTGTACTCCAGTCAGGAGAATGCAAATCGAAATTACTTGCACCGCAATGGAAGCCTAATAGACGAATGCAACAAAATTAGGTAAATAACATGAATAATCTAATAACGAAATATTTGAAAAGTAGAAGGATTCGCTATATTCGTTTTTAATCGCTTTTTGGCACAATTTAAGGATAATTGTGCGCACTAGTTCAGTGAATCATTTAGATGGAATTAAAAGTTAGAGTTGCCAAACTTATGCAGGGGAGTGTAAGTTTGGTTTTGTAAACTTCGACATTATTCATGGCCGTTTGATCCATAATTAGGTAATATGAAGAGTAGAGTTTTATTTTGACAATGATTTGATGTAAAACTGGTTTGAATGATAAAAGTTCAGCTTTGTAGTTTCTAGCTTTTTGCGCGTAAAACGTGAATACAATGGACAACAACGACACCAAATCTTTGACTAACATACGTTAATAACGTATAATATTCGTAAGAATGAATTCTAATAACATTTGAAATAAACATCTAATAAAATGTGGTGAATTTAATTGGTTGGAAACTCTAAGAAATATATTTTTAAAAAGATGTCAACTTTTGGACAAGGGTAAACTTCCCGGGACATTTACAATCTGCATGAGGTAACCGTGAGGCACGGATTGCACTGAACGAAGGCTAGGAGATTGCTAATCAGCACTGATGTGTTATACAGGTAAGACTGCCCGATCAACAAAAAACATTTCGACATATCAAAAACATAAATCAAATAGCTCAAAAATAATGAACATTTATGCAATTCCGGCTTTATTTTATTTTACTAGAGAGATGTCAGACCTATAAATAAAGGCATATGGATGCATAAATTCATCTATAATTCAGGATAAACTGAGATTGAATAATGTTTTAAACATTTAAAAATTTAACTCTTTAAAGCCTGGGTCAGGACCCACGTACGTGGTTACGAGGGTACGTGGGTAGGAGGTTTTTTATACAAAGCCGTAATCAATGTAATTCTCGATGGTAACAAAACATCTATCATTGTCAGTTGGGTGCTAGACTTCATAATATGAACGACCTAATGTCAATGAAATATAATGCAAATATCGTCGGAACTGTTTTCTGGAAATTCAAAAGTGATATGAAGAAGCCTCTCATCAACGGCAGTATTGATTTAGCATGCAGCATTCTAAAACCTATGAGCTATATTTTCCAGCGCAAGAGGAATATGTTCTTATAGTGCTAGATGTGAGAGAAAGATATTATGCATCAGCTGTTTATTCTAAACAATCGGTTAACAAAAAACATAGGACTATTTGCAATTTCTAAAAACAGCGGAAGAGTTGCACATAAATGAGTTCAACGAGTTCATTGTCCAATTACGAGATATAACTGGTCTGCCAAAAACTGTTATTTTGCCTGTAAACCATGATTAAGTCTTAAACTTCTCCTGATTCTCCTGTCTTCGAATGGAAGTGAAAGACACAATGATGCCGCTCGCGAAATCATGAAATATAAATTTCGGTTTCTCGATTTTCCAAAATATATTACTTATTGTCCATGCTATTAGATATCAAATTGATGCCCCTTTTAGTTTATTTTTAACGACAAAAAGACTTATCCCTCTTTGATCTTGTGCACTTACCGCCTTGAGCTGATGCAGCATAAATCTGAAATGAAATTGAATATTCAAATAAGGTTAGAATGTACGAGGTTAAGGAACTTAATGACATAACTGGGGAATATCTATTATTCTGTTGAGCTCAAAAACTAGGAATATTGGCCCTTCTTCCTATCTCTACTCGGGAAATGAATAATATTTGAACAAAGTAAAGATCAAAAACCTAGTCATTTCTCAGTGAAATCGTCAAAAAATATTCAAAATACAATTGTCTGAAATTGGTATTTCTGTCTTAGCCCTTATTTGAGCCATTTCTGGATTGTTTTTCAACAATTATCATTAATATTTCACATCTACCCATTTTTCTTGAACAATTGTTTCAAATTTGATGAACTGACTCGCTTATTGGTCAAACTTTAAAAAGAGAGATTTTCTAATTTTCATTTTTGAATGATTTTGTGTCAGAGCATGCCTCTGTGGAAAATGAGATATCTTTTACTTTCCACGTTGTTGATGCTATGCAAGCATACCAATCCTTCTTTCATTGGACACTCTATCTACACACAAAAATTATTAATAGTGAATATTCCTTCATAATTGAGAAAGTAATTTCAAAATAAGTTTGTGGCATTTTTTGTGTCACCCTGTACATTCAAATATTTTATACATCTCTTTGAATTGAATAATCTGAACTAGTTTTCCGAGACAGAAGATGAAAATAACTGATCATCTTGAATTATGTTAACAGTTTCTAAAGATTTAACGCGCTAATTTGTAATATATTGGAAATTCTGTAATTTGATCTACTTTTTCGTTTTATCATTTTTTATTCAGGGGCCAATACAATGACACTTTCTACAGAAGTTGTTTATTGACCTTTTGGGTTCTATTTTAATTTTATGTTAATCTACAAGGAGGACTAAAAACCAAAGCTAAAAAACGTGGCATCGTACTTTGATCAAAGTGTTACCTGTTATTGGAAGGATTTGTTACGATATGATTTGACATTAATCATTTATTGATATAGTGTACAGCTATTGGCATTATATATTACTCAGGGTTAAGAAAGTGAGTTGTGGGATAGGCTAGAAGATGTTCTTCCTAAGTAGCTACTCTAATAAATTATTTGGATCAATCTGTTTTTCATGCACACGTTGATCTGAAATATATTTTTGCTCAATTATCATTTTATTCAATATGAATAAGCATATGTTTGGCATTGTATTCTAAATAATAATGTCTCGTGTTTTCAAATTATACCCGATCACATGAAAGAATTACCATTGATTTTAGATGCAGAATTGTCCAGATTCATTAGTATTACAAAGGAGTGGCGTCTAGCTTATCATATTCATTTAGAACATTTTTCTGGTGCAACGAATTGCAACTTATAAGGTAAAGACACGGCAAGATTGTTCAATCAGAAACTTAGAATTTTGGCACACCCTTCACATTTCGGACTACTTTGTTTAGATGTATAATACCTTGACAACAAAACCGCATGGAATTCTAGAACTCTAACAAATAAATTTAATAGTTTGTACCCAAATATCTAATAGACTGACTATATTTCTAGCATTCCTCCTGTCTTCAATCATCAATATATTAAAAACGTATAATGAATTCTGAATTTATGCGCTTTCGATTTTTATGAGCAGGTATAATCGTAAAATGATAAAAACAAAATGTCGACTGTTGTACCTCAGACAGCGTGCGCAGACGACCACGTGACAAAGCATTGGTCTACTTAATTGTATCGGGCTGAAGAGAGGAGATATCATCGACTTTCACTTTTTATAATTATGAACATCGCAATAAGTAAATGCAATGCAAGTCATAAGTTATATCCGATGAATCTGAATTTGTATATGAATATCAAGTGATGTGCTTAATTTGGGAATAATATGAGAATCTATATTTATTTGTTTTATTCATTATTTTCTTCAGTTTTATAGCGATGACACACCTTAACGTGTGCAATAGATATACAACATATTACAATCAACCTTGAGATCAGTTTAATATAAAATTTCTTTAAAAATCTCCTTATAAGAGAATCAAATATATATGAATTACACAAATTAACTTTGAACAATTTAAAAATGCGATATTATTTATATAATTATGATCAACGCTTGGAATATTTTTGCATTTCTCTCTTGTACATTTATTCTTAGGTTAAGTTTATAAACTACCAATGATTGTTTGATAATTAATTTATTTTGATGTTTTCTCTAATATGCATTTTATATATAATAGTAATAACTATATAACCCCTGCACGTTTATAAGAGATGATATTGTTACACATAATATCTTCTGTCTATCTACCTGTTGACTGATGACTGCAACGGCGACTGCAAAGCAAACTATAAAGTTGTTGCTCGTCATATTGTTGACCACCACGATGCTCCAGTTCCTTACAGTGATGAAGTGGTGACACTTGCAATCGTTACAATGAGTTTAACACTACCCTAAATGTTCCACTGTGTTTCTCTATATAACACGTTTATCAACATAATTTCTAAGAAAGAGTCGAAACAAGTGTATTTCAACGAACCTTTGTATTACCTGGCTCTAGAGTGCCTGGGATTTATAACTGATCGCTGAGAATACATGATATTATGTATTATCTTGTTTGTATAAAATTAATCATGATGCCAGGATGACATCGATAATTTGAAATTAAGATGTTTAGGTAATTAAAAAGATAAAGGTTAACCATAAACACATAAATACTATATTGAAAAACGTAGAAAAATAGTTCTATCAGTTACCTGACGTGTATAAATCGCGATTAACCTCTTGAATCCCAAGTTGAAACCAGGGAATGTTTCATTTTTGCCAGCCTTTGACATTTTACTACATGAAATTAGTCGGCAGAGATCATTTCTACACATTTTAAAACATTTTTGGTGTAAATTGGATGAAAATTTTCAAAATTAGAGCAATTTCATTAAAAAGGTTGTGACGGATTTTCTCGTCATTCTGAGTTTCAAGGTCGTTTCAAAGGTGATGAGAAATCTCGTCATTCAGTCTGGGAAGTCAAGAGGTTAAAATGGGAATATGAATCCCGAGTGACAGTTCTTGGGTCATATCATCATAATATTTATAGGATATCCTATGATTTTGAGGAATATCATTTTTATCTACGAGGTGATATTGATATCTGCACGAGAGAGCAAAGCGAACGAGAGCATATATCAATATCACCGAGTAAATTAAAATGATATTCTGAAAAAATCATATTAGGATGTTCTTACAGGGTGTTCAAAATGACGCAACCCAAATAAATCGCTATATCTTGGAAAATACTGATCCAATTATGTTCATATTTTCGGGAAAGAAAGAAGAGACTGTGTACTGTGTACATAGCCCCTGTTGTTAGTTAGTTGTAAAACATGATGTCTTTGACATTTGCTCAAAAGACAGTTGTACTAGCAAAATACGAAAAACGCGAATGGAAAATCACTATATCTTGGGTAATACTTATTCAATTATGATCATTTTTTCAGGAAAAGAAAGAAGAGACTGTGTATGTATAGCTCCTGTTGTCAGTTAGTTGCAAAACTTGATACCTTGACCAAATAACCTTCTAACCATGGTGTTTTGGCACTTCATTTTAATTTAATACAAATTATCCTCATTCAATATGTGGTGAATTTATGGAGTTTCATCAAAATCACTCCAGGGACTTTACAGTCATGGTCAAAATGCCTTCTTAAGTCTCCCTGAACTAGGGCGTTTGACTGCGATTTGAAAGCATTTCAACCATGACTGTAAAGTCCCTGAAGTGATTTTGATTTCACTCTATAGATTAACTATACAGTGAATGAAGATGATTTTTGCCAAATTTGAAGAGCCAAAACACTATGGTTAGGAAGTGATTTAATTTTTTGCGGTTGCAGTCACCCCCGACTGCGTTTTTCGGATTTTCGTAGTAGAACTGTCTTTTTAGCAGGTATCCAAGGCATCATGTTTTACAAATAACCATTTACAGGAGCTATACATACACAGTCTCTTCTTTATTTCCTGAAAATATGAACATGATTGAACTAGTATTTATCAAGATATAGCGATTTTTGGGGGTTGCGTTTTTTGAACACCCTGTATTATCCTACACTTAAAAGGAGTGTACTAAATGTATGATATCATTGCCAGGACGAATTTCATGCCAAATAGAGTCAATTTGGCGGGAAATCAACAAGCGGAATATATCGTCACAACATCCTCCGCATATTGGGTTTTCCGGAGTATATCGTCACGATATCCTCCGCCCGGAGTATATCGTCACGATATCCTCCGCCCGGAGTATATCGTCACGATATCCTCCGCCCGGAGTATATCATCACGATATCCTCCGGTTTTTCATCTTGCCAATAAATATCAAATTTATTTTTTAATGCTATTATACATTTAGTACACTAAGTGTAGGATAATACATGTTTTCGTCCACACTCTTGAATGTTTAAAGCTGCCAAACGTTTATAAAAATTACTTCATAGTTGATAACCGACCCGGATAACCGAGCGAAAAGATATTATTACCACCTTACCGGGCCTGTTCTAGGGGTATTAGTGCTAGTTTAGAAGGCATTTATTTTACTCGATCGACCTGAGCATTATGTGACGTCATAGTGGTGGGCCATATTGCCGGTCAATAATGCAATAACGACCGGCAATTTTCCCCGGGAAATTAGATATCGTTCAGTGCGTAAGATCTTCTTGCTATTTCAGCACTGTGCTGTGGTAATAATACTAATAACGTAATTTCTGCGTCATGCCTTCGGCCCTCGGTCCAACATTTCACTTTATTATGCACCTCATTAAAATACTCAAATCTGATTGGTTCTTAGTTGCTTGTAATTTGGCAATACTCTGCTCTTTTCTGAAAACTGCCTGATATTTTTTTAATATCTGACCCTTTCGAGAAAAAGGGTCGGATATTTTTTTCAATGTTTTTGCAACATTCCAACTTCAGAGTTTTATTTCTTAATAACTTGAGTACTACTTAAAGCTTACATCTGAAACTGGCGGAAAATAGAAGAAAAATGCGCTTAATCAATCACAATTACCCATATCATTCAAAAGTTACATATAATTCTGCAAGAACGTCTCGAATAAATAAAAATAAAATTCCCGGGGCAAATCTTTTCGTCCAGTGTAGCGAATAAACTGGCCGGAAGTCGTCTGAGTTTTGAAAGAAAAAATCAATAAATGTCAAAATAATGTCAACTAAACGACAGTTTAAGCCTGTACTCCAGTAAGTACTCCACTTAACTTTGATTGGGAGGTGCATAATAAAACAAATACTGGATGATCAGGAGCTGGATATGGCCAGAATAGGTACAGGTATTCTGCCATATCCAGCTCCTGATCATCCAGTATTTGTTTAATATTGCCCTTCGAAATGACGTTATTGTTCTATTAATTTTAAGAAACTTTAATATCTGGATGGATATATGGATCGTATAAGAATTTATATTAGAAAATTATGTTGTTTAATACTCTTAAGTCTTGAGTTGTATATTTAATTTAAAATATTGTTTGTTACGAGGAATATGGCATATATTCATGGTCTCGCTGTTTTTGTGATATGCTTGAATGCGTCATACTTACCTGCGGAATATGCCATATACCGCAGGTGAATATGCCATATACCGCAGGTGAAGACGTGATATAGAAAGCCTCGTTTTGATCGATGGGGAGAATTAACTTGCTTCGAGTACTTATACATGAATCGTGAATTTATAGAGTAAGTTTATTATGTGTGATTGCCGAGTGATACCTCTGAAAGTTTCAGAAATGTGAAAATTGTTGTTGTTAATATAAAATGAATAAAAAATTGTGATTTCATAGTTTTATGCCTTGCTTTTGTCGACTGTTGATTTGGTCAAAAAGTTATTCATAATCTCAACGAACGTCGGATCGTATACAATGCACTGTTTGTTGCTTCATTGATAATAGTTCATAGATTTTTGCCTGTTTGTTCAATCGTCGCAATTGACAATTGCGTACTTCCAAATCCTGTTCTCATCTGTTAGTGAGTATGTCATAAACCACAGGTGAATCTGTCATACACCGCAAGTGGATATAGCATATTCGTTGCGGAATATGACAATCATATATTTATAGCGTGTTTACCGGATAACACACGTTGATATTCTCCTTTCGAAAAGTTTTGCAAACAAAACTACCCAATTGCATTGTGTTTGACGATTTTCAATGAATTGGTTTAATCTGTCGTGACCTTATGTAATTGAAGCAAAATATCAGACAGGGACATGTCGAATCACGCAAACTAACGGAGACCAACTTTTGGAGGGCAATGTAAACAATTGTTGATTTATTGGGTCTTTTGAAAAAACATAGGGGACAAATAGGATATAAGAACCTTCCAAAGCCTATCAGAACATAGATAACAAAACATATTTTGAATCGTAATTAACTTATGATTAAGGCAAAGTACAATTTTTTAGGATTAATAGTCACAAAAAGATAAACTTATATGTATATGTCAAAGGGTCTCATTCAGATAAAGTCAATCCTGAAAATTAGGACGACATGCTGATACACTTAGGATGACACCCAAGAAAAAGTAGTTTCGTTTTGAAATAAAGCATATACTACGTGTAGTGTGTTTATGAACCCCTTTGTGGTACTCCGATCCCCAAAGGCTAGTTGATCCTCACTCAATCACACTCAGTCTTGTATTTGAATATCTCTATACTATAAGTTATTGAATGATTTGAAGTGCAATACAGGATATATTCTGCTCGAGAAATTCCGTATTGGACGACACGAAGTCGAGTGCCAATACAGAATATCGTGTGATCCTCTCTATTGCTACTGAGATTGTCCCCTCCGTACCAATATTTTCTGTATTGCGACGGAGATGATCAACGGGGACAATCTCAGTAGCAATACAAATTGGTACAGCACAAGAACTGACCAATCAGAGGGCTTCATTTTACAGATCATACGATAATTCCGTATATTTGATACAGATAACACCTTATAATATCTTCACAAGACCAACCATTTTATATTGTACATTAAACTAACATCAAGAACTATATGTTCTCTGAACAGGACTTAACAACCGTTAGACTTTTTTTTAATTTTTACCTTAACCTGAATTCTGAGTTAAAAGTTTAATTTTTATTATTTGATGATTACTAAACATTTTTACTTTGGGGTGGAGGGATGGGGGATACTTTGAATCGGTATTTACAAACAACAGCTGTACGTTCTTAAGTCTACAGTGTCAACATTTTTTACATATTCTGCTTCATGGCAACATATCGATATATTGACTATGCAAGCTGCTGTCCTTATATTTGATTTTAATTTTCAAAATTATTTCAGGGTCGGGTTCACTTACAGGTAAAGAAAAATAATTGCAGTTCTTATTTGTTTAACTACAAACGTCATTTATTATTGAGTTGTACCGTATATTTTATTTATTGCCTTCCAAAGCGAGATATACAGATAGGGTAATAGGGCTTAATAGTATACAGTTAAGAAGTATGGAAGGAACCTCGAGGTCAAGCAGAAATATTTTGAAAATATTTTGAAAAGAAAGTGAGGACCACTTGCTTAAAGTCATGTCGTGATGCATTCCTATTATAGAAAGGGTTATAAGCGTTAGGGGTCAATTACATCACACCCCATGTAATCAGCTTCAGATCGGTTAAGAAATCGGAGAAAATGTGACTGAGGTATATTCTCGTGATCTTGAACTAGAAGCCAAGAGATTAACACCAAGAAAATGCACACTTTGTTAACTACAATCGCAAGGACAACATATACTTTGAGCATGTAATTCCAAAATTAAGTTGCATATGACATACTTAACGTCATGGTACTACATTTGCTAGTGCACTTTGTCCCCGGTTGTTAAAATAGTGATCAATGCATTTAATATCATCACATTCAAACTTATGACCTATATATGATTATCATGGTACTTATGAACGACATTATGGCACATACAGAGTGGGCCAAAAACGTCTACATTTTAATTCCATATGGCTTTTTGGAAAGGAATTGGGTTTCCATGAATTCATTGGCAGGATAAGCAAAAATCAATTCTACAAATGTTTCCAATGTGGGATTAACACGCGTGATTAATACATCTCTACAGATTTCGGAATAATCGGGATAATGAAGGTAATCAGACACTAGGGCATTTTTCAACTTGCTTAAAATTGGACATTTTTTCAAAATCATCTACAAATTTTCAAAAGTTCAAATCTGACCCTAGAATTAAGATTTGACCTTCGATGACCTTTTCTATGTCAAAAAAGTTAAAAAGGGTATTTTTCAACTTGCTTCAAATTGACCATTTCTTTTCAAAATCATCAGCAAGTTCTCAAAAGTTCAAGTCTGAATAAAGATTTGACCTTCAGTGACATTTTCAATTTCATAAAGATTTGCTTCAAACTTGCTTCAAATTGGACATTTTTTCAAAATCATCTACAAATTTTCAAAAGTTCAAATCTGACCCTAGAATTAAGATTTGACCTTCGATGACCTTTTCTATGTCAAAAAAGTTAAAAAGGGTATTTTTCAACTTGCTTCAAATTGACCACATTTTTTCAAAATCATCTTCAAGTTCTCAGAAGTTCAAATCTGACTTTAGATGTGAGATTCCACCCTCAATGACCTTTTCAGGGTAAAAAAAACTTGTTTCAAATTGACCATTTTTCAAAATCATCTACAGAGTTCTCAGAAATTCAAATCTGACTTTAGTTTGAACTAATACTATTGTTGGCAACTAGGTGGTGACATTTTGTCATGTTAATGCCCTGTTTCCAGAATACACTGAGCACCCTAACCCATGTATTCCTCTACCATACGGAATAATATGTCAATCTGGTACTTCAATTTTAGGCATGACTAATATCAGTGTTAACGTTATGGTTTGAATAACATTATAATATTTGCAATTTTTCAAATAAACCCATAGTGTCTGTTTATTTTGATTTTCGAAAATCCTCTTGGGATCTATTTACTGCACTTTGGGAACAACTGTAAACATTTTTTAATTGAATTCCATTCATTTTCAAAAAGTTACATCGAAATTAATATGGACGTTTTTTGGTCCACCCTGTAAGTCAGTGACACTATCTTTGATCGATGTTCAACCATCAACAGCGCATGAGTATATTTACTTCGTTCAGCTATTGGTTCTTGACACGCTTTCACGCTTGGCATATTTTTTCTCAGTCTGAAGTAGTTTATGACTTAAAACTTTTTGTCCTTCCACAGCCTCTGATCATGTTCAGGCATATATGGATCGTTGCCATAACTACCTGTTTTTCCCGCTGCAATACTGGACATCTTTGACCTCCCTCTGAAACATCAATGATATCCTTATTGTATTACATATTTTTGGCATCGTATTGTATAACGCATTGCATTGTATTACGTAGATTTAATCCACAGCGTGTCCAGTTAGTCGATTTACAAAGTCTTTGCATCTGTGTGTTGTGATTGTAAATTTAATATTCACTTGAAATTATATTCTGTACTTATCTCCCTGAAATCCCCCAAAGGGTATTGTTTAGTTGATCAAGATCTTATCTTAATTATAAGGCTATTTGACAATTTAAAATAAGCGACTTACTATTCTTAAAGTACTATAACAAAGGACTGTATTATATTCTTACTTAATCAATCAAATGAACTTATATTAGTGGTCGGCAATTATTTGTGAATCGCGTTCTTATTTATGTCCCCTGGGTCACGTTGACCTCGATTTGACCGTTGACGTCCTACCTTGTTGAAAAACCAATACTTTGTTGGAGGGGAAAATAAGTGAAAGCAACTTCTTGAAATCAGACAAGTGGTTTTAAGTCTCTCTCCCCCCCCTTGCAACTTGTCTATTTTCATTTTCAATCCGATACGTTGTAGTCCTTTAACTTAATTATATCAAGGCAATCGTCTTGCGCGTATAATAAATTCAATATATGCAATATACTATCATATTCCTATCAACAATAATGGAAGCATACTGTTATGCAATAATATATGATATAATAATATACATATAGTACATAGTCACTATCAAGAAAAGTATGAAGAAAATGACATTTATAATATCATGCAATTATATTAATTATGTACACTTTCTAAGCGTGGTTACCTCTCCTTGTTATCATATTCTAACAGGACTGGATCTTTGTCTTTGTTTACATCAATGCTTTAAATTGCACGTCAATATTTAATAAATAAATTATTATTTTTAAACATGGTTTCCATATATTTTCTGAGTAGATTTGTTCGAATTTTTCTTTAAAGACGCCTATTGAGTATACAACTTTCCATTAGCATTCCCTTTGTTTCATTGTATAACATTTAACGGATACTTTTTGCTTTATACGTTTAGGTGATCATCAATCATAGCATTTCTGAATCTTAATATAGGTTATTACATTTCAAAGATTACTATGAAAAGTTTTTTTATTCGTTATAGTAGTATTCTCACTTTTTGCCAAAGTATATATATGGAAATGATTATAAAGAAAAGCGTACCTTCTTTTTCTTCTGATGACCAGAAATAAGATGATGGCGACCAAAATCACAAGAAACAGTAGGCCACCTATCGTCCCACCAACTATTGCACCAATTTGACTTTGAGGGGCTGAAATTAAAGAGGCGGGTACGTTAGATCTATTGCAAGCTTTTTAGACAGCTCTTGCTTAAGTTATGATAGTTATTTGACCACAAAAACAATTGCGTTTGTTCGGCAAATATGTTATCCTCAATAAGAGGCAATGGAATGAAAGTAAAGTCGAACGGATTATCTCTTAAGCTATCATTTATTCAACCATCATCACCAATTTTCCGCAATTAAGAGCCAAAATTTTCACCAAAAATGCAGTATTATATTCCAATTTTTACGACTAAATTGAAATGTACCATAAGTCATGATTTACCTCACTGAAAATGAGAGGTGAATCCACTTTGGATTAGGATAATCCGAAAACAATGGAAATTTAAGGTCAAATATGTGGCGTACCAAAGCAACATTTTTAGATATGGTTAATGTACAAACAAATTGGGGGATATTACATAATTGATCTCAAAAAAGAAAGTAAAAAAACAAAATAAGAAAGGAATTGTCTCATAATCCATTTGTTATAATCCATTATATCTCATAATCCATGTAATTTTGTTATCTTTAATGACAGCTTATGAGATAATCCGTTCGACTTTACTTTCATTATATTGCCCATTATTGCAGTTAACATTTTGGCCAAACAAAGGCATTTGTTTTTGTGATCAAATAATTATTAGAACTTAAGTAAGAGCTGTCTAAAAAAAAGCTTGCAATAACGTACCCGCCGTTTTGAAAATTTACAATATGACATGGAATCAGAAATCTAAACAGTACCAAGACCGCATTTATCATGAATATATTAATAGTATCATGTACAAAAATGAAGTATTCTTATAAGCTCTCCTGCAATGCACTCCATTTAATGAAAACTTACGAGGTGGTGCTTGTGATAAAGTTCTTGCTAAGATTGTTGCAGATGGTCCCTCTGAAATGGTAAAGGCCGCAACGCTGATATTATATTCAGTACCCCTAGTTAGGTTGTCAATAGCAGTGGCGGTTCCTGTTTCCTGCTTAACCTCAACTCTTGTTGATTGCGCATGTCTGTATCGCACGACATAATGTTTAATGAGTCCATGTGGTATTTTAGGTTCTTTCCAAAATAATACAATACTTCTGTCAGTTATTGCTTCCCTTAATGTAGTAAGATTCCGGACAATTGTTGGGGCTACAATGCAAATACGTGAAACGTTATTTATGGTACGTTATACACTATAAGTTCGTGATTTGAGGTTTCATGTTTGTTTGTTGGTTTGTTAAAACAAAGTCACTTACGTCCTTCTGGAGTCCGGATAGTAGCACGAGCTATGTCCCCAACCTCAACTGTTACCGCAGCTACGCTAAACACGTAGTTGGTATATCCATGTAACCCCGTTACTGTATGTTCAAGTGTACTGAGCGGAAGTCGTGAACCATTCGTAGAACTATTTCCCATACCAATGACATAGCCCCGAAGGATGCCATTACGTTTTGGAGGAGGTCCCCATGTTATATGAACACTGGTGTAGTTAATTGGTGAGACGCTGAGCTTAGACACTTTGCCAGGGCCTGAAATCAGGATGTAGTGTTACAGGTATTTAACGAACTCTTTTTTACCATTTTAAATGAGCTATACAGATACTCGAATAAGTTGTTGCGAGGACTCACAGTAGTCTACTTTAATGCACCATTTTCAACCTGAGACAATCATTTAATTTCTTCAGACGCATTGCAATACTTTAATCATATAATGATTTCTGAAATCCATCATGTTTTAGAAAAGGAACTAGGCGAATCGAATCCAGAACCCAAATCACCAACGTTCAATAACTTACCTGCTTCTAACGTAGGTTTTGAGGATGCGCCACTCCAAGGACTCTCACCCCCACTTGTGTATGCTCGTACTGTGATACTATAGTTTGTAAATGGTTCCAAATCAGTTATATTAATGGTTGCAATTGAAACAAGTGTATTTGTGAAGAGAACGGTATAGTTTTGAAGTTTGTTTTCCCCCGTATCCAAGTTATGGATATTGCTTTCATAAGTAGATATAATTCCATTGGGTTTTCTTGGCGAATTCAATGTAGCCGTGAATGATCTGCTTCGTGGAGTTAACGTTATGTTAGTGGGAGGATCATCTGGAGCTAGAAATGTAGAGTGATTTAGTTATTAGCAACGCACTCAAAATGCAGTCTTGGTAGGTAAGAATATGTATATATACATGTATATATCACTAATGAATATGTTTTTGATTCCCAATCAACTGTAAACTTGCACAAACAACATACGTTGGTACGAACCGTATATATTTTGTAAGAAACACAAACGTTTGAAGTTGTAAGCGTCATGATGAGTATTAATGATGAGCTTGATGGAGCTTGCGATTTTTCATAAAAACATTTAGAAAACTTCACAAATTATTTTTTGACTCACTCACTCATGTTTCGTTATAAAAGCTAATTGAAAACGGAGAGTATCATACTCTAAAATGTACCATTTCTTGTTTTACTTCTAAATGGAACGATATAGTGACAGGATACTATTCATATATGTTTGCAGCATACCTCTGGAGGTATTTTAAAATGAGATAGATATATTGAGTCCTTTTAAATTTTTGTCCAGCTTGATGGTGTAGTCTCAAATGCGAAATACAAAACTTCTCAATCAAGCTGGACGAAAAAGTACATGCAAAATTATAAAGACCTAATGCATCTAGATGGACAAATTTCTCTAGCCTTTTTTATTTTAAATGTTTAATGTAATATACTCGCAGTTAGCAATTTTTCACAGTTTCAGAAAATGGTGTTTATATCAAGTTATGTTGATATTGCAGGGTACATATCATTACTAATTACATCTCGGCGGTACTTAGGATTACGACTTCAATAGATCTATTTTTTTATTAAATCTCATATAAACATATTAAACTCTCTCGAAGATATATTATGCTATACTAATATATCGGAGAATAATAACCTTACTCCATTCGTTAACAATGTTCTAGTCGGACTTTAATTGTCGAAGATTTGGACAGGATTTTATTCTCGAGAAATCTGATATTATTAGTACCGAGCTTTAGCGCCAAATATGCATCGATACATTCTTACCTCCTTCCCCAGTAAGTCCTTTCGATTCATCACTCCAAGGTCCTCCACCTATTACTGTGAATGCTCTAACAATAGCTGTATATCTGGTATATACTTTCAAATCTTTGATTTCTATGCTCTTTTTATCTGTGTTCACTTCAACACCGTGCTCGCTTTTGTTAGAAGCTTCCCAGTACTTAACTGTGTAGTTTGTGATTACACCATTCGGCAATAGTGTTTCTCCCCATGTTAGCAGCAAAGAAGTTGATGAACCAGGTGACAGTTTTAGATTTACTGGGGATCCATCGGGCTCTAGAATAGATTTAACAGTAGAGTTAGTTAGACATAAAGCTATGAAAAAATTGCAGACTATCGACGGACACTTAATGATGTATCGGTTGTTATTATATCCTGATTTTTAAAACATATATATTGGGTAGTAACCAATAAGTGTAAATATATATGTATGTACACTTCTGACTCACTGTCATGTAAAGTTTCAATTTGTTCCATTGTCTTGTCTCCTGCCCCCTTTCTGTTGACAGCTTGTACTACGACGGTATAATTAGTATAAGGTACTATACCAATTACATCATATGATACTGTATCAGCAATACGAAATGACCCACCACCTTCAACCCTCGCACATGATTGGAGGTCATTCACATTATCTGGTAGGGGTATGCCTGTATCAAGACCTTCATAACGACTGTCGTTCTACAATATATAAGAACGCTCATTTACAACTAAAAATCTGAAAAAATATTGAGGGGCAAGTAAGCATTCGGTTTTTCAAAGAAACATTTTCTAATCACAAAAACGTGTACATGCATGTGGAAATCTAAAAAATGCTTAAAATATAGAAAAAACAAAATTATCAACATTGATTAGCTCTAGAGAAACATCAAAAGGTCAAACAGACTTCAAACAAACATTCTATTTAATAGAAGGGCTCATTGCACTGACCTTGACCTTGTCAACCAGAGTTAACGAAAGTGTGAATGCGGACATGATTAGAAAATACAACTAGCGAGTTGTTGTTGTTTTTTGCAAAATATCCTTCTTACCCAGCATCTTAGATCATCTGGTGTTGGATGTGTAATATTGAACTTAAACCCTCGATGGCATCTTCCTTCGTGTTCAATTTTCATAATATAGTGACGGATCACACCGTTTGGATTAACGGGCTTCCCCCAACTAATTGTCGCGTTTCTTGAAGTTACAGAAGTTTGTTGCAGATTTGACACACGCTCTGATACTAAAAAGCATCAGTATATACAATTCCTTGTCCACAGTAATACTATAATGTTACCCAACGATTCAAGTTAATAGCAGTTAATGTTAAAAAATATATGTACATGAAATATTAGAAGTACATTGTATTTATGTAAGTATGAAATAAGAATATTGCAGAAAGTATGTAAATATCACGTAGGAAATAAAACCTCCACTGGACCAACAATCTTGTGTCACTTTATCTTAACAACATACCTCGAATCAAAAAGTAACATTACTTACCAGAATCTAGTAAAAGATACATATCGACAAACATATTGAGGTGTGAATGGGTACAGGGTGTCTCAAAAGTAACATAAGTGGTGCTGGTATCTTGCTTATTCTGCATCAATTATTTATTAAGGTCCGTAATAATGATATGTATCAAAACTGGGACGTCGCAGTATACGGGGCTGCTAAATTTGCATTATTTGACATTGTTTCAAAGATGCAGACTATGGACACTAACTACCACACCCAATCGAGTATTTTATCTTCACGGATGCTTACATTTTTCATCTGTTGGTTTTATGATTGCGTCAGAATCACTCCCACTGCCTTTACTGTTGACGGCAGACACCGAAAATACGTACGGAACACCTATTTGGAGATGAAGAAAGCACAATTTAAAATGACGGGTATACACATATTATAATAAAATATGGTATTATATGATTGATATGGTATGATATGATATACGCTTGAACGAAATGTAGACTGTCACCCGACTTCATTTTGAAGTCGTGCATGCACTTCACAGTTCCGAATCAACTTTTATAGTAATTTGACACAACTTTCTTATTTGCTTCGGGGAATTCCAGTCGCAAAAAATAACGAATGACAACATTTTCCCCGACATTTAATTAAATATGATATGGTATAATATAAAATAATATCAAATAATATAACATAATATAATATATATAACAGTGGTCAATTGAGGAATACATTCAGCACAGAAATAAAGTTTTCCAAATATCATATGCACTTTTTCCCGAAGAAAGTATATGTTTACCGGCTCTAAGTCCACGTATTGTATGAGTTGTACTCGATTCGACATCGGTCTTATTGCAATCTTTAATATCGGTACACTCTTTGTGACACACAGTATAGCTAAGTATAACACCATTGGGGATAGGTGGAGGGCTCCATGATAACGTCACTGCATCGTCTGCTATTCCAACCACTGTTAAATTCTCCGGCTTTTTGGGCACTAAAATATGTTATTTTGTTTTAATGTTGAAGAATTTATAGGTTTTTTTTGTTTCTTTTTTTATCATTATAGTTTACTAATTTCAGAGTAACTTTCTACTTATTAGTACATATAATATTTAATACATAATAATATAATATGAAATAATATAATATCAACATAACGTTTAATATAACAGTCTAAACTACTTTATAATGTAAATAGGTACTATTTCTTCCTACTATACTAAACTCTGATGCATAATAGGAACGTTATTGTATTACTTCAAAATGATTTCAAGTATTGTTTTACTTACGTATTTCTTCTGTGCTGAAACAGCTCTCGCTTGGAGCACTTATGAGAGTACTGAGTTCAGCAGTAACACTTAGACAATATGCTATCCCTGGCCTCAGATCAGTCACATTCACCCCATTGTGAGTCGCAGATGTTTCGACTTCACCAACAGCTCCTGTTCCATTTATTAATGAAACATTGTATCTGCCTACACCATTCTCACTTGTTGAGTTTGCCCAGGTAATATACATGTGGTAGGGTGACCAGTTTTGAGATGTCCTTTTCAGTGCCAGGTCTCCTGGCCGGCCAGGTTCTACGAAGCGTATAGATTGAATAATTATAATGCAAGTAAAATGGGCTGTGCATCGAACGAGACTAAAAAGCGATTAAATACGAAAGTTCAGTTTCATGGGAAAACACATTTATTATGTCACCACCAAAATGTGATGACATATCGTTATGGTCTCCTTTTTTGACGGCGGTTTGTGGTTGGCGGTTGGCGTCTGTAACAAATTCTAATAACTTCCAATAATTTCAATTTTTTTCAAATCATTTACAAGTTTTCAGAAGTTCAAATCTGACTTCATATTTAAGATTTGACCTTCAATGACTGTTCAAGGTCAAAAAGGTATTTTTTCAACTTGCATATTGAGCATTCTTTTTCAAAATAATCTACAATTTATCAGAAATTCAAATCTGACTTTAGATTTGAAATTTGACCTTCAATGACCTTCTCAAGGTCAAAAAAGGTCAAAAGGTATTTTTCAACTTGCTTCAAATTGACCAAATGTTTTTCAAAATCATCTACAAGTTCTCAAAAGTTCACTTTTCACTATAGATTTGACCTTCAATGATATTCTCAAGGTCAAACAAGATTTGACCTTTAATGACCTTCTCAAGGTCAAATAGGTATTTTTTTATCTTGCTTCAAATTGACCAATATTTTTTCAAAATCATCTACAAGTTCTCAGAAGTTCAAATCTGACTTAATAGGGATAAAGGAATTTTTCAGATAAGCCTTAATTAAGCTGTTTCCTCCTGTTCATCCTGCAATTGTTTTGATGAGTTCAAATGATGAAACATATATTCCTGCATACGTTTTCACTTGTTGAGCACTTGTCAACATTACCATTTACTTATTATTGAGGTGTTTAACAGGGGTCCACAAAAATTAAAAAATATTAGATTTTGATATTTTTGAAGTTTACAACGGATTATCTACTTATGAATCAGATTTTGGGAAGGTTATTAGCATGACATGCTTTTATCTAGCATGATTTTATCTGTTTAATTGAAAATAAGATCGTCTGTCTGATTATATTTTGCATTCAAAATGATTAAAAATAATTGTTCCATTAAGTTCACTTTCTTTTAACATCATCTTGTTTTTTGTTGATCCGCCAATTGTTTTGATATCCTTAAATGATAAAACATATATTCCTACATACGTTTTCACATGTTGAGCACTTGTCAACATTACCATTTACTTATTATTGAGGGGTTTGACAGGGGTCCACAAAAATTAAAAAATATTAGATTTTGATATTCTTGAAGTTTACAACGGATTTTCTACTTATGAATCGGTTTTGGGAAGCTTATTAGCATGACCTATTGATTTTTTCTGTTTAATTGAAATAAGATTGTTTGTCTGATTATATTTTACATTCAAAATGACTAAAAATAATGGTTCCATTTAGTTCACTTTCTTTTAACATCATCTTGTTTTTGTTGATCCGCCAATTGTTTTGATATGTTTAATTGATAAAACATATATTACTACATACATTTTCACCTGTTGAGGACCTGTCAACATTACCGTTTACTTATTATTGAGGGGTTTAACAGGGGTCAACAAAAATATTAGATTTTGATATTTTTGAAGTTTACAGCAGATTATCTACTCATTAATCGGCTTTTGGAAAGTTTATTATCCCATCGAACGAAGTTCAGTAGAGATAGAGTGAAGCCCTCCCTCCGTCCGTCAGTCAGTCAGTCAGTCCATCCGTCCATCCGTCTGGAAGATAACCTGAATACTAGTAGACAGATTTTCTTCATATTTGGTGGAAAGATGTATATTGGTGAAAAGTAATACGCAAAAAAAATTCAAGATGGCCGCCAGTTTAAAAATGGCAGGAATTTTACGCAAAAATCTTATGTTTTTCATTTTAAACCAAAATAAGAAACATTATTATTTGAAATATTGGTAGTATATTAACAATAGCTATCTATTTCACATATATCCTGGATATTTCACCCTGACCCCCAGGGGCCGTAAATGGGGGGGGGGGTTGGGAAAACACAAATTTGCATTAATTTTGAGATGTTTTTGAAGTGTAGTTTTATTATACTCAAATGAAAGGCAATTTAGAGTAGATTGCAAATATTGTAGCGTTTTTCTGATTCGGGCCTCAAAAAATTCAAAATGGCTGTCTAATGCGGGATTTTGCAATTATTATATTTCTTAAAAGTATGGCTATATTATACTCAAATTGAAGGAATTTCAGAGTAGATCACAATTATGGCAGTGTTTTTCGGATTTATGCCTCTGAAAATTCAAAATATCCGACTAGAGCAGAAATTCGCCATTACTTAGAGTCATCTTTAAAGTATGGTTACAATGATCTAAAATATTTATTGAAGGAAAGAGTAGATGGTAAATATTACATTGTGACTGTACAGATTGATGATTTATATGGTGTTCGTTGGGATTTGCTACTCCGTGAAGTTGCCATTTTCTAATTAGTATGACGTATTGATCTTATCTGTTTAATTGAAAATAAAATCGTCTGTCTGATAATATTGTGCATTCAAAATGATTAAAAACAATGATTCCATTTACAGTTCATTCTCTTTTAACATCATCTTGTTTTTTGTTGATCCGCCAATTGTTTTGATGTTTAAATGATAAAACATATATTCCTATATACATTTTCACCTGTTGAGGACCTGTCAACATTACCATCTCCTTATTATTGCAATTGAGGGGTTTAACAGGGGTCAACAAAAATATTAGATTTTGATATTTTTGAGGTTTACAACAGATTATCTACTCATTTATCGGCTTTTGGAAAGTTTATTAGTATGACATATTGATTTTAGCTGTTTAATTGAAACTAAGATCGTCTGTCTGACTATATTTTGCATTCAAAATGATAAAAAATAATGGTTCCATTTAGTTTCACTTTATTTTAACATCATCTTGTTTTTCGTTGATCCGCCAATTGTTAAATGATATGTTTATTTGATAAAACATATATTCCTACATACGTTTTCTTCCGTTGAGGACCTGTCAACATTATCGTTTACTTATCATTGAGGGGTTTAACAGAGGTCCATAATAATGAAAAATATTAGATATTGACACTTTTGAAGTCTACAACGAATTATCTACTTATGAATCGGCTTTTGCATTTAAATTATAATCTAAGATGAATTAAGAATTTATTCCCGCTATTTATAAAATTAGATTTTAACATCAATAAAGCATATGATATGATGTGGGGTGAAAGGATATATGATTTTTGCAATACAGGCTATCTCTGCAAGCACATAACTTTAGTAATAGATTATTTTATTTAGTAGAAAATAGACTATCCCATGAGGCAATGCTAGAACCCAAACGCTCTATATTGAAATTAATAAATGCCGCCTCGCCCAATATTTTTTTCTCGAATAGGTATTCTGCCATATCAAGCTCCTGATCATCCAGTATTTGTTTAATATTGCCCGCAGAAATTAGGTTATTAGTATTACCACAGTTAATGCCCAGAGCTGAAATAGCAAAAATTATATGCATTGAAAGATATGTCATTTCCCGGGGAAAATTGCCGGGCGTTAATGCATAATTGGCCCGCAACTATGGCCCGCCACTATGACGTCACATATTGCTCAGATCGATAAAGTAACATAAATGCCTTCTAAACTAGCACTAATACCCCTATAACACTCCCGGCAAGGTGGTAATAATAGTAATTGATCTGGGTACTATCCACAAAAATATTCATCTTTTTGAATTAGACTTGAATTAAATCTTCAATAAATGAAAATCTGAACCATTTTAAGATATTCGAAAAATTCAGAAACTGCAAATAATTCAATTATAACTATTTAAAACAATTTAGATTGCTAGGATATGATAATAACCTTAAAAGTAAACATTTGATTAGTTATACCAATCATTGTGATTTTAGAGCCCAAATATTATCTCGTTTTACAGTTTCAGTTGTATAAATCTTCTTGCTGTCAACGTATTTATAATACTCTACACTTATTTAGTGCCTGTTTATAATGATACCGACATTATTGTAATATTGAAATCATATGAGTAATAAAGATCCCCAAGTGGAGGCCAATGTCCCCCCCCCCCATTTGTGACATGGCCTCGTACGAATTAGGTTGTAGACATCAGGATGAAACCTGTTTTCATGATTTATACAACTTAATGATGTAATTTAATCGTAACAATGTACTAGCTTTCCATCTAAGAACTATCCGGAAAAATATTTAATTTTCGTAAAATAGACCCCTGCTGAAATCGTTCATAAATGAAGTTCTGTAACCTTGTATGGTGCACAAAAATTCACGAATGGTCAATGATATAATCCTAACTAGCAAAAGCAAATTAAAAACATAAGGCTGTAACAATAAGTTTTAAAAAAAGTATACAGTGTTTGATGAGGTATACCCCCCACTGTGAACTTGGATTCCATTTTGATCTAACTTTTCAGTTGAAATTTTACATTATGCTCTTGATATATAATAATTCATACTTTTTGCACTAATTTATTATCTATTTACAAGAAATCTTTTAAAATGATTATTTCTTTAAAAAATGGACCCCTGCTTAAATCTCAAATAAATGATAAATGGTAATGTTGTGTGGTTCTCAACAAGCAATACCATATTCAATGATATTAAATCTATCAATGTAATCTATAAAAATGATTGCAACTTGAACAGGAGGTAATTTTAAAATTATTGTCAATTCCTTTAACACTATAAGATTGAACTAATAATATTATGAGCAACTAAGTGGTGACATTTTGTCATGTTAATGCCTTTTTTACATCCAAGTGTTTGGATATTTCAGATTATCAGTTTCATGTGTAGTAAGCCTGTGACCTTGTACTTTAAGGATTAATCATTTCTATGCTTTAAGATAATTGTTTCGGAAAATCTTCTTCTAATCGTATGTGACGCCATGGTTTCGACGGCAATTCACTTAAATCAATTTAATGAAGGATTATTTCATAGGCGTATTCTATATAATGTTATGAGCAAAACTACATCATTTCACAATCGTTCTAAGATTATATACATTGACACTTATATGCTTTATGCTGGCTGTATACTTAATCAGTGGTGGCGATATTAGGAGATAGATGCACTTATTGATCATATTCGATGTATGTTTAATCTAGATTTGTAGTTTACTTTGATCTGCTCTAACCGTAAGACGGCCGTAGCTTTTTTAAAATCGCGAGAAATATGCAGCATAATGTAGAATTAGCAGCATGATGTTCGAGGGGCATATGAAAAGTTCGTTTCTTTTTGCTCTAAAAATACCAGGACTGATCAGAACAAGACAGAATATGCTGGATCTTTATTTTATTTTATATTTATTATTAAGCAGTGATTAAAGTATAGCCTGTAATATATTATAGCCACAGTTTTACATCCGTTTGAAATATACTTGTCTCGATAACGTGAAATTTGAACGTGGATACTTTTACATCACAATCAATGTATCCAACCATAATGTGCAGCCCATGCACTTATTATCTTATCATTGCTACAACATAAGCCAGCAGGACTAAGTCAGGGCTCTCTATCTCTTTCAAAGAATTCTCCCCCAAATAGAATACACTTTCTAAATCTCCGTATCCAATTCATACAGGGATTTTCTAGCCCATTATTGTCTTCACTGAGTCATTGTTTTCTTTCAATATCGCTGTCCTTTTTCGTCCGCTTCTTGGCTCATCTTCGATGGTTAAGATGCCTTTCTTGAACTTGTTGAACCAGCTTCTTATCATGGGATAGGAACGACAAGTGTCTTCACATGTTCTTACAGTGTTTTACACAGATTTTAATGCAAAATCTCTGCTTTTATTTACCATTTCGTTCCACTGTTTAGAAGCACCTGCTCCACCCAAATTCTAGTGAAAATAGGGAGTTGATTTTGATGGAGGATTATGACATCATGTTGACAGCACAGTGAGTCCATTCACCGGTAGTAGACCCTATTCTACAACCTAGCTTGTTGCTATGACAACAGATTTTAAACAAATACTTGTCATTTTCATAAAACATATTATTTTTTTTCATTGAATGCATCTTTCATGCATTGAAATGTTAAGGTGCTCCACGAAACCAAGTCTCGCTGTTGCAATGGCAACCAAAAGTTCACGTCCTTATAAGGAATTATATTTATATTGATTTATATGTACGAGGGGTGATCAATAAGTAATGGACGCTTTTTTACACAGACACTTTTTATAGACCAATCCCTTTGATTTTCCTACCAGTGATACGTCATTCAATTATCTATCAATTTTGAAGATTTGAAGACAAAATATATAATATATGTTGATATCCTTATGTCCGTAAAGAAGTATAGGTACCCCAAGACCGACATTTACGTCACATATTCAGTTTTCAGCCAGTTTGGCTTTCAGTTAGATTTGAACTCTTTATATGCAACAAGTTTTGTGTTGTTTGAATTTTTGCTGACTGGTAACACATAAACAGAGAGTATTGTGATGTCAGAGTGTTGTATGGAAGGGTTTGCAGGTCAATTTGAGAAAGCATTGTGGAAAAAAGGGGTGGTGAGAGATGGGAACACCCTACTCCATATGGACAATGCACCTTCCCACAGATCTCAAAATGTTCAGAAAGCAATATCCCTGGACCTCAAAATTGAGCCCTTGGCCAAGGCACCATATTGTCAAGATCTGCTCACATGTGACTTATTTATTTCTATACTACTTATTTCTAAAGAGAAAAGACGCGGGTTTATTGCCATTGATGAAATAAAACAATCCATGCAACTGCATCTTACTACCGTGTCAGAGAATGGATTCAGCCTTGTCTCACAATCTTGAGTTAAGAGGATGAGGAATTGTGTACATGTAGCACTTGATGGAACCTATGTAGAGGGCCCTGTGGAATGAATAAGGCATGAAAACCACATAGTGATGATAAAATATTCAAAATCAACTATGGCATAACAAAATTCATGACTTTAATGGTTTGTTTTGTTCAGCCTGCCTTCAACTGCATTGCATGTTAAACAAGCTAAAATAGCTTCAGAATGTTTGACGTCATGTCGGTCCTGGGGTACCTACACATCCTTCACGGAAATAAAGATATATCAAAATGTATTACATGTTTTGTTTTCAAATCTTCAGAGTTGATAGATAATTGAATGGTGTATCACTGGTAAGAAAAACGAAGGGATTGGACTATAAAAAGCATCTGTGTAAAAAAGCGTCCATTACTTATTGATCACCCCTCGTATATCTAACATATACTGAAAGTTTTATAAATAAATCTTTCAATAAAATAAAAATAAAATAAAGCAAAAACTTTTCAAATGTCCCTCGTACATTTAATATATCGATTTTGTGACGCTACAGTCGCAGTACGTTTGCCGTAGATTAAATGTAACTGAGGCATTAATGATGTCGTCCTATTGATCAAGTGAATTAGATAATTCAATATTTGTTTGATATTTCGTTGTTATCAGCATGATGGGTGCGGGACCCGAGTGTCTGTCATAAAAATTATAAATTACATCTTAAATTAAGTAACGTATACAGCAATACATGTATAAAGTAAAATGTTAACGTGAACCATGTCTTATCATCATCTCAAAGTTTTAGTAATAAGTTTCCTTTCTGAATGTATCCTCTGAAGTGTTTTTACGGTTAAAGTACTTATATGTTCAAGTGTACATGTAATACAAAAAAGGTATATGTATGAGCAAGAGAAAATATTATATGAGTACTTGGGCTTACTTGTCAATACACCTACTCCTTCATTGGCATAAAATTCCCTACTTTCCTCCGTCTCAAAAATAGACCTTACGCTTATATTGTACACCCTTCCAGGGAATAATTTAGTTACGGTGAATGTGTTTCCATCCTTAGGTACTTTGAAGCTTTGTTCTTGGTTATCATCAGGTGGTGAAATGAGGACCCGGTATCCATGATAACCTCCAACAGGGGCTGTGTCTGGCGTCCATTGTACTTGAATGGCAGTATCATTGAAAGCAATGGCCGACACGCGTCGAGGAGGCAATGGCTCTTGAAAATTGAAATGTATCTTCTTTGCATAACGGGTACCAAGTGACACATGTTTCATTATATTGTAAATGAACTTTATTAGTATACCCGGAAGAAATCTTTGAGGAAAATAGCAACTAGAAAATTTATATTAATTATCAGATAAAAACTACTAAAGACTTGACTGAGAACAAGATTGCCAAAGATCAACTATATCTACTCGGGTACAGTATTTGAGAAAGCAATTATATTATTAAAATAAGAAACTTGTTATAAGTTACTTGTCAGTTGTATTATTTCACGAACACGGCTGCATTGTATCTTTGATATGTTATCATCCTTGGCAACAGTTCTGACTCTAACAGTTATATTTGTAGCTGGAATGAGTCTGCTTAATGTTATTGTTGTCTCATTGCGTTCGCGTGGTACTGGTCGGGAAGGTGAATCATTCGATGGTTCGTACTTAACCTCGTACCCAGTGTAGCCCCCATCTGATGGGCTGTTCCAACTTACAAAGATAGTAGTTTCATCAATTGCTCTACTGGTTATGCTGCTCGGAGGATATGGTTCTAAAAAGTATACGTTTAATCACATTTGACAAAGCAATTGTCAGAAATAATATTAAGCATACGAGGCTAAGCATTCACAGAAAAAGCGGAAGAAAGATTTCATTGAAATTGCGCTTACTACTGTACAATGCTTACTTGTAATTATATCCTTCTTAGGTGATACTTCGGGAGAGGCATACCCCTTGTACGTGACATCAACCCAAACTGCGTGTCTTTTACCTGCATCTAATTTTGTTATTTTAACGTTATTATTCTCACTAGTCGTGACGTCCATAGATCTGGGGAAGTGCTCATCAAATTGTTGATAAGATACTGATAATTTTTTGTGTTTGATTTTGGGCTTTTCCCAAATGACTTCAATTGTTGTTTCCATAACTTGGCTGACATTAAAATTTGTTATCGGTCCAGGGCCTAAAACAGAATATGTCAAAATTCAAAAAAATATCATTCTATAACTAAACTTTCACACGTTTTTCGTTGATGGTTTAGAAAATGTCTTACTGATTTTGACCAAAACATACCTAGTTATCATTCCATTAATCATTTATAAATTAATGTATTACTATGTATACCATGCTCAGAGCAATATCAGGTATATAACAGCAAGTGATAAATCACATATTTGGGACAGGGACGATATCAGGGACGATATCGGGATTAGAGGGATGATATCAGGGTTGATATTGATATCATCCCGGTGTGAAAGAAATTATGGTCCCCCAGGGATTATGGTCCCCTTTCTTAACGGCCCTTACTGGCCCTGATTGTGTATAAGATAATGAGGGAAAGAGTTGTATTTAGGTCACCATATAAATCAATGGAGAGTAGGACCATAATTTGATAGGACCTCCTACCCGTTTACACCGGGTCCCTGCGTTCCCTCGGGAAATATTGATACCATTCTTGTGATATACCCCATGTCACATCCTACTACTTTTTATCAATCCACTTTCTATATCATACCGGTTTCTACAATTGGTACTGATAGTGTACAGTTTGTACTGCTGGTGTCTGTACCATTATCCCGTACTATGGAATACACGCAGAAAGTATAATTTCTAAATGGGGTCAGGCCATCGATACCATGAAACGTGTGCCTCTCAGATTGACGAGATCGAGGAAACGTTGTGTGTTTTGATACGTTCATCTGGTCTACTGCTTTGTAATGCGTAGCAAAGCCCTTAGTGTCGAATATACTCAATGTGATTGAAGTGGATGAAATATTAGCCTTTGCCGCAACACCATCTGGTTTATCAGGTACTGAAAAGCATAAATAATATATTACATCATAAGAATAGAGAGGCATGTGCGGAATATCCTCTGCAAGATCATCATCGATACCTGAATATATTTTAGTAATCTTTTTTAGAAGTAAATGGCAATTTGTAGTAACAATCAATTTTTGTTTTTATTAATCAAGAAGTGGCGTCAACAAGTGAATTTACTTTGAACTTTATAATTCTAAAGAGGAACATGATTATGTGCTTCGTTGAATCTTATGTAGTTACATGAATAGAAAGCCGTCTAAATAAACAGTCAAGAAATGAGTTTGCAAATGACAATGATACATTTCTGAATCTAAAAAACGTTGATGTTAGAGCATGCCTCGACAATATTTTCCATAAAACCGTGAAATAGCGTTTAATAATGATTTTTGGTGCCGGAGTGTATCACTTTTGCTCCAATGTACACCTAGCTGCATACGATCTCATAATCATTGGTAAACACCCTGTATTATAAAAATTTAGACCTTTTTGGAGTTGTCTCAAATATCAAATTTTGTTTTTTATACTTTGAGTGTTTCCTCTTGTAGCAGTTGTAGTTGATATATAATATCGGAACGCGTTTTATTATTGTTTCCCTAGTTACGTATTTACCTACCATTTTGGGATGATGCAATACCAATCTGAAAACACAAAAATGAATGTGAATACCAGACGAGTATAATGGACAGAGCTATGTTTTATATTGTCGACCTAACTCGTTATATTATTAAGCTTAACCTTAACCTTTTTACAGTTATGATTCTGTTCATTTTTAGAAGATGATACTTTTTACAGAATCAAGGAGAATATTGATTAGATAGCCATGCATTCTGGCAATCTATGATGCAAGAAGAGGGACCATGGTATTCCATGATGATAGCCACTCCACTCGAGCTCATTGGAACGGCCATTGAAACTAACGGGTATGCATAGCATCAAAGTAATATAGTTTCCAGTGACAATTTACATGTTTTAAAAATATTTATTGTTGCCTTGATGATACTGGAGTAATAGGTATTGGAACATTGATTGGATTAAGCGTCAAAAAATACAATCCTAAAGTAGGTTATTTTCAGAGAGAAAATAAGCACGTGGCCTGTTTGTATTCATTGTCTCTTTTTATTTTATTTTGTTTTTATTGACTAATTCAATCTCATTATTGCAGAATGAAAAACATGTTACCCTCTGTGTACCTGTTGTTGAGTTACTCCTATGGTGACAACAAACCAAAGGATGTAGATGTTCTCCCTGAACATATCGATCGTCTATATGCTTCAAGAAGAGATGATATCCAGGCACCTATACTCCAACGATGGTTTATCCAACTCTAATACTATCTATATACTATACTTATAGTTATGAAGTTTTCCTTCTTTAAACATGTCACAGTGAAAGAGGGAAATCTCGCGAAAATCTAATCTTCAATAGTTCAAAGTATAAATATATGATTTATCGTACCAGGTATAAGAATGTTAACTGTTTTCACTTGATCACTCGTTCAAATCTTAGGTACTAATTAACTAATTGCGTTGTTTAGGTGGTAATGTGTCGAATGTTCAAAAAACAAATACAAGTATGATTAACAGACGTTATCGCGGGACACATTTGGTCTTCTTTTCTCCGATCATATACAAAGCAAATACGTTTAAAAGATTTACACAGATGGTTCTGTAGGGAGTTCTATAATATCTGTAAAAATGTATTATAACAATTAGTGATTGTTCACTTTTGATAACGGGTATGAACTGTTTATTTGAAAAATAGAACATGAGAACCGTTATTCAAATACACATGAGAAAGCATCAGTCAACTCCATTTGGACGTAAAATATGTACTAACACAAGTAACTAACTAATAGTGTACATAACACAATATAGCAGGCTGACTCTTTCTCATCAACACATGGGCATGTCAAGTGGTCTAAAACCTCAATCACATTTGCTACGGCGTATGTACGATCTATCATTCATGCGGTCAGTAACATTTCTACGGTCGTCTTCTGCGCTCAGATGATTTAGCAGTCACGTTTGCAACGGCAGTCGTACGCGTTGATACAACGGTTGCTGTACGGCTGTATGACGCATGGTCAGCAGCCCTACGGGGTGGACACAAGGCAGCCATAGGGGGGGGGGGCTTACGGCGATCCAATGGTTCCCAAAGATCACGTAACCCATAAAATCTAAGTGCAACTGAAAGTCGACCGCACTAGACCTCCGACGTAAGGCGAACGTCAGGAACAGTAGTTTTCCTATGTTCACGCTGTTCCAACCATGCACGTTGAAAACCGTTAATTTGAATTTTAGACCTACCAGATGTTTGAAAATCAAGGATTGTGAGTCTCATACTGCACCGTTTTTCGTCAAACTTGTTCCATACAAAGCAAAACAAAAATTTCTTTCTGTTATTACATCATTCTGTTATGCAGAGTATCTCCTTTTAGTGAGTGGGTCTTCAGCTGTGAAGCGCTTCTTACAACTGTGCAGTATGCAGAGACTCACAATCCTTGATTTTCAAGGCCTAAAATTCAAATTAACGGTTTTAAATATACATAGTTGGACCCGCGTGGTGTTTAACACAGTTTGCTGTTTTGAGAGAATATAATGTGAACGTGCGGCCGCCGTTGAGCAAAGGTGACTGAGGCAATTCATGTTTTAAGATTAGTTTAATGTTTTACCGGGCACAATACAAATTGTCTCTCGATGAATTCATTCACATTATGTTGCCATTATACTGAACATTCTCAAAATAGATACATGTTATATTCAGCATATGGTTTTATCTAAATAGATAATTACCAAATATGGACTTGTTTTGATGAAATGCCTACAATGGGCATCATTTAAGATTTTGTTTAAAATGACAAAAGGGTATTTAAAAACTGTTTGTTCAACTTTCGCTTTTCTCAAGACCGCTCCTTCTTTCTAGCCATATGAGTGATTATATTTTCGAAATTATTGGTTGTAACACAAACAATATAAAAGGGTAGGTTGTGTCAAGGTGGAGACATGCAAATAAGATAAAAAAATTTTACTTAGTAATTTAGAGGTCAAACATATGAAAAGTCATAGTACTCCACTTTTTGAAAAAACAAGTTAGTATACGATACAATACGAATACCTTTTAGTTACTAAAGCCATTAATTTGATGTTAATATATATCAAAGAGCACCATGTTAGTTAAAGGGTGACGAATATCGTTTAGCAAATCGAACGCTCGTTTCTGGTGTTGCTCACCGTTTAGTATAAAAGGCCCGATCCCGGAATAATACTCAAGGGTTCACAGGTTCGAGGTCGTTGTGTCAACACCTCTAACTGTTATATAGCATAAGTATATTATAGATCGTCACACATTTATAAAAGGGTGATTTCTATTTTGACAAATCAATTCCACATTTATGGGTGAAGTTTCAGGATCTTCTATTTGTGTATAATAAGGAAAAATTGGCATCTAAATTTCCCCATAGCGTAATAGCACACAGCTTGGCATATGAAATATCCTACAAATGAAACAAAGCAAGATAAACCGGTTTCTAATACAAGGATTTATATTGGCTGTTGTACATGTATTCTTTGAACGCAATCACTCTTTGGATAACGTTTTCAAAATCATTATAAACGGATTACTTTATCTCAAAGACAATTTCAATAAACTGGATTTTACAGAACTCCCCTTATTTCTTAAAAATGGACTGATCCAGTTGATTCGCCTGGAGCCGCCATATTGTTTTTATACGGGATGCTAATCGGAACCCTTTAAAAGTTGAACGTTGTTGTTTATAAGAAGTATAATTGTTTTGCAATATGACTATTGTCATAGCTAATTATTTCCAGTGTTTTACGCTAAAATGCCAATTTATAAATGAACGTAATTGCTCAGTTGTAGAAAGAGTGAGTAACGAAACGTTTCGAGAAACGGCCTCCTGTGTCGTTCTGCTCAAAAATTCTTGGGTTAATTTATCAATTGTAGGTAAATGAACAAAATCCTTTTAAGTTATAAATATTATGCAACTCGATGGTTAGAAAATAGTTAATGTATCATAAATTCTAAATTAAAGTGCTGTTATATATTTAGCTTAGTTAAACACTCGCAATGGTCTTGATTTAAGAGGCCTACAAAAGTCTACTATAGGATAAAAATACAATTCTAAAGATAATCTTGATGACCAAAAGTCTAAAATACAATTTATCTCTTGACATGAAAATAAATTAACCTCTAGCCGATATGAGAACTAATCTGTTCAATAAGGTAATTGTGACATTCGAGTTATAATATGTCCAAAGGTGAACAACGGAAGTAATGTTGTTATACCACAATTTGGAGTAACTGTCCAATACATTCATCTCTTTAGGTTCATATTATAAACATTATACATTAGCTCAAATTGTGCTGGGAGATCACGGCACCATCTATAAACTTTAAATTGAGCCATTATCTTAACATGAAGAAGTTTATGAAGTAATTACATGAAGTGATTACTAACATCGTCAAATGCTGTCCCCTAAATATGGCATGGGCATTCTTAGAGGCAGAAAACGTTCCAAGTAATTGATCAACTTAAGATGTTGATACACAGAAGCAACTATTTTCTATTGTTAATATGTTAGCCGATAATTTTGACTCTAACCTCGCAACCCGTGGAATCTTTTTAGACGTGGAAGGTGCATTTGACGCAGTCCCACATTTTTTGTTACTCCATAAGATGAAATCTTATGGATTAGGCAACAATATTATAGAGTTATTGACCTCATATCTAACAGATAGGAAATTAAAAGTAAGGATCAATGATACTTATTCAGACATTTCATGTAATGCTGAAACTGGTGCAAATATTCCTCAAAATCGAGACTCCGGATCCTATGAAATAAATAGTGGGGTTCCCCGAGGTTCATTTCTTGGCCCCCTATTATTTTTGTTATATATTAATGACTTAGCAGACTCAGTTCATAATTGTAAACTTTTCTTATATGCTGATGATAGTTCGATCTTCTTGACAGTACCAAAGAATGAATCAGTTGAAACAACAAAACAAAAAATTCAATCAGATATCAATGAAATGGTTAATTGGTCCACTAAATGGAAACTCAAATTTAAGGCATCTAAGAGTAAGGAGGTTATCTTTCAATCTAAACACACACGAAAAGTTAAGAAACAAATTCCAGTAACAATGAATAATGAGCAAATACCTCTTGTAAATAGCCATAAACATTTAGGCATCATTTTAGACAAACACCTTAGCTTTGAAGAACACATTAACTCAGTGATTACTAGGTGTAATAAAATGTTAAATCCATTAAAAGCACTCAAATTTTCAGTAAGATCAAAACACTTACAGACAATTTATATGGCATTCATTCTCCCACATCTCGAATATGGCAATATTATTTTTGACGGCGCAAATCTAAACCTCTTAGCAAGTTTAGATAGAGTCCAATATAGAGCGGGTCTTATTGTAAGTGGTTGCATCCAAGGGTCAAACTCTGAGAAGGTGATGGCATGTCTTGGATGGAGATCCTTATCCAATCGAAGAAAAGAAAAAAAACTAGTTTTTATGTTTGACTTTGTAAATAATTATAAGATGCCTTCATATGTTTCAAATGTTTTTGAACAGTATAAGAATCAGGTAAACCACCAAAGACTTCGTCGTAGCAATGATTTTAAGATCCCATTCAAAGCATCTGCTAAACTTAGAAAGTTTACAGCTTTATCCAGTATTAAATTATGGGATAATTTACCTGATGAACTGAAACAAGCACACTCACGCAACTCATTTAAGTATAAAATTAGAACATTTTTGAATGGGAAAAAGAAAGAATTCACAACCCCAAAATTAAACCTATCCAGAGATAAAGAAATTGTCTTAAATAAAACGAGATGTGATCTCATTTTTAGGCAGCATCTTTTTACACATAACTTCAAAAATATTCCAAATGCCAAATGTAAATGTGGTCATTCTACTGAATCAACCAATCACCTATTGCTCCGTTGCCCTCTTTTTAACACTCAAAGACTCAATTTTCACAGAGAACGAGGGGGACTGCCATCCTTTAATTTAAACTCTTTTAATAATAGAAAACAGGAAGACAGGGTAGACTTTCTACTTTTTGCAGATCCTTCTCTTGACACAATTACAAATAAAAAGGCTATTGAATTAACAGCCGAATTTTTACACTCTATTGTCAAGGAAGTTAAATAGTCCAATATTCATTAATTTATACATATATCTCTGACCTGTCTTCATGTTTTCAAGATTATTTTCATGTTCATAAATATGTTCTATATCTATCATTTTTACATTGTGACCTATTTTAACTTATATTGTAACTACTTCAACAGGGCCAATAATGCTTCGGCGTAGGCCCTGTATCTGTTTGTATGATGTATTATGAAATAAAGGAAATATAAAAAATTAAAAAAAAAGATGTTGGCCAGATCTTCTTGTGGTCTATTGCAATACATTTTGATATAGGGTAAGCCAAAAAGTGATGACCCAATCAACTCTTTTTGGCACAATTGAACCCTGCGCAATGTTCTTTCATTCAAGAACTTTTGAGTGGTCTATTCCAAATGGTCACGATTTCCCGGCCATGTGACAAACATGCTTCAAATACGTATATTCCATGTCCAAGTATAATAAGATAGTATTATCACTCAATACGAACCCCTAGAAATTAATTGTTGAGGCTATTTCAAATATAATGTGTATACTAACAACCCTAGAAGCATAGACTTGAAACAAGATATTAGAGGAATAATTAGAGCCATTACACAAGATATCTGTGAGCGCAAGTCATAAAACTCCAAGTAATGCGTCCAAGACAACATTTTGAGCATGTTTCGTAAAATGGTCATAAAATCTTGACCATCTAAAATAGAGCAATGCAACTTAGTGTAAATGAAAGAACATGGCTAAAGTATCGGTTACCTTTTTGGCTGACCTGGCCATGATTTTTAATATCGGTGTGTGTTATCTTTCTCGCAGATTGTGTTATATATTTATTTCCCTCGCCCCCTTCCATTATACATTATAATGCTCTTTATGATATCAGTAGCAATAACAGCATCAGCACCCATGAATGTTCACTTACCTAATTATATATTTTATATCAAAATATATCACTATACCATCACGATATGTTATACTCATCTTTAAAATATACTTGAGTCATTTAGCACAGCATTTCCCCATAGTATGAGTAAATGATTTTTAATTATACTCCTCAAAAAAAGTTAAGGACCAGTGGTTTTCCTCATAGGTTTACATGTTAACCCCCATATTTGTTGGAACGACTATTTTCTAAGCGGGGAACAAAATAAATCCCAATAAAATAAATAAATCTGTATCTTGATTCTATTCCCTATAAATTCCGCGACGTTTCAGTGTTATATCTCCATTACATTGGGTCAAAATTTGATGTCAAAATTGATGAATTTCATGAAATTTAACAAAGATGGCAGATCCCATGTTAAACAAATGGGGAATGGTGTGGCTTAGGGGCAACTCAGATTTTGGAATATCTATTCAGTAAAATATTTAATAAAAATACTTTCTAAGTAGATAATTGAATGATTTTGTCTCGCTTATGTTGTTAAAATTAGCGATACTGAGCGTTAAAAGTAATTTTGACCATCTCACTGAACCACCTGTGTTATTTCAATAAGAGGTTCATTAAAAATTATTGAATTTGAAACCATTAACTTTTGTAAAGCCTGGACAATTAAATCATATTTTTGTCGAGTGGACAATTTAGCAAATTTAATTATCTCTTACAATTTCAATTTTGAGAGCAATCGGATGGATGGATCGTTCCTCATGTGACATATGGCAACCCCACCATTCCCCATTTGTTTAACAAGGGATCTGCCATTTTTGTTAAATTTTATGAAATTCATCTATTTTGACATCAAATTTTTACCCAATTTAATGGAGATATAACATTGAAATGTTGCGGACTTTATAGGGAATAGAATCAAGATACAGATTTATTTTCTTTATTGGGATTTCTTTTGTTCCACGCTTAGAAAATAGTCGTTAAACAAATATGGGGGTTCACATGTAAACCTATTAGGAAAACCACTGGTCCTTAACTTTTTTTGAGGAGTATATAATAAACATTCGATAACTAAAAATCCGGGTAGATCTAATTTGATAAATACACATACAGGTTTGTTAAAACAAAGTATAATTATGACATTCGGTATTGTTTTATTCACATAACTGTATTTGACACATTTTTATGTTGGCACTTGTATATACATATACATTTGTATGGACACGTGTGCTACGAATCACACATATGATATTACACTTATACAAAATGGTTATTGACTAGCATATAGAAAAGTTAACAATCGCATATTATGTACACTATAATTTAAATACTTAATTGATTTCAGTTTAACATTCTACCGATCAGTCGTTCAATGCTTTATTTACAAATGAAAGTTTAAAAACATGATAAATGTTAAAAATATACAAAAATATATCTATATTTGTACATATTACTGAAGGTGTATACATCAACTTAACGCTCTCTTGATTAATACTGTAATTGGACTTGATTATTATCTTATATTAATAAAACTTGTTTTAATCTTCAAACAAGGATCGCATCTTCAATACGTCACCAACACCCCATTGGACACATGGGCTTAAATCCGTTATTTAACACTTGTCCACAAGTTTTATATACTCCTTAGCTGGATGAGCATTCGAGCTGCAAATGCTGGAACGCATGATCCGATTTATAATTCTCTCTTATTATATCAATTGACCCTAACAATGGCTTTTTGCATTGTATCTAGTGTTTTTAACAGCAATGGAATGCGTTTATCTTGGAACTAGTCCGCTACCTCAGCTGCATATTCACTAGGCAGTCACTAGACAAGTCTAGGATTGTTATCCTGAGATTGACTAGCGTCATATTAGAGGAGTACAATGAACGAGACCCCCGCTCCGTTCTTGCAAAGAAAACGTGTTGCATTTTACAATAAGGTTGGTATCAAATTAGAAGTATGCTACTGGTTTATCAGGTATCGCTGTCTTCTCAACGCCTCGTTTAACAGCTGCCTCGATACAGTCATGAATAAATATGTACTGCTTCTGAAAATCAATAAAGCAAACGTTTGGGTAAAATATGATAATTTTTGTTACAGCGCTCGCACAGTCTTTGAAAGTTGGGCCATCCAATATTTTTCTTTGTACTGGTAGTTTGGATCATTTGTTAGCATATTTAGGTTTTCTATTACACTGTTTGCATCTTGAAGTTTTTTTGTAAATATCAAATGATTTTAAACCCAGTTTGTATTTTCTCATTCGTGCATGCGTTATTGAAATGATCAATAGCTGTATTATTGATATATTGGTAGGCATCGCGTGTAAAACTTACGTCAGTCTGCACCATAGACTTTCTGTATTCCCGAAGTTTTAACACATGGGCAAATACATCAATTGTGTCAGATTCTCTCATTTTTTGAAGCATGTAATCGACAGTCAAATAGACACCAGTTCGTCCAACTCCAGCACTGAAATGATGTGAACAGTGTTTTGGTTGTAAGCAACATATTCGTTTTATCATTTAACATTCAATAGTCAAAGTGCATCTCTTATTTTGCCTTTACTTAAATGCTCTTAAAGGGTTCCGATAAGCATCCCGTATAAAAACAATATGGCGGCTCCAGGCGAATCAACTGGATCAGTCCATTTTTAAGAAATAAGGGGAGTTCTGTAAAATCCAGTTTATTGAAATTGTCTTTGAGATAAAGTAATCCGTTTATAATGATTTTGAAAACGTTATCCATGGAGTGATTGCGTTCAAACAGTACATGTACAACAGCCAATATAAATCCTTGTATTAGAACTGCTTTGTTTCATTTGTAGGATATTTCATATGCCAAGCTGTGTGCTATTACGTTATGGGGAAATTTAGATGCCAATTTTTCCTTATTATACACAAATAGAAGATCCTGAAACTTCACCCATAAATTTGGAATTGATTTGTCAAAATAAAAATCACCCTTTTATAAATGTGTGACGATCTATAATATACTTATGCTATATAACAGTTAGAGGTGTTGACACAACGACATCGAACCTGTGAACCCTTGAGTATTATTCCGGGATCGGGCCTTTTATACTAAACGGTGAGCAACACCAGAAACGAGCGTTCGATTTGCTAAACGATATGCGTCACCCTTTAAACGTTGCAACAGGATGAATGGAATTGGGGAAGATTAATATCTAAGCACGAGTGCCAAGTTGAAAGGACCAAAAGTTGTAATGGAACTTAGCAACAGAAAGCAAACTCTAAATACATACCAGTTAAGAAAAACAAATCCCATATATCCCAAAACCATGATCTAACGTGAAAAGAAACAATGTCTAATACTCCTTTTCCCCCACCAAATTGTTAATTGCTCATTTGAAAGGCCTCTTTGTGCTTTTTAAGATAAACAAAAAATCAGAATATTGAAAAAAAAACTGTGATAAGACCCCTTTTCCTGTGGCCTGGCTCATTTAACGAGATTTATCTAATTCTAATGATGTACCTGCAATGTACAATTGGTGTTCCCTCCTTTCCAGCTGAATGGCCTTTTACTGTTTGAGCAAAATCTAGCAGCACATCAGGATCATCCGGGACGTCGTAATCTGGCCAGGCACTGAATGCAAACTGATGAAGTGTTCTTGTCTCTGAGCCCTTTTAAAACACCATAGGTACATATTAAGGGAAATGGTACATGTAAATGGAGCTTCATATATTTGTATAATATATGACAATTCTACTATTTACTAGTATATGTGCGGCGTAATATTTGAATAAATTATGAAATACTAAAGTTGTACCCCAAAATAATCATTAGTAATGTTGCATGTGCTCTTTGTCTCTCCTTCTGAGCAACAATACACCATGCATTCATTGTTTGGGATGCTAAGAGGGGTTGTTGTCATGACTGATTGTTATAATTAATATACCTCTTTATAAATGTGTCATACGTTTTGACTTCTTTGATATTTGCCCTTACCAGTAGTATGTATTGTAAAAATCAGAATATAAAAGAGAATGTCTGGGCGTCGGGTCAAAATGAGACTTACTTTGCTGACTTCAAACTCTCTGACCGTGAAATGATCGTGCTGTACTTCTTTCACAATGAACACGGATATCTCCCCAAACATCACAGGTTCCTCATTCGCTGGCCAATACTGCTCACACTTGAACTGAACCAAATTATAGTATACAATATCATATATTCATAGTATGATAGGATTTTGAAAATACCCCACTTAATATATTTTCATAGTATACGAACAATTTCATTTTGCAAAAGCTAGAATTTTGCAATATTTTATTAAGTCGTACCAACCCATTTCCAACCATCCCTCATTTGCATTCAAATGTCCACATTATCATTTTTCAAGTATAAATGGGGTGTACCTTTCCATTTTCCACACATTTTGTAAGCATGATTACAATACTGGTTTTCTGATCCCATATCATATGCCAGAAGTCATCCTTTGTCTGGGGAGTCGGTCCCTGAGATGCGATGAATTCTTTATCAGAATTATATCCCTAAAACAATTCGAATGATGTGAAATTAGAACAATATGAAGGGCCTTATATACTGTATAGCTTTATAGGATATTGGATGATATATCAATGATGATATATTTCCATAATTGTGCGACCTACAACGGTTTAGTGTCTGTTGTATTCATTTTGTGCATAACAAGTTTGATCAGGAGAACGCCATTTTAAAAATAATATGACGGATAAACTTACTGGCAAGTAGCTTGCATTGATGTAATCTGGCGACCCATCATCTCTTGGTGACAGAATTACTCGAGAATGATCGACTGGAATTGAACGATTAGAATCGGTAGGTCAAATACGTAGGTTAATGAAAACACAGAATGAAATACCATGATGAGGGCTGATGTGAAAAAGTAAGTCCACCTTAGTGGGGATTTAACCCACGACCCTAAATTTAAAAAAAGTTGTTTTACGCATCAAATGTTTTCTCCATAAAATGTTTATTTAATATATAATAAAATACTTACATGGATGAACGTTCCTGTATCTGTTCTTTGCTTTTAATTCGGGATTCAAGGCTATTTTCATAGAATGAGATGGACTGTTTGCATCTATTTCCTAAACGAATAAATAAATTGTAGCATAGTTAGTAAATTAAACTAATTCACATGTCAAATTTTCAAATAAGTTGCTTAATGACATCAGTAGGGTGGTTAAAATACAGGTTTTAAAAACATGTACCTGAATGTGTAAGATTATGATCATCTGTGGATAGTTCTTCCATTCGAACTGTTCACTTGACCAATTGAGTATTACGGTATACGGAAAATGATTGAAATTAGGTCCCTGCAGTGAATTTGAAAGTGGGACAAGGGGTCGAAATAGTACATGCTAAGGGGTAACCGGACAACTCATCCCCTAGACAACTCATCCCTGGACAACTCATCCCCTAGACAACTCATTCCCTGGACAACTCATCCCCTAGACAACTCATCCCCTGGACAACTCATCCCCTGGATAACTCATCCCCTGGACAACTCATCCCCTAGACAACTCATCCCCTGGACAACTCATCCTTTGGCATGTTTGAGTAATAGTAGATGGGTTAACTGCATTTTAGGGGGTCTGGACTTCAATTTATGATGCAAACGTTTCCTTTGACATGAGAGTACCTTAGGACCATAGAAACATATTTATCCAAAGACACACGCCAGATAGCGCTTTATATTGGAAATATTCACATTTTTCAAAATGGCCGCCAAAAATACAACGGAGACAATATATTTTCTTCTATGCATGCTATAATGATACGATTGGTGCCAAAATATACATTTTGTGGGTGAAGAATCAATTAAGTATGGGTTTGAGTCTTGAAAATAAGGAACTTCCTCTCTACATTAAAAAATATGCCTTTTTCAAAATGGCTGCCAGTGATGTAACAAATATGATATCTTCACTTGTATGCATGCTACAATAGTAAGATTGATGTCCAAGTATACATTAATGGGGTGGTAAAATCCATTTGATAAGGTTTACAGTCTTTATTTTCCCAATGAAGAAAGTTCAGTGGGGATATAGTGAAGCCCTCCGTCCGCCAGTCTGTCAGTCCATCGCCTCACTTAAATATGATTTTGCAATTATTTTCAGATTCCTTCAAACTATGGCCATATATACTCAATAAAGGGGAGGCATCAAAAGTTCAATGTCGGATTGGAAACTAAATAAATCTAGTTTTGACTCTGACCCCCCTCCCCAAAAACTAAATACCATGAAAGTTGATCGCTGACTTCCGGTTTGAGAATTTGAAAAATTATTGCTAAACACGATCTAGTTTTTGTTAATTCCTATCGTCATTTGCGGCTTTTAACAACTACTGATAGAATAGAATCCTTTGGAATGATCTTGACGAAGAAAGCATCAGGTAAAATCTTTATTTTTTAACCATTCCAAGGCATTCTGAGTCAAAATTGCCAAAAATTTGAAATGTTGAAATTTGTCGGATTGCAAACTGAAATGGGTTTGAACCCCCTCCCCCCTTACTAGATTTATTTAGTTTCCTATCCGTCATCGAACTTTTGATGTCTCCCCTAAATTGAAGATGGTGTTATTTTTATGATTAATGCCTCAGAAAATTCAAAATGTCCCAGAGAAGGAGTTGATTACCTGTTACTTACTAGATATCTCGTCAAGGTATGGTTACATTATATTCAGTTAGATCTCAAATTTTTTATTGTCTAAATATGATTTTTACCATTGACTAAATGGTCACCAAAATGTTTAAATCAGCAGAAATTCATGAACTGTATGTCTATTAGTTAACAAACATTTTCACTTTTTATTGAAAATGTATGCCGTTTTCTCAATGGCTGTGGAAAATAATACAAAAATTATATCTAACAAGGGTTCTAAAACTTCTTCAAAAGTAGAATAGTTTGAAAGAGCAGTTTTGAATGTATCAATTTACGATGACGGAAACGATGCTGAAAACAATGGATAGCATGGGAGATGTGGTTTTCAACTTCAGCGCATTTCAAATGCCATCCCCTTTTAATTAATTGTTGATATAAAATGAAGTGCCAAGGTGGGATCCTAATCCATAATTTTCCAGAAAGCTGGATAGATATTTTACAATAATGGAGACTTCACTTGAAAGAAAACACATTGTTTTAATAATAAACACTGTATTTATGGCCAGGAAGTACTCATGGTGAAAGACATATTAATGCGGTTTAAAATCTTAATCCCTTAAATGTTCAAATATAACAATCATGATATCTTCACATCAGTGCATGCTACACTGATATCTTTCATGTTGTTATATTTCTGGTGGCCATTTTTAGAAACACATAATTTCCAATAAAGTGAAAATTCTTATTATGAAAGACTCCAAACCTATTTAAATGGATTCTACAACCCAATTAATGTACACTTTGACACCACTCTTATCATTGTAGCATGCTTAGAAGCGAAGATATCTTCTTTGTTATATTTCTGCATATATTTTGAATATAAAGTGCAAGTGCTGAATTTACAAGACTGGAAACCTAATTAAATAGATTCTACAACTCCATTAATGTATTTTTGACACCACTCTTATAACTGTAGCATGCACAGATGCAAAACTATTGTCTCTGATGTATTTTTGGCGGCCATTTTGAAAAATATATATATTTCCAATAAAAAGCGCCATCTAGCTTGTGTCTTTGGATAAATTTGTTTCTATTGCCCTAAGGTATTTCCATGCCAAAGGGGACATTTGTAAGATAAGATATCTTAATTTGTAAGTATTCGTAAGGTAAGACATCTTCTTTGTTATATTTCTGGCAGCCATTTTGAAAAACGCGTATATCTTGAATATAAAGTGGAAGTTCTTAATTGTCAAGACTCAACATCTAATAAAATAGATTCTACAACTACATCACTGTAATTTTTGACACCAATCTTATAATTGTAGCATGCACAGAAGCAACGATATTGTCTCTGGTGTATTTTTGGCGGCCATTTTGAAAAATGCGTATATTTTCAATATAAAGCGCCATCTAGCTTGTGTCTTTGGATAAATTTATTTCTATTGCCCTAAGGTACTTCCATGCCAAATGAGACATTTGCATCATACAATGAAGTCCAAATGTAGTTAACCCATCTACTATATTTTAATGTAATATTATTAATTCAGATATTATTCAAATGATTTCTTAAATGTATTGGTTATCATGATCAGTTTTAAGTTTCAAAATCATATATTACATGTACACTGGTACTCCACTCAATTATGTTGTAAACAGATTGTTTCGGTAACAAATGTCAGAGCCTTAAGGGTACAATTTTTGTCTTTTCCTTATTTCTCCAGTAGTAGGCAGAATATCATTTGTGTTACTTCGCTATACCTGCTAGTTGCATAAATAATTTACAAAAGATAATAGATTTATGTTGGCAAGAATAATATTATATAGCAAGTTGGGCATTATAAACTGAAGGGTGGTGGAGGGGAATGGGTGGCAAGTTTAAATTTCAATATTTATACGTATACATAAAGTGAGTTCGTATTCTCTCACTGTAATTGTAAGACTGCTTGATACTTGTGTTGGAATGGAATACTGACCAAGCAGTCCCCTCCTTCTCATTGGATAACCCTGTGTTACTATGGAAACGCTCAGACCACAAAACCCCTTATTGGCATAAGTGTAGAATTTGTGTTACTTCGCTATACCTGCTAGTTGCATAAATAATTTACAAAAGATAATAGATTTATGTTGGCAAGAATAATATTATATGGCCATTTATTTCATATATAAAATATTACATAGCAAGTTGGGCATTATAAACTGGCCACACTAATCCATGTAATGGATTAGTTTTGCCCAACTTAGACAATTGATCCTTACATGCCTTGAAAATAACATTCTTATAAAAACATTATACATCTCCACTTCCAAAAATTCTATTAGTGACGCAATCTCTCGTTTTCAGATGGACCGTGCCCGAAAACTAGCACCTTATCTGGAATCGGAACCAGTGGATCCAGTTATCAATCTAAAGTTAAAACCAGAACTGCAGTTTTAATCAATAAATCACTCGCCACCTCAACTCAACAGTCATATATTCGTGCTTGGGAAAAATAATATCATATGTCCCAGAAAATGTACTAGACAACACAATCCTCTATTTAACCTCACTTTTGTTACGTAAACAGAACTTCAAAAATGGTTAAGATCTGCACTTCCAACTCTTTCCATTTACATAACAATAGTGAGGTATTAAAGCTACGATTCTGTTGTCTTCTGATATACCATGGTACTACTATGGTATGGTCAAGGAGATAATCAACCAATTAATCTGTAATTTGTTTTTTAAATATTTACCTTTAATTTTACTTTTAATATACGATTTCAATAATATGTTAACATTGATTGAAGAAGCTGCTTTGATGTCATAAGCTCCTTTGATGTCATAATATGTTTGTTGTTCAATGTTCAAATATTCTTTAATCCAAAGATTATTTTTTCACAGCAGTCACAGATGAAGTTACTAAAGTTCATGTTACAAAATTATGCAGAGAGAAAACTTTATTTTTTGTCATGAAATATTAAGTCATGTAATATATAAGGACAAGAGATGAAAGTTTTAATGGCACGTTTGACTGTTTGACCATTTTATTTGTGTCAATAAGGTGAAAAATAATGTTTAGAACGATTCAAGTTGTATTTAATAAATATTTATTTTCCAAAAAACAATTTGGCTTCATGTGATAAAGGATGAGTTGTCTAGGGGATGAGTTGTCTAAGGGATGAGTTGTCCAGGGGATGAGTTATCTAGGGGATGAGATGTCCAGGGGATGAGTTGTCCAGGAGATGAGATGTCCAGGAGATGAGTTGTCTAGGGGATGAGTTGTCCAGGGATGAGTTGTCTAGGGGATGAGTTGTCCGTAAGCCTGCTAAGGTAAGGTTTTCTTGGAAACGTGTAACTTAACCCCCCTATTGTTTGTTTAACCTACCACAAATTGTTCCTTGAAGAGTGCGTTATCGTTCTCCCGATGTTTTACAAGGTATTCACTCAAGTCAGATACTTTGATGGGCCTAAAGAGTAAATTGAGAAAATTAAGCGAATATACATGTTAATGAAATACAAAACGATAATATACAATAAAATATAATTTAACACTATATAATTAAATATAGTATAATAAGATATGATATGATTTAATATGATATAGTGAAATACAGTATTACATATATGAGTAAATAAAATATGTAGTGTTACAATAATGTAAAACATATAATAGTTTTTATTTATATAACCTTGTCAATTTTTCGTCAATTTTCTTTATATTTTCTTCAATAACTGCAGCAACTTTATTTGTGTTATCTTCCATTTCAAAAGCAGTATTAGTAATCCCATTAGTATATCCATTGTCCTGGTTTAGTGGTGCAACTTCTCTAAAGTACAAGTCCGTGTTGTTGACACTGTCTTGCGTCGGTCTGAAAACAACAATACGTGATACTATCAACAAGTAATCGGCATAGGTATCGATAATTCTACTTTTGTAACTTGTAAAACTAATTATATTCTAGCAATCTTGTCAAATATTTAAACTTGGTAATTATTTATAAAGGAAAATTAAATACAAACTTAGTATTCAACGTAATGTACAAATCAATTTACCGGCCAATGTTAATATGATGATTTGTGCTTCAAATACTTTAATTCTATACTCAAAAGATATTAATATTCAAGAAACTCAATTTAAAGTACTTATCCAGACATGTGATTAAAATTGTGTCTCCCATCAAGAATATATCAAGAAACAATACTGATGAATTGCCTAATGTAAATAAGAAACACAAAATGTATGGCTCTGATGCTTACCAACATCAACATGATGGACTAAAATAGACAAACACATCCCTCCTAACTTTTTAATACCATGGAATTATCCTGATCCAAATTTGTAGGGTATACTTTGATGAGAATTCATTTAAATTCACCATGGTTGTGAATACACATATCCAGTGACTCTTTCCTATTTTGGCATTCACACACCTCTTAATATCCATATTTAATCCAAAAAGTGTACGATGTACCAAAATGTTAGCGAACATAACAATATCTAGAGGATATCGTCACAATACCCCGAAAATGTGAAATACCTAAATTCACCAGCCATAAAGCCTATCTCCATTTGGAAAAATCTTTCAACTGAAATAAAAACATCGCCAACCCTAGCAATCTTCAAGAAAAACTATAATAAGAAATATACATTTCATAAAAAGAATATTTTAACAAAAAATCTTAATTTGAAAAGGTCTTCTGAAACTAAACTTAATAAAATAAGAAGCGACCTTGCCCTTAAAAGTGACTTTTTTAGACATAATTTCAACAACATCATAGATCCTTCTTGCCCCTGCGGCCACCGAAATCAAGATAAGATTCATCTTTTACTCGACTGCCCTCTAACCGCCATACATAGAAATGATTACATACAGAACATCCTAAAGTTAGACAATCTTGATATTATGTGCTATTTTGGAAAAAACAGAAAGCAAAAAATAGAATTTATACTTTATGGAGATGAAAATTTAAATAGTGAACTGAATACAAAATGCCTTCAACTATCTTCAAATTATATCGATAACATCTTAGAATGACCATCCTCCTCATTTCACATCATCTCTCATTAACACTCATATACATCATCATGGGAAAGACCTGGTGGACGACCGTCTGTCCGTTGCAATCCTACACACTCCAGTGATTTATTATATGTTTTTAACTTTCTAGAGGGGGGCCAATAATGCTATGTAGCCTCGGCCCCTCACAATCTATGTAAATAATTATGTGGAATATTATAGAAATAAATAACAATAACCTATAAAAAAAAAAAAAATACCCCGAAAACCAATATGCGGAGGATATCATGATGATATACTCCGATTGTTGATTCCCTGCTTAATCGAACTATTTGACATTGAATTAAATGTTGAAATATTTTGGAAACATTGTGAAATAATATGCTCTCCTAATGTACACCATATACACCCCCTACAGTAAACTTGACAATCACAGGCCCCCTTTGGATCGTTTACCAAAGCCTGCTTATGTTTGGCAAAAGGTTTATTAAAGGAATGGCATCGATATGGAGAACTTTTTAAACACACGTTTCTCTTAAACCAGTCATCAAAAAAATCTAAAAAATTAACACATCGTCAATGTAATGGTCATCTTATGAATGGTAATAATATATTTTGAAAAATATATATATACTTTCATCTATATTGTTTTAGAAAACACATCAAACACTTGTTTTGTTCTTGGTATCATGCTTCCAAAGTGAAATGAAACATCTTTCCGAACCTCATTGGAACAAAATGACATAAACACAACATGTTTAGGTCTCTCAATATTGTAATTGTACAAAGGAAATTTTGGTTGATTTTAAAAAAGTATCTTGTTAATGAAATAAAAGGTTTATCTTGATTTCTATCTATTTTGGGTGGATTTTGTTTTAATTTTTTGAATACTTTTTTAAGACCAAACATTCCTTTGTATAACTAAAACATTGAGAGGTCCAAAAACATGTTGTATATGCTATTTTGTTCCAACAAGGTTCGGAAAGACATTTTATTTCATTCTCAAGAATTGGTAGAAAGGAGCAAAAACAATTGCACTACAAATAAAATTAACAAAAACAGTTATATAAAATATTTCTAAATAATTTTCGCATTAAATTGTTGTCAATCAGTCAAAATTACATAAAATGCCGTGTTTTTTTACAGAATGTTTTCAATGATTGGTTTAAGAGAAAAACATTGTTGAATTCAGTTCTCCATATCGATACCAATCCTTTGACATAATTCCATAACTCTTCAAAAATTGGCAGACTTTGATTAAGCTGTTCATTAAAAACTTCTGGTTTCCAAACTTATTGAAGGGGGTTATATACGAGTTGTATATGGTTAATTCTAATATTCACGTTTAAGATCGAAGCACAATGTTCTAAAAAAGAGCAATATTTATTTCATAAGCTGTACAGTATTGATAGGATATGATACAATTATGCATATTATAAAATTCGAAATGAAATCAATTTTTCCTCGAGCATTGATTACAGAAACACTCTACTTTACAATAAAAATAACAGATGTTGCGAAAACAAAAGAGACATGTTATTGCAATAAAACCACACCAAGTGAAATTTTCAATATCTTAAGCATTATACATTCATATAATGTTATATGACAATAATATCAGATAAGTATACTGTTTAATAACATTTTAACATAAAAGCAGTAAATAAAACCAACTATATAATCACCAGGATAGAGTACTATATATATATTCAGTGTCTACAGACAGTGTGAAAGTGGAAATCTAAGTCATAAGATGTAAATATAGTTATATACATATTTATACAAATAACAGATCTTTGAAGTAAAATAAACTGTACACACTGTGCATAATCAGATGTACATATACACTCATCGTTTGAATGTGTATTTAATACATTTTGAAGTAAACCTTAGCACCTTGTTCCATTTCTGATCTAGTTATTATCAATTCCAGTTTCAGAACTGTTACATTATGAATGCCATATGATATTATACTGGAAAAGAGAACTCCCTCCATAACGTTTTATAATAAATTAAACGATGCTCATCACACTTCCTATGACTAACATGCTATGTAAATGTTCTATCCATCATATTGGTCAAGACCAAAGAAAATATCAAACTTCGTATTTTAAGTTGTAAAATTTTGAGTTTGAGTCACATATGTCGATTGTATTGACATGAGACTGGTCATGGGAAAACCGGTCTTATCACAAAAATTGAAATTGTGCTACAGAGCCAAAAATGTGCCCAAGATTTAGAGGAAAATGTGCTAAATTCAAATCCGACTTATTGGTATATATATGCAAGGAAAAATTGTTAAGACACAAGCCATGGCTCATTTGAAAGGTCTCTTTGTGCTTTTTAGATAAACAAAAAATCAGAATATTGAAACAATCTGTGATAAGACCACTTTTTCTGTGGCCTGACTCGTATATTGGCGCAATATACCAGTTGCAGTACGTTTGTACACATGAAAGTTATATTGATAAATAATTGTAATCCTTTAGATGACACTTTTTTGACAGAACTCCATTAGTACCATTATGTGTCGTATCAATGAAGCATATTGGTTTCTTAATTTGATATGTCATGATATGGCACCTATGAGTTGACACATTTTCGCTGAGATTTCACACCAAGTATCATTCGACTAGAACTTTCATATTTTCTCCTCCGATGGTAGTTATACAGCATCAGGGGTAAATGCCTTGTTATTATATACACCATTGGTTCCAGTAGCCCCGGTTCGTATTTCTGTCTTTCCACTGAAAATACGAACTTGTGTTAATGTGTCACCAGATTAAGCGACACAAACAATCTACAAATTAAGGCCAATCAGAAAATGAACAAATGTAAATGTTCAGAGCAACATACCCTTGCAAAATAAAAAGAAGATAGTGTAGCATTCTATTTCCAAAAAGAGGAACGTAAAGTTGGTCATAAGTTGGAGTTGGCACAAAGATGAACACGTACATGCTCGCAACATTCAAAGCACATCTACAGAGAAAAGAAGAATCAAAGAGTGCATATATTAATATATATCTACTAAAGTAAACCATTACAATTGTGCACTAACTATTCAAAACAACACATCTAACATAGATAGAAACTACAGGCTAAATATACAAAAGGTATACACGAAATATATACTTGAGAAAAGTACTTTAGAATAATAAAAATGTGAATTACCTTTCCTTTGCACCGTGTGCAAAAATGACTGTTTCGTCTCGCTTTAGATTTCGGCTTGAAATGTCACAAATATGTGATGAAAAGAGGTATCGTACAACAGAGTTTGAAATAAAAGTAATGTCAAGTGTATGACTCTAGCCCATGCGAATTGAACTTTTAATGTGCATATTTACTATAACTAAAAATACATTGTTGTCACAGTGAATGTATCATAAATAAATGAGAGCTTGATACTATCCTAGTATTAACAAATAAGAAGTATAACCAAAAACCACCGAGAAAGAGAAAGAGACTAGATACCTTCACATAAGCACATATTTTGCCCATGCATAGATTATATTCAATTCATATACGTTTTGTATGAGAAATGAACTTTCAACATACTGAAAGCTTCGACCACTAGCTTATATTTATTGTAGATGAATACTTAATGGAATATAGTATAATATAATTATATTTGCATCATTACAAATCATTTATTTCGTCATGTTTATATGTCTAAGAATAATCAAAGGTAATCATGTGAAAAAAGACATTCATTGCAATTTGCAAAACAACTAAGCAAATGCAAAAATATATTTTTTATTTGAATAAGCCTTGTAGAACCCACGTATACACTCCCCTCTAAAAGTCAGCAACTCTGGTCATTCATCTGATAGTCTGTCAATGTTTGAATTACCCTCGATTAAATTAAGTCGGGAACTGTAAACAATTTGCCATATATAAAGACACCTTGATATATAAAGAAAGCTGTTGTTATTAAACTTTTAGAGGGAAGCGCAAATACAATCACTTGTAAGAATGTAAAACTCACCTTCTGTTTCTCCTAAGCAACACAACGATGATGATTATTACAATCAGGAGAAACAGCACGCCACCTATCGTTCCGCCAACTATAGCACCTACATTACTTTGAGGAGGGGCTGCAAGACATATTTATGACAATAAGACATCTTTAGGAGGTCAGAAGCTTGCATTAGGTCTTATTGAATATAATTCATCTTTATTTCGATACTACATTTAAGTACTTTTGAAATTTCTATTTTTGGATTTAACCTCTGGGTCGCCTTGATATGCCATCATCATGGTTAAATTAAACATCAAAGAGATAGTTAAAATCTATATTTAAGTTAATGTTATCTGGTTGCTTATTCCTGATACAGATTTTGCCACCACCGCCATAAAATGTACAAAATTTTACCTGTCTGTTTTTCTTGGCGTGAAGTTGTAGCTGATGCTTTTGCAGAGGGTCCCTCCGCTATAGTTACAGCTGCAACACTGATATCGTATCTAGTACCATTTGTTAGTTCATCTAGTGTTGCGGTTGTCCCAGTAACATTTCTAACCTCGTCTCCTGTCGACTGGGGACTTTTATATCTTATAACATAGTACCTAATGATTCCATGTGGTATTTCAGGCTCTTCCCAGGTGACCCCAATACTATTGTGAGTCAAAGAGTTGTTTGGTGCTCTAAGATTACGCACAATAGTTGGAGCTGCAAGTGCAAAGACATTGTTATATCATGATGAAACACTGCACTATGGTCGAGAGAAGGCCCTACTGTATTACTTCATTAAATACAATGGAAGGTAAAACCTAAAGCTTTAGCCAATTGATATTGAAAGCAGAGGAAACATGATTTGGAACACATGATCTAGTTTAAGGAAAGGCATTTGTAAATGTAAAAAGAAACATTAGTCGTGATTGACAGCGTGTCATGAGAATATGTCTGTGTTACCGAGGTACAAAAATTACACTGAACAAAAACGTTCAGTTATATCACTTGACTTACGTCCTTCTGGAGTTTGGCGACTTGTATGCCTTACATCCCCAACTGCTACTGTAACTGCTGCTATACCAAATGTATAGTTAGTATAACCATTCAATCCAGTTACTAAGTACTCCCGTGTAGTTGATGAAACTTTTGTGTCGTTTCTCGTACTATTTATCAAACTTATGACATACTCTCGCACGATACCATTACGCTTTGTTGGAGGAGCCCATGTTAAATTGACAGTAGTATAGTTAAGTGGTGTGACGCTAAAACTTGATACTTTTTCAGGGGCTGAAAAATATATTTCACACATGGAGCACTTCAGATATATTGTATTGTATTGTATATCCTATTGTATTATATTGTATTATGTCATGTTTAGTACATTAATAATAATTGTTGATGATAACTTGTTTTAATGTATATTTCAGGTCAGTGGATAAGAGAAATATGAGCACAGAGTAGAGAACATACTGTTTGTACTAAAATTAGCTTTTCAAATGTGTTACTTGCCTGCTTCTTGTGTACTTTTTAATGCTGGATTGCTCCAAGGACCCGGACCTATAGTCGTATAAGCTCTCAGTTGTATGCTATAATTTGTAAAAGGTTCCAAGCCAGTTATGTTGATGGTTTCACCAGTAGTTGAAAACGTAGCAGCAGTAGAAGATGGTCTAGTATAATTTTGAGTTGTATTTTTCCCAGTGTTTAAGTTATGTATATAACATTCATAAGTAGTAATAATTCCGTTTGGTCTACTTAATGGCCTAAATGTAACCGTAAATGATCGTTCTTGTGGTGTTAAAACTACGTCAGTCGGTGCATCTCCCGGAGCTAAAAAAATATATATAAACAGGTATTAACTTTTTGAACAAAATAAATAAAGGAAAATATGAAGTAATTTGATACTGTCAAAAAACTGTTTATGTGACAGTTGGGCATTTAGAATAGACTAAATAAATGGTCATACCATCTTGCAAAGTCATAGTGTCCGCCTCTGATGATTCGCCCTTTCCTACACTATTCCAAGCATATACTATAACATTGTACTGTTGATACGGATCTAGATCAGTGGTATACTTTGTAGCAGCTTCACCAGCGCCCATCGACCGTGTCGATTTTATCATACAATCATCAATTTCAGTAATTGGGTAGAACTTTGCCTTGAGGAAAGTATAAGGAAAATAAGTATGATAATCAGAAAGTTTATTCAGAATTGTAAGTTGGTTAAATTAGTTGACATAAACATTTAAATAGGAACTGCTCGGTCAAAATGCAAAATTATTTCATAAAAATGTTATTTTAATTATCTTTATTGCATAAATGTTACCTCAGCTTGTGAATCTCTGGTTATGTTATATACAGAGCCATCTATGCACACTCTAGATCCATTGAATAATTTTACGATATAGTGAGTGATTAAGCCATTTGGAGAGTTTGGATATTGCCATGATGATAGTACACTACTAGAGGAATTGGCCAATATATTCAAATTAGTCACTGCCTCCGAATCTATAAATAGGAATCACAATAAAAATCAAGTGATCCTGAATTAAGGCCTAAATACCAATGTGGGGAAGGAACATAATTTAACAGAATTTGTGTAATGGCCAACATTTTACAGAGCGATCATTTTTCGTCGTATAGACCTTTAACAATGCCCATTTGATATTACTCTATACGCATGGCCTCTTCTGTAATATTGGAAATACGATTCTATATACTGTAGTCTTATGATTATATAAACTGAATGAATGAAACGTAATAATACCAGTAGTATGGCTACTTACAGTATTCCAAAGTCTTAGACGTCACACCAGTTGATGGGCCTTGTTTGATAGTTGTTGCTGACACATTGAAAGTATAGTCTGTCCAAGGTCTCAGGCCAGTAACGTTGACCTCATAAGTTGATGAATCAACGTGTATAGGTGGATATGTTCCAGTCCCATTGCTGTATGTTACTATGTACGATCGGATGATTCCGTTTAGAGTTGTTGGTTCTTGCCAAGATACCAATACCGAAAAGGCTGTTTTCTCGGTTGCGTTCAGGGACATGGGTTGACTTGGTGCTGTAATAGTGATTTCGAGTTATAATGTCTGGTGCTATATATGCTACCCTCGTAATCAGTACCTCGTATATTAGAGAGAATAGTTATTTTTAAAATAATAAGAATTGTGTAGTTATTTTAAAGGAGAATGTTCGCATTACAATACAACAGATTTGTCTGTAACTGGCTATACGAGAGTCCTTTCAAAGTGATGCACTTAATTTTAGGGCATGTTTTGAATCGTATAGATACCAAATATGTAGCCTATGAACTTAAATGCAACACCACTTGATACAAGGGCATGCCTCGACAAAAAGGTGAGTACTCCAAGTCGTTAATGATAAGTAAGTACATGCGCGACATTGTTTCCCATGTTGAACACTTCACATTCTAACTGAAAGTTATTTCAAAATATTTGCCATTTTTGTTCCAACCTGTAGAATACCTTGTTTGAGATTAGTGTTAAAATTACATTTCTTTAAAGTTTCTTTAAGCTTGTTTTGGTATTGTCAAAAAAGCAATCTCACCATCCTCTCCAGTGATTCCTATTGTTTCATTACTCCAAGGTCCTTCACCGATAACTGTAAATGCCCTTACTACAACGGTGTAATTGGTATAAATCTTAAGTCCAGCGACCTCTTTCTGCATCTCACTCGTAAACACCTCTATACCATTATCACTTGTGTCAGAAGCCTCCCAGTATTTAACTGAGTAATTTGTGATTATTCCATTAGGAAGAACTGTGTTTCCCCATGTTATAAGCAAAGAAGTTGAGGAAGTATTGTATACTTCGAGATCCACTGGCGATCCATCGGGTTCTGCAATAAAAGCACTGTGGTCATAACATATCCCACGGCATATTGTTTATTTTTTATTGTATCTTATACTTGAACCAACAGTATATGCTCCGGAGCCTTAAAAATCAAATGAAGTTATAAAAATTTATAACAATCATGAAAATATAGAGATACAATTGCAATGTAATAATGTACAGAAAACAGAAAATAGTTCAGTAAATATGTTGCAGATAATTTGCAGATTAAGTGGCCGTTGGGGTTGGTGAGCTAAGGATTGACTCTATTGTACATAACATCAATGTTAACGAATTTATTTCACTTTACAGTGAAGGTTATTTTATGTAAGTAGGTATTGTAGAACTTACTGTCTTGGAGTGTTTCAATGAGTCGTGTTTGCTTTTCTCCGGGTCCTTTGGAGTTGACAGATTGAACCATTGTTGTATAATTCGTATACGGGGATAGATCATTTACTGTATATACAGCTGTTTCGTTGATTTGAATTGTTCCCCCAAGATCAACAGTTTCGCATTCATTGAGATCTATTTCAATATCAGAAGACAGTGGAATACCTGTCTCAAGACCAATATAGCGCTCGTCAGTCTGTAAGAATACAACAGGTTCTGAGAAAATATTAGATATATTATTTTTCATTTCCACCGGCTAATGGATGATCTGAGAACTAGAAATACTCAAGGTACAATTTGTAGTTTTATAGTTCGTTTATAGTCCTTACCCAACATCTTGTATCATTCGGCGTTGGATGTGTCACATTAAATACAACACCTTTATGACACGTTCCCTCGTTTTCAACTTTCACTATATAGTGGCGGACAATGCCATTTGGTTCACCTGGCTCCTGCCAAGTTATTGTTAAATTTTTTGAAGTGGGAGTTAATTGCAGATTTGAAACACTCTCTGGCACTAAAATAGAATGAATCAATTGGTGTTATTTTAAACATATTCAGTAACTTGAAAACGCCATTTTACTGCTCTATTTACACTGATGAATGGATGTCATATTACAAAACATTGTAATACTGGAATTTCAAATTGGATGCTTGGTAGTGTGTTTTACTTGATTTTTAAAAGGCTTACGGTCTTCATCTGTCGGTTGTATAAGGGGCACTGAAGCATCACCTAGACCCTTGCTATTGCTTGCATACACTATGAACTCGTATGGAAGACCTATCAAAAGAAGATTGAATGAAAAATGTAAATAACGACAGTAAAAAAGCAAGCATATTACTTTAAATGTGTAAAAGTAACAGATTGGTCTCTATCACATAAGTGAACTTGTGGTTAATGGCGGCAATATAATCTTTTTTCAGTTTTCTTTAATATCTATTGATTATCATAATTATCTAGCATTACATTTACAGTGTTGGCACCCGATACCCATAAGAGGGTAGATGGTTAATTGATATTAGTCGAAAAACACTTGCTTACCTGCTCTGAGGCCACTTATAGTATGGGTCGTTGTCATTCCCACGTTGGTTTCAATATACGAGTTATTTTCACACTCTTTATGACGAACTATATAGTTGAGTATGACACCATTGGGGATAGGTGGGGCTACCCAAGATATTGATACGGAATTCATGTCTGTATTAGTTACATTAACATTTTCTGGCTTCCCTGGCGCTAAAAATAAAGCAATACCATGCAGTTGGTCTTAGTTCTGTATACTTTAGGTCCATTGTTTAGAACAACGGTCTGTGAAAATATACTACATGTAGTTATGGTCATCTTAAAAAGGGCTACTTAGATTAAATTAATGTACCACCAAATGTTCACTTACGTATTTCATCTGTGAGGAAACAATCTTCACTCGGATGACTTTTGAGAGATTTAAGTTCTGCAATAACGCTAACACAGTATGAGATACCAGGCCTCAAAGTAGATATGTTAACACCGTGATTAGTAACAGAGGGTTCAACTTCACCGATAATTCCCGTTCCATTTATTAGTGAAACATTGTATCTGTCTACGCCATTCTCACTTGTTGAGTTACTCCAGGTGATATACATGTGGTAGGGCGACCATGTTGGAGATTTCTTTTCCAATACCAAATCCCCCGGCCGGCTAGGTGCTAGAAAGAATAGTATCCAACTGACACATGGCCAATAAACATAGGATATCATTGTTCATTGGATACATTTATCTGGAATACTAATGTCTTGAAATTTCGAAAATAAATCAGCCATAGCTTACTTGTTAATTGACCTGCACCTCCATTTGCAAAAGCTTCTCTACTCTCTTCATCTCCCACAATAGACATCACGCTAATATTATACAACCTTCCAGGATATAAATCGGTAATTGTGAATGAAGTTGCATTCTTTGCAATAAAAGAACCTGGTTTGCCCTCATCAACTGGTGAAATGAGAATCTTATATCCATCATAACCTCCAACAGGTGCTCTATCTGGTGTCCATTGTACTTCAATAGCCGTATCATTGATAGCTGTGGCTAAGACGCTATTGGCTAGCGGTGCCAATGGTTCTAAACAAAATATAAAGCAAACATATATACTTTATTAGAAGAAGATAAAACTTTCCCTGTTAAAAACCGTATTGGCAGTAAGTACATAGTGCGTTTTCATAAGATAATACATGTAAAATGAATTGCATTGACAATGCCTGGTAATGACTAGATTGGATTAAGGATATTAATGTTTAAAACTTATCGTAACAGATGAAACCTTTAATTTAATTTAATGTAGTTTCCATACTTTGAATGAAACTTACGATCACTTTTATTCACGAGTTGCATATCTTGCTTAACATGTGTACACAATCCAAAAGTAGTGGTTGGTATCTACAGGGTGATCATAAAGTAAGATCAAAAGTGCTCTAACTTTTGTAAATACTAATGAATCTGGTTCATTTTCTCACAGAATGTTGATCTACATACTGCGTTCTATGGTAACCTTGGCAACCCATGTCGATGGTACCCCTAGCAGTCAAAAAAGAAAGAAAATGGTGTGATGTTTTCTTTCTTAATGTTTTTGGGGAATATTACCATATTTTGTTACATTCAATGCATTCTTTTATATCATTATTTCAGATGTTCATTTTATGTGTTCCGTAAATTTGCTATTATGTTCAACACACTTTTGTGACGTTTAATCCAGTCTATGAATACATGTTTGAATGCCACTCGCAAGAAAATACCAAAGTTGGTAGATCTCTTCAAGAAAATACCAAAGTTGGTAGATCACTTCATCTTGCATTGGGATAATGTATCTTGCCTTACAACAAGTCTAGCACATAAGCAAATGGAAAGCAATTGGTTTGAACAACTGGATATGGCCCTTACTCACCAGACATGGCTAACAGAGACTTCGTGGGGTCTTAAACTATGAACTATGGGGAGAATTTCCCATGACAGACGAGGATCTGAAAAAGGTGGTATTCGACGGGGTGCATATTATAGGTGAAGGTGGCTTCAAACATGTGTTCATGGACTTGATTCCCGACTTGATTAAATGTCCTTAAAAATGTGTTGAACATCATGGCAAATATATAGGACATCTATAATGAACATCTGGAAAATAATGATGAACAAAAATACATTGAATGTAACAAAATATGTTTGTATCCTCATAGTATATAACCATTAAGAAAGAAAACATCGAAATATTTTCTTTCTTTCTTGCTCCGGCTACCCTCGACACGGGTTGCCATGGTTACCATAGAACGCACAATATTAAATGTAACAGATTATAATTTATGTTATGTACGTATAATTAGTGGATCAATGTTCTGTGAGAAAATGAGCTAGATTCATTAATATTTACAAAAGCACTTTTGATCTTATTTTATGATCGTAAGTGCGATTCTCGTAAATAAACGTAATAAGATGAACAAATTACTTGTCAATTGTGAAGTCTGTAGAATGCTGCTACATTTTGTCATGTTAATATCATCATCTTTTGCAACAGCTCTGACATTAACAGTTATATTTGTAGCTGGAGTGAGACTGCTCAACGTTATGGACGTCTCCTGCTGCCCAAGTTGTATAGGTGGCTTTGGTGAACCATCACCAATTGGGTAATACTGCACCTCATAACCAGTGTAATTCCCAATTAAAGGCTCCTCCCAACTTATAATGATTGTAGTTTCATCGAGTGCTCTACTTGCTATAGTGCTCGGAGGAAATGGTTCTGAAAATAGCATAAACATGTCAAAGAACGCAGAAGAATAAACATTTGTACTTTTTGTCACCTTTCCTCTTTTTAAATGTTGACCCGAGATAAGCCTGAGGTCAATAAAATTCACTCATTTGACAGTACATTGTAAATCAGCCATAGCTTACCTTGGTTGTATATTGTAATCTAAAATGTATTTCTGTTTGCACTTATAAATCATAATATTTGCTTTTTCAAATGCTTATTTCTCACATCGTTTTTAACTCTCTAGTTCCAAGTAGCTGTTTTCTGGCGGTATATTGAGAATAATTCGGATTAAAATCAGAAATGTAAACATTTAGAGGAATCTGATCTTTAAACGATACGTAATAATAGAGAGAGCTATATTTGAAATCTCTCTACTTGTTTGAAACCTTATTGGATCAAATGTTTTCTGTATATTTACATCGGTTTTATTTTCAATACTTTGTTTTGACCTTAGTTTTACATGTTCCAGTCTTTCAACTCAGTGTTTGTTTGTTAGTTTTCAACTTTGTTTCAATTATATGGTCGGAGAACATATTCATTATATGCACACAAACACCAGGCATACACCTAGTGTGTATTTTTCGGTTTAATTTCTTGTTTGTGATATTTTGCTCTCCAACGTAACTTGGATGATCTGTACAATCATGCTTATGAGGCATCTCAATGAATTTATATGGCCCGTGCAAAGTTTGAAAACATAGTTTAGTCATTCAAATCTTACTTTTTATGACTTAAAGAACTACTTGAGACATTTTTAAAAATGTTGTTCGTCTTATAACATTCAAATATTTGAATTTTCCGCCATTTTAGAAACAACAGTATATAGATTTTTAGATCATCAAATACATTACTGTAAACATATTATTTTATCCACTTCATTGAATAGATCGGGCAAAGGATACATTATTTCAACCATTCAATCTATGGTTTAATGCATATATAATTCTAAAAGCTTTTTATAAATAATTTGTAATGTCACAAAGATAAAATAAGTTTTAATCGTGTTTGAATAGTTATGTACCATCGTATTCAATGAGAATGAGGACTAAAAATTTGAAATGTTTTTTCTTTAAACCACTTGTTTACGCTAATGAGTTTAATTTTTTCAACCAAAAATTATATTTCTGAACAATGTATCAGCGCGACAACTTTAATATCATTTGAAATAAATACACAATTTTTCGAACTAAAGGTTTTTCAAAATCAACTTAACTTGAAAAGTTTCACATTTTGATAACATTGGGTAAGACTTATATTTAATCCAAAGTGGTTAAAACTTCATATGGGGCCTTTCAGAGGAGCACAATTCAATATATCCTGATGTTCGTTTCGATATGAACAAATCTTCATTTACGCACTTTGTAAATATATGTTTAAACATAATATGAGCAACGGTGTACGTACTTAGTAGCCGGGACAGAAGAAGTGACAAAAGGAGTCATCCCTATCTTTTCAATTCTCAATAATTTTTCATGAAATGTTCTCCGAATAAACTCTATTTCGTAAAATGCTAAATACGTATTTTGTTTCACTCATTATCAATTTTCATTATAATTACAGCTTTTCAACAATTGTAACAAATATAAATTACCTTTCGTCTGTGACTACTAGTAGTAAAGTGTGCTCACTTGTTAATGAATCCTTTTTGCTGGATGGTTCGGCAGACGTATAACCCTCGTACGTAACCTCAGTCCAAACTGAATACCGTACACCTGCATTCAATTCTGTCAGATCAACATTTTCATTGTTATTAGTAACGTCCTTAGATTGAGCTCCTCTGCCAAATTGCTCGTACCATACTACTAATCTCTGATGTTTGAGTTTTGGCTTTTCCCATACGACGACCATGGATGTTTCCATTACTTCGCTAATAGTAAAGTTTGTAATTGGACCAGGTCCTAAAATTAAATTCAGCCTTTGGTTAATTTATATAGTTCTAATGATATTGTTTTCATTTTATATATGTAACTCAAACTCAGGTTTATGTAATAGCTCAGGAAAAATTATTCGAAGATAGCTAAACATATGGCGGGAGAATCAACTGCCTCTCACAAGTTTTTCAAAAAATTTGTTGAATGTACACATTTTTTCAATAGTTACTGTAAAATGTCTAGTGATGTATTTGCCTCATCTATTTGAATTTTCTTCATCTTTCTTAGGTTATGTATACGCCCTTGCATTGTAACCTTATTCATTTTGTAACATGTATCTGATTTGGAACTGGTCGGCCAAATTTTGGGTGAAATTGATGTTCTCGTTTTAGCCAGTACGAATTTAGTAAAATAGCAATCTGAGTCTTAAAAGGACGTAACAAGTTCTTTATGTGTGGGCACTATAATGATCGTCTTTGCCACAAATAAGATCTCAGAATAGCTTTCCCTGTATCGATAGCTTTTCCCATAGTTTTTTCTGTTGCTGAATCAGTCTTACTTCAGCACTTTTTTGTCTTGTGATACTTGTAATATTTTTGTCTCGAATTTTTTTCAGTATATACTGAACACTCTACCCCAAGTGATTCTCTGACACACTGGATGATATGCTGCTAATCAGAGGAATGACTAATATCACTATAAAATTGTTGCTTCGAATAACATCTTTATTTTTCAAAAAAACTAAAGATTCGTTTATCCCATTTTAGAAACAATTGAAAATGTTATTCCTGCATGTCCTACAAATTTTCATTGAAATCCATGCATTTTCAAAATAGTTATATCGAAATAATAAATGTGGACGTTTTTGGCCCACCCTGAATATAATTTATATTTTGCTTGCCTACTCTACGTCATGATTTTACCAGTAAATATAACTAGAACATACAAACCAAAACATTTAAAAAAGGCCTTAGTCAAGCTTTAATGTCCTGTTTAAGAGCCCCGATTCCTTATATTGATAATTGATTCAATCTACTATGCAACACTACGATCCCACATAAATGTACTTATTGAGACTCAATCAACTTGAGTTCTTATGAGAAATGAGGATTTCAGCAGGGGCACATGTACTTAACATGGTGACAGACATGATGGTATCCCGATGCCAGGTCATTGGTAAATGTTGTGTGTCCCCATGTTAAGTCAATGCACCCTTGTTGAAATCCTCATTTTCTCATTGGAACTCAAGTTGATCGTGTCTCAACAAGAAGATCCATGTTGGATGGTAGAATATCCATTTTCAATAGTAAGAATAGGGGTTCTTAAATAGGACATTGGGCTTGCTTTTTAGGACTAAACGGCAGTTTCTCAATACTAATAGTAACGTATGATATTAAAAAGAATATGTATTTGGAATTAAACACATTTTCCTGAATGTTGCATCGTTTCTGTTTCCGATTCTACTCAATTTGGTTTGGTTTGGGGATATCCATTTAAGATTCGTAATATACATTATTATCTATCATCACTGATAACATTGAAATCATATGTACCCGTTTTCCAAATTGGTGTTGAATTTGTGCATGTGGAACTGTTCTGGTCTTCCCCGCCAGATCGTATTACAGAGTACACACAGAATGTATAATCTGTATATGTGGACAGATTAAAGATCTCATGTTCCGTGAACAGATCATTTTCCCTAGGAAATATCACGTCTTCCATCATGGAGTTGTGCTCATATAATGCTCTATAATGGGTCGCGCCATTAACGTTTATGATAATCAGTCTAATCGAAGTTGATGAAGGACCAGCTCTTGCTCCAACTCCAGGAGGTTTCTCTGGAACTGAAAACGTTTATTATAGTACATAAATGTGAAAGAAAATTCGATTAATGACTTTAACGGAGAGAATAACAAGAATATCAAATTCAGATTTGAATTTCCGAGATCTTGTAAATTATTTTGAAAAAGGAATTTGGCCAACTTGAAGCAAGTTGAAAAATACCTTTTTGACCTTATTTGACCTTGAGAAGGTCAAATCTCAAATCATGTGTCAGATTTGAGAAATTGTAGATGATTTTGAAAAAAGAATTTGATCAATTTGAAGCAAGTTGGAAAAAGATCCCGATGACCTTTCTTGACCTTGAGTCTTTGAGGGTCAAATCTTAAATTGAAAGTCAGATTAGAATTAAACTTTGAAATAAAAAAGGTCAATTTGAAGCAAGTTGAAAAAATACCGTTTCGACCTTTTTTGACCTTGAGAAGGTCATTGAAAGTCACATCTTAAATCTAAATTCAGATTTGAACTCCTGAGAATTTGTAAATAAGTCAATCTTAACAGTATTTGTTAAGTTAGTTGAAGTTTTTAGAATTTGTTACAGATACCGAATGCTAACCACCAACCACCGTCCCAAAAAACGGAGACTTTTGATGGTGACATAAAAATAGTGATGTACAATTCAAAACCTTTCAGCTCTAACATTTGAATAAATAGCATTTATGAAGATGTATTCAGTTCAATACATTATAACTCGATACAAGTATAAAATAAAACTATTTCAATGATGTATATAAATACCTTAAACAAATGACACATTATTAAAGCTCTCGTAACACATAATACTTACCGGTCTGGGGCGAGGCAATGCCAATCTGAAATGAGATGAAAATACAATTATACGTTTATTTTGAAAACCATTTTTACGTCATTATTTCACGAATCCTTCACAGAGTCTTAAACTCCAACACGTTTTATCCATGAAGGGAAACTGATTTAATCCATAACCACTGTGATAGTCATAGGATACCATGGCAAAACAGTAACTGTGTTCTTGTATACAGTAAGGAAATCTTATTTCAATAAAAGATATATTTAAAGTGGACACCCTGTATTATACCTCCTTGAAATACATTTAATCCATAATATATATTTTATACGAGGGTCATTGACCAAAACGGACTGTTAAAGATTAATTAGATCAATTTGTATAAAATTAATCTTATAATGCACGTACTTAGAAGAAAAGTAAATCAAAAGTATGAATTAAAGGAGGCGAACTGGTATCATGCTAACTTATGGCTTCCCTAGCTAAACCAAAGATGAGATGAATAATCATTAATAACCTTTTCTCCTGCAGATGCATTCTAATTTCAGCACTATGTTTATCAACAACATCATTATATTAGTCATAATTACATATGTATATTGAATCGCATATGGAGCTTCTATCTTGAAGAAAAATGAAATCGTAAAGATGACATAAATAAGCAGAAGGAGACAGTAATTGCCGATTGTATCAATTTTTGTTAAATTAAATCCCTGCATTAAAACATTAAATATATAAAAATCTAATGAATAATATCATGAAGACCTTAACTAGTTAATGGATTAAAATGCCTTTGCATATTACAGTTGGGCAAATACTATTTTCCCAATTGATTTTTTAAAAGTTCTGCAACAGATGCAGTTGACATAGTCATAAACATATTGAATCAGCTACAATAGGCCTAGTCGTAGTTATGTTGTTTCACCTTATGTTTAGTTCAGGGACAATTAAGATAGACATTGCAATTGGTATAACTATGATTATATCAATGGTCAACACTATTAAGATAAGTAAACTAAACATTCTAAAGAATCAATCGAACAATTCAGAATAAGACTATGATTGCTTAAACAAGTTCTTTAACTTCGGAAAGACGCTACGTGACATTATTGTTTCTATCTACATTAGAACATTGGTTAAGATTTGGGGACTCCTTTCCTTGTAACCAATTTGGCCTTTCTATGTTTGTTTTAAAATCTTTCTGAAAACTTTTTTGCTCCCTCTTTGAATAATTTATCATCTGTATATTTTAGTGTCATACAACACGAATATTTTAGGAAGTGTAGACTTGAAGTTTGTCAAATGTATCTATACATTTAAATATAAACATATATAAACAAGTCTTTAGAAAAGCTATTGGAATAGGCCTATTTTTTATTTGAATGTTGGGATTTGATTTATGACATTTGCTTTGAAACATTCGGTTTTTCAATGTGTTTCTTCAAAATTTTTACGTCTTTGACATATGTTATTGCTTTATGACATTTAATTTTGAGATGACACAGGGAAATGGAATTACAATGTATTCTAGTATGTCCAACGTTATAAGGATTATGTGCTACCATTTGGTTTCAACTCGACTCATTTTGTTCATCAAAAAGTCCCAGGATGATTCTTTTTAAAAGATAGATCATGCCTCGAAACACAATTTAATTTAGCATATATAATTCAATAAAGGGTTGCTTTTTGATAAAAAAATTATTAGAATATTTTTGAAAATAGGTACGTTGATGGGTTCATTATCAAATTGCATTGCCATGTCATGTTTGTACAATTTCTATGTCTTGTTGGCAATTTGATACGTTTAAAATTTTACTTAATTGAAGCTATCATCAACACACTCAAATTTAATATCTGACCAAAAACTTTGAGATTATCTTTATGAATGCTGGTTCCTTTTGGTATACGAGGGGCGATCAATAAGTAATGGACGCTTTTTTACACAGATACTTTTTATAGACTAATCCCTTTGATTTTCCTACCAGTGGTACATCATTCAATTATCTATCATTTCTGAGGATTTGAAGACAAAATATAAAATACATGTTGATATATCTTTATTTCCGTGAAGAAGGTACAGGTACCCCGGGACCGACATTTACGTCACATATTCAGTTTTCAGCCAGTTTGGCAAATTTTAGTTAGATTTAAACTTTTCATATGCAACATAGGTTGTGTTGTTTGAAATACTTTGCTGACTGATCAACACATAAACTGAAAGCATTGTGATGTCAGAGTGTAATATGGAAGGGGTTTGCAGGTCAATTTGAGAAAGCATTGTGGAAGAAAGGGGTGGTGAGATAAGGGAACACCCTACTCCATATGGACAATGCACCTGCCCACAGATCTCAAAATGTTCAATATCCCTGGACCTCAAAATTGAGCCCTTGGCCAATGCACCATACTGTCCAGATCTGCTCACATGTGACTTATTTATTTCTATACTACTTATTTCTATAGAGAAAGGATGCATGTTTATTGATATTGATGAAATAAAACAACCCGTGCAACTGCATCTTGCTACCATGTCAGAGAATGGATACAGCCTTGTCTCACAATCTTGAATTAAGACGATGAGGAATTGTGTACATGTAGCACTTGATGGAACCTATGTAGAGGGCCCTGTAGAATGAATTTGCATGAATACCACATAGTGATGAAATATTCAAGATCAACTTTGGCATAAAAAAATGGGGTAATTCATGACCATAATGGTTTGTTTTGTTCAGCCTGCATTCAACTGCATTGCATGTTAAACAAGCTAAAATAGCTTCAGAATGTTTGACGTAAACGTCGGTCCCGGGGTACCTATACATCCTTCACGGAAATAAAGATATATCAAAAGATATCACATGTTTTGTTTTCAAATCTTCAGAGTTGATAGATAATTTAATGATGTATCACTGGTAGGAAAATCGAAGGGATTGGTCTATAAAAAGCATCTGTGTAAAAAAGCGTCCATTACTTATTGATCACCCCTCGTATACCACGTACATGTAATATGAAAAGGAATTCACGTGGGGATATATCTTTCAAATACGTGTTGAATCCACACTATACTCGAGTGTTTTTCTTTGAATTTTAGTGATAAAGATGCAGTTTGATATTTGTGTCACCACATTCGGAACCATAAAAGGATTGTACAAGACAAAGCTACTTCAAACTATTTATGTATCTTGGTTGCCTATATTTTTAACAGACACTAAAATCAATATGTTTCGGAATCGAACTAAACAATAAACAAGATTTAAGGAGATTTAAGTGTGTTGAGACAATGATAAAAACGATCCCAATCAAAACTGATTTGATAAAATCAATATTTTGAGTCCATCTGGTGCAGGAGATAGTAATTTGTTAGTATTCTGTAATTACGGTTGCATGTTGACTTGTATATGTTTTATGGCAGTCTGTATATTTGTGTGGAAAGCATACCGGTCGGGTGTGAAAGAAATTACGGTCCCCTAGGGATTATGGTCGGTCCCCTTCTTAACGGCCCTTACTCGTCCTGATTGTGTAAAAGATAATAAGGGATAGAGGTCACCATATAAATCAATGGAAAGTAGGACCATAAATTGATAGGACCTCCCACCCTTTTACACCGGTACTACCGTAGTTTGTTCTGTTGTATCATACTACTGTACTAGGGTAACGTTTTTTCAAATGGTCCAATGAGCAATTGAATCTCTCAACTGTGATATAGATCCCTGAATCTGGATGACGTGAAAGGGGTGTTAAACATCAAAAAATTTGTGCGTTAGATCATTGTTTGGGCTTTGATCGTGCTCTTGATGATTTTCACTGCTGTGTTTTGCAACGCAGTTTTCCCACAGAAGTACATGTACTTATACAGTGTATATATGTATTTCTTTCTTAATAAATTCACCACACGTGTGAAAGGTTATTATCGTCTCGAATACATTTTCTATGTCTTTAAAATTCTTATTTCTTATCATAAATTCTGAGTAACAAGTTAAAAATCTTCAATATATTTAAAAATAACCGATCACCCAGTCACCATAAACGAATAAGGAAGTTAAATATAAGCTTTTATATTGTTACCCCTCTTCTGCCCACATTGTGTCAAAAGCTATTGGAATGTCCTTAAATACATCTATTGAGATTACAACTTGTTGACATATATCATTGTTAAATTATCTTTCATTTGGTAAATATCGTCAATTGAAATTTGTTGACAAAGCTTTACTTACATGTAAAAGGATACTATAATACATTGTGCATTAGCCTTAGAATTAAACACTACAATAAAATACATACACATTTATTTCAATCACCATTTAACATCTAAAGTTATATTTATTATATTCAAGTATATGAAAATCTCAAAAGATCTTGCACCGTTTGGCCTATTTTCGTGTAGTTTGTTTTCAAAGCCCAATGTGCACAAAGGGTTAAACAACCGAACCTTAAAAATGAATTATACCCCAATAATAATACTAATGAATATACAGACTACCTGTACCATTTTGTTGTCCATATCAAATGTCAAGTTGATCAATACTTATCGTAAAGTAAGCCCATGTCAGAAGTTTTTCGTTGGTTCTTCCTTATGTGTGTTGATCTTATGTCAATTGATTAATTTGTTAGAGATAAGAAATTGCGTCATTTGAAATACAACACTAAATGATAAGTTATTTTCCGCTATTCATGTCAACATTCCTAACAATAAACCGACCAATATGCATCAAGTCAAAATAGGTGACCATTTTGACCAACCTGATATTTAAGTTACTCAATATAAAGATCACGCTGAATGAATATCGTGTAAAATAAGATGTTACCCCTACCTGTTGGCAAATGACTGCAATCGTAACAATAAACCAGACCAAGTTAGTGTTCCCGATGACCATATTGGAGTGAACCATGCTGCTCCTGTTGTTATTAAAGATGTTATAAATGATGCAGTTAAGCCACCTATCGTAAGTATGATTATTCAGGCACAAATTTGTATTTCTCCTCCATATAGTGTCGTTAAGTTTCCTCTAAATGTCAACCGCAGACGGTTGTACCTTCTTCCTGTTAACTAGCTGTATATCATTTCAAAAACGATTTCGCTTATTCGTCATAGCGTCGTTATCTCTTTTGGATTATAAATTTAAAACATTCGAACTGATCACTTCAGCTCGACCAACATGATACAGGTTGTATTTTCTAAGAACACGTTATTATTATCTTTCAACAATATTTGAGTCAATACCAAAGTCCACAGTGATATCGTTAATTAACCAAGTACTTCTGATAATGAATTAGAGGTGTTGCTATATAACGTTATGACTAATGCAAGATGGTTTTTCAACAAACTGTTGCTGTGCAAAATACATATGCGTTCTATTCATACCAGCATTTTAATCAAGAAAAATCAATCCGTAATGTATGAGTGAAGCATGTGTTACAAACATAGAACTAGAATAATCGTTGACTAGGCTTTGTATAGAAATCAAAATGCTAGAATTGAACTTTGAAATCAAGTTATCGATTGCAGATATAAGTTAACCATTCGGCTTCTATACGAAGCCATTCTTAATGATTAAATGGTGAATTGATGTGAGATTAATCATATTCAAGTGACAATTTATTTTATTCATCGGACACTTCCTTGTGATAAGAATGCCTAGAAACATTTCTGTAAATAGTTCTCTTGTTCAATTGGGCAACGCCTTGTTTGTTTAAGCTAAGCTTTAAGTAGATGCAACGTTTTGTTTGTGTCTGATGCAACGTTTTATTTTTGACTGATGCGACTTTTTGTTTGCATTTGCTGCAAAGCTTCGCCAAGATTTGATACAATGTCTTGTTTAATCGTCATGCAATGCCGTTTATAATTGATGCAAAGCCTAGCCCTTGTTGTTTACAAGCGAAAGAAATGAAGTATGTTTTGGTTTCTTATCTTTACTTTTTTACTTTTTCAGAATAGTGTTGCTACAGCCTGGGCGTCATGCTGCTTTGTTAAGTATTTCTTCGACACAACTGTTAACAAGGGAATCTGTTCTATTTGGATAAGAATATTTTCAATGCAATAGAAATATGACACTAGGGGATCATAGTCAAATCATGAATTATACAATATACCTATTTATTGTATGTATATAGGTAGCCTGTTACAATTCATATCTTACATATGAGCCAGGCCATAGGAAAAGGGTTCTTATCACAGATTTTTCAATATTTTGATTTTTTGTTTATCTTAAAAACCACAAAAAGACCTTTCCAATGAGCCATTACTTATGTCTTAACAATTTTTCCTTGCATACAAGGGGCGATCCATATATTCTGATAAAAATGCTCTCATTTTGCTATTTTTTCACATATCCATCTCATATTTTCAGAAAATGTGGATTATGTAATTACACATACAATGCTCAAATATTATACCTACATCCTAAATCAATTAAGAGATAGGGTTACCATGGTAACCTGTATTAAGGGTAGGCAGGTCAAGTAAATTATAACGTATAAAATATCATAATAACTTGTTATTTTAAATATTTTAAAGCATGCGGAAATCATACATTTTTCTAAAAAAGTTTGGTATTGTTTCTCATTGTTTGTTGCTAAACAAATGTTTATTTGTGATCACTATAACATCACAACAACTCACAATAGCAATGTATGACAGGATGGGCAAATTAGAATAACATGTCATGAGACACACCAAATATCAAAATGACAGATCAGATGAGGTTAGTGCGGCTGTTGCAGAGTGCGACATTAACAGATACATTAGGAGTACCATTAGATTTTATGTACTATCAAGAATAAGTAAGAGGACACTGCCAGAGACATACATGGACTCGTATAGTGTATGGACAAGGTATTATATCTGCTCTAAGGATCTCTGGGTAGAATTGTAAATTTGAGGAAGGCTAGCCACTGTTGAATATCATTCCCAATCTGGTTGCAAGAAGAGCTTGCGTACTGAAAATAACACTACGATAATTTGAGATACAATTTATGAAAAAAGAACTATTCCACTGTGGAAATAGCAAACAAGGGCAACAGGGGTATGGAGCAGTTGAACGAATAGTTGGCAATGACCTGGATATGCGTTTGATCTGCTTGAAATAGGTACCGAGGAATGATTAAATTAACAAATTTATCTATTTTATACGTTATAATTTAACTGACCTGCCTACCCTAAATACAGGTTACCATGGCAACCTTATCTCAAAAATAACTTAAGATATAGCTATAATATTTTAGCAATGTATGTGCAATTACATAATCTTCAAGTTCTGAAAAAATGAGAGGGATATGTGAAAAAATCACAAAATGAGAGCATTTTTATCAGAATATATGGATCGCCCCTTGTATAGACCAAAAAGACGGATTTTAGTTTTAGCACATCTTCCTCTTAATCTCAGACACATTTTTGGCTCTGTTGCACAGTTTTAATTTTTGTGTGATTATGAACTTTGTGTCTATTTTCCAGACATAATCCTTTATCAGACTTGCTTACTCGTGACACAAAAGCTGCACAAATAGTTACAGTTTCATGTACCTTTGTACTATGCATGGATAGCCCTGTCTGAATTTGATAGCAAACAATCAAACAATGATATTCAATCTTGCTATTAGTATTATAATGAACGTCTTGAATCTTTGCATTGAAATCTGTTAGATCTTTGTGTAATACCAATACAACGATGCGTTCAGGAAATCTTTCAGTTGTTAAATAATCAGAGCGATCAATGAACAGTCATTTGAAAAAATGAACAATACTGCGAGAAGAGTGAATACTCAAAGATGCAATGCAGAGTTTACTTAGTGTCATACCTTAATTCCATATGATGAAAATCCATTGTGTGAAAATATGGATTTTGAAATATATACGAATGGCAATGGTATTTAAAAAGACGGTTTCCATGACAATTGAATTTATTATAACAAGCTTATTTCTGTTATTTAGAATACCAATTTTGCCAATTTTGATGATATGAACTCGTGAAAGGCGTGACACAGGATGATAACGGTATTATTATTGTAACGGTATTATGAACATACAGATGTATACAACTATGTGTGAATGGATTATTTTTAACTACATCACTCAAAATTATACTATATGTTGAAAATCTTGAAGGATACACGCATGGTACGGCGAGTAATTTCGAACTTCTTTATACTTGTTTAAGGGTTACATCATTATATTTAGTGTTATATACTGATACTGTTTTCTTGTCATGTCTATGGCGATATATTCAATGAAATGTTCGTTAATATTTAGCCAGTGTGAATAAATCAAAGTATCGAACGTGTATCATTAAGTGGCATGATGATTGACAAGATATAAGAGAAACATAAGAAACCAACGAGATTTTTGATATATTACAGAGAATAAGATGTCTCGATGACCTAAAGTTAAGAATAGTGTCATGACTTTAGATATCACGATAATTCAATTAACCTTTACAATGTCTTAACTTTTACTTTAATCTAAATATGCCAACGTGCCAGGTAGAAAAGGCCTATAAGGTGTTGCAAATACTCGTACAGTGCAAAAATGAAACATTCTTTTCTAAGCAGACACCTGACATTCCGGCTTAAGACCTTATACACAGAGCAACAAAGACGAATCCCCCCCTCCCCTCCTGCAATCGTTTAATAACCATATCACAATGCAGTGGCGGATGTTACAGCTGACAAATAAGGTCTAAAATTTAAAAAAAGGCCCAAGAAGGGCACTTCACAATTTTTGGACCCAAAAAACATTTTTCAGGGCTCATCCTTTGGGGTGGGCAGATCAATCCACCAGTGCAATGCAAATTCAATAAACCAAAGGAACATTTCAGAACATTTCAAAATGATCTTAACATAAAAAGTATTGGGAAGTACTGATTAACATTAATCAGTTAGTTTATTACGTTATTGATAACGTTTTCTCGAGTGTTGGTGTTTATGCAGTGTTCCAACGAACATAAATACTTAGATAATCATGAGAGTTTGTGAGGTGCAACACACCCAAGAGTACCCTGCGTGCAGAGTCTAGTTAAATTGAGGCGTAAACTAAAAGTAGACCTCTAATACGCCTTACTTTCAGGTCTAGACCAATAGTATGCCTCTTTTTAAAGGTTTTGTTATGGCATAGACCTACCCTGCGTGCAGAGTCTAGTTAAACTACGAAGACGAAGCTCTCTTTTAAGAAGTGAAGTCAAACGAATGCAAAGGGTAACCCAAGAGGTGCTTGATAACCTTCTTTTGGCACATATATAGTACAGGATAAACCTCTACGATTATTATTACAACCAAATGTCAACACATGTAATAAATGCTGGCGGATCCGTCCTCAGAATTTTTTTTTAGCTTCAATCTTTTAAATTGGGGATAATTGTATCTCACTTTTCTCAAAAAGTAACCAGGAATCTAATAAAAGTTCATTTCAAAATAATTTTTGAATATAATTATATTATTGTTTACTTTCAACACGAAGTAGAATTGTTCAGTTCACAACGAGTAGTTCGTCTATGGGATATCACAAAGGACATTGGGTAGTTATTAAAGCACATGTGTGAATATAAAAAATGCTTCACGTGGTATATAATTTATGCGTGATTTATAATTCTATCGAATTTTAGGTTGTTATGCGATGAAGATACAAGGGATTGTCAATAAATTTCTAAAAACCCATGTCATGGTCTCTACGCCGTTGTCTATAATTGTGAACTTTTGGTTTTACTATTGATTAAAACAATTTTCAGTGTGGTCTGACAAAAAATGCTTGAAGCTTTTTCAATATTCTATTTACTAATAAGACAATAAACTCAGTATTTTACACTTAACAATATGTTTTATTTCCCAGGAATCATTTAACTAGTGTTTTTGAATGTCTACAGACCCAAGTTACCATAAACACATAATGAAACATATCCAGGTAGATGATTAGTTTTTGGGTGCTTCTCTATCTACAAAATAAAATACTTATTGTGCTATCGTGTTTGCTAAAATAGATATATTATTTTTGCCAGTGGGTCGGTGGGCATTCTATGAAGGTCAGAGTAACGTCTTTATAACCAGGTTGGGACAAATGAACAACATTATAAATGTCAACTTCTATGGTTGAATAATTGCGAGGTTGTGAATATGTCCAAGATTTGCCATGTTAGAATAACCAACTTGTCCAGTCTCAATGTTCACGGACACTATTAAACTTGCGGATGAATCTGCCACTCTTAGTGTGTAATACAAAATGCCTTTTGTGTTGTCTACGCCATTAAAAATAGTACCTCCATAATACTTGGAAAATATTCCTGAAATTAATGATAAAAGCTACAGAATATGTAAGATGTATGGATTAAGGAATCGATACCTTACCTTTCAATAATCATAAATAAGGCAATAGTAGTACAGGTATTCTTAAAGAATACAAAATCAAAAGTAACCCTAATCATAAAACTTATAATTATTAATCAAACAGACATCAATTTAGTGATGAATATTTAATATCAATTATTATATATAATATATACATACACAATCCCTGGATTAAATCCCTACTAACAGGGATGATGAAAGGTGCAAATCAGCAGTTAGGTCATGTGACCAGTCATTCGTACTTTTTATCTTCCCTGCTAGCTGGGTTTACGAGAGTTGGCAAAATGCCTTTAAATTCTAATAGGAACCATAGCATTAAATGAAGTAAGTATGGTGTATATAATAAAACAAATGGTAAGTTACAGCCACATTTTCGGGTAATAGTGTAAAAACTTCCCTTCGGGAAAAATATTTTGCACTCAATGGCAGTCACTATTCTGCTATTTGTATATTGTGATTTAACCAAGTTCACGCCACCTATATTCACATTATTTGAGTGAATAATTAAAATTAATTGTTTGAATATATTGTTGAATTATTGATGTATGTAATGACGAACCTGGAGGAGTGACATCAAACAGCTTTTCGACATGTCCGGTGAATGGGTCGACCTCAACGAGGGTCCAGGCGGGGTAAGTCTCGTTAAACAATCCCGGGGACATAGCAATCAACTGCCCAGTTCTCTGATACACTTGAATAGATTGGAAAGTGTATTTAGAGACATCTATCTGCTTATATGACACTCTAAAACAAAATAGGAAAAAAAGGAAAATGATTATTTGATTTTACTGACAATAAGTATGCGGGCAAACTCACAAAGGTAACTTTGCATAGCTGATGCAGTCTCTAGATTTCAAGGTCAGAGTCACCATATGATATTTACCAAATAACACCAAAACTCAATATTTTTGCACGACACACACCTCTCGACTGTAACACGTTTCCTTGAAGACTTTTAGATAAAACTAATATATATTTTTAAAAGAGGTCTACCCTCCTCTAAAAACGCTGAAATCATGCAAGACTAATATGAATTTAATTAGACATAAATTTTAATGAATGAAAATGACCTATATCAACTATTCGTCATTATTAGCTCACTTACTTTTTATTCACCTGAAACGTGTATATCCGGGCATCAAGCGCATCTGGGGAGTTTTCATTTCCCATGAGGACATAGTAAAGCTGCTTATCGTAGTCATAGTCTGCCCATTGAAAGTTAATATACGTGTTTTCAGGGTCAGATGTAGCCAAATCACCCCAGTATTCGCCATCTAAGTTGAAGTGTCCAAGTTTGAAAATGAAAGATCCTAAAATATAATAAACGTAAATAGAGATGATATGAACTCTCGCGATACAAGAATGGACACGTTGTATTGCTTAGAGGTTTTGTTCTTTCCAATGCTGGCCTTGTGCGACAAGGTGTGCTAAAAATGATGTGTTCAAACGTTGATATGCCCTATCTATGGGTTTAAACAGTAAAACTGCCAAACCACAACACATTATTTTAGGTTTATGCCCATAAGGGCGAGTTAACGTTATGACCAAATTTTGACAGAAATCCTCGGGGGACAGTGATATCTGATACATCGGACTTACCAGGCTTCTTTTCAGACTCTTCAATTTGAAAGACTAAGTATGTAGTTGGAGATTCTAGCTGTATAGCACTAATGGGTGCTTTGTCAAGCCATATTATGCTCTCATCTTTTACCAATGAGCCGTTCCAGGCACCAACTACAAACATGTTCACGGTTGGGTCATCTAGATCCCCTGAGTGTTTTATGAACACAGTCACATTAACAGATCCCCCTGGACCGGGTGATGTATCTGACGTCATGATTTGATCCATCAAGAAGGACTGGTGGTTTGAAATTTGATTTCTATGCTTGCCGACCATTTTTGATAACACTGTTCGCGATGATGAGAAGGTTGAACGTTTCAGGCGCATTGGTTGATGCAGTTTTGCCCCTGATGTAAAACTCATTTTATTTGATACACCATGCACTGTTCTTCTAGATTTAAACGAAACAACACCAAGGGGTAGCGTTGATATCGGTTGCGTGTAGAGGTTGGGCCATTCTAGTTTCACATAATGGCATCTGTCAGGATCATACTCATCATAAGCAACCCCGTAAAACGTTGGAGATGACGTAGTTGGTTTTCTATCAATCAGTTTTATGGCATCTTTGATTGCCTTTTGAGCAGGATCCACTGCTTTGGAGTTAATACGTGATGTTGCCCTCTTGCCAGACGACTTTTTGATTCTAATGTCCGAACATTGTAAGAACGTGGACTCTCCGGGTTTGTGTGATTGGTAGCGCATGCGCAAAACACAATGATCACAATCAATATTCGGGAACACCTAGTGTCAGAGAATAAGACGAAACAGTGTTAACAGTAAGACGATGATCAAAATAAAATTTTGCTCATATTGTACAACTTCGCAACTCGAAACTTGAACTGCAACATATCATTATATTATAGGCTGCAATTAAACACATAATGTGTCACATAAGGATTTGGTCGATTTCTGAAACGATCACGACATCAAATTATCAAACATGATAAAAGATTCGTTTGCCATAAGTTTATTTACACATTAAAGTTCATAATCAAAATTACGTTACGTAATGTTACATAACAGAATAATTGATCACATATTAGTAATTATTAATTAATGCAAGTTGGGCATAAACAAACAAAGCCCAAAACATCACCAGATTTTATAAATATGATGTCATTTAGGCCCACACAAAGGTCAAGTATATTCTATATACGCACCACAGCAGCAGTGTAGTTCTGCTGATGATCTTGAGCGTGAAAGTTTTCATCTCGGACGACTGTTAGGAGTGTAAAGTTGGCTGAGTCACTCTGAGCCAGGGCAATGTCCATGTAACCTGATAAATCAGCAGTAATTAAAACAATCGAGCAAACACAAACAAGCAAGAAAGCAAACTAACAAAACACGATATGAACATCTAAAATATGTCAACAAGTAAGGGAAATTTTATTTTCACAGTTAATTGTGTATGTTCTCTATCGCAGACATTGCAATTTTTTCAGTTTGAAGATTACGTTTTCACAAATTATCTAAATGCGTGTGTGGATTTGGAGTTGATATCAACTTGAGAAATTCCGATTAACATGTAAACATTAACAGGTAAACGCATAGTATGAATTTTGAGTACACTTCAGTTACCTGGGAAACCAACTGAATAGTGGTTGAAATTCTGCTGCCATTTTATAAATACAGTTTGTCCTCCCATGTATGTGATGTTAGGGGGCGCTGGTGGTTGGCCTCCACATGGTTCTCCGTGCCTAAAACAGGTTGGGCTACCGCCCTGAAATGACACGGGTAAGAAAATCATTGTTAACTCCACGTTTGGTATACGTTAAGTCAATCTGATATTTGAAACATATAAGCTAATCCATTTTTAATTGTTTTGGCAAGAAATAGGTTAATACTAAATTAGGGCATCCATTCTCATTGTTTCGGCAAAAGAAAAATGTTCAATATACAGGTATATATAGGTTTTTCTGTATGTTCGAAAATGCTAATAATTAACACGGGCTTACTATCTTTCGTTGGAACTTACCTTTGAAATATCAAATTCACCTCGTTGTCTTGGAGAAATGATGCAAAGGTGAGCGAAACCTGGTCCAATCAAGTCACAATATAATAAAATCAACACTGTCAAATAATTCAAAAATAGATCCATTTCAGCTATCAATCAAATTGTTCAGTGAGCAAGTTGCAGTATCTGCTCGGCTAGCAAATGTGTAGTATGAGTACTGTAATACACATGACTATCAAATTATCAATTACATTTACTCGTGAACATGTGATCATTGTTTTATCTAAGACAATAGCTATATACTTGAAATGGTCGATGCTTATGTACACAAATATGATCATGTGCCCAATCACTTCAATAACATTATTTACTACAATTGTTAGCGGGAAAAATTCAAAACCCCGCACCCACCCTCATATAACATTTTTGATCGGACGATCTTGTACTTGTAGTGTTCGGGAAAATCCCATCGGAGAAGCAATAATTCTTATTAATGGCAATACTAATACGTCAATAACAAGAAAAATAAATTGATATCACCATCATGAGTTGATATTAGGTTTATCCCATGATGTCAATCAACATTTCAATAAAATCTAAAATTCAAAATCGCTAATCATACGGATATGCAGTTGATTGGTCCGACATCAGTGGCATATGAGCATGATAAACGATTTTCTGAAAAATATCACAAGGATCTCAATAATATCAGAAAGATCACTGGATGTTATTGTACACGACAATTCTGGGATGAATTAGAGATTCAAATTTATTTTCTTCAATTCCAATCACCGAAATATTGACATTAAAATTTCAAATGCGTCCCAACAGACTTGTCGTTCCACACAATTGTTCAATCCTCACGAAGGAAAAGTAAAGATGGCAGCAGCTGTTAAACGTGTTTGTCGTTGTCATTACTAGAGGAACACTCCGAGCTTCTTAGAGGCACCATGGATACGCCCTTTTCTTCATTCAATTCATTCCTCTTGTGTTTGAATTTACTGAACCGTTCAGCGTCCTCTAGAGTTTCGGGAAGGGGTCGGCCTCGAGTCTCTGGTAGGAGTAACACGACAAAACCACCGATGAATGCCACGAGACCAAAGATAATACTTGGGGCGAATCTGCTATACGTTCCCTGGAATAGAGACATATAAAACAAGTTATTTTATTTTTAAAAATTCGCAGAATGTTACGGGTACATATACGAGGGGGGATTCATAAGTAGTGGGACAAATGCAATAACTCCACGTCTATCAACCAGGTTTTATTCAAACTTGGAACACAGAACCACAAACATGTGATAATCATTTTGTGAAAATTTCAAAAAGTTACACCCAACTTCAGTAAAGTGAGAGTTCCAATCATGACGTCACAACAGGGTCCACGGAGCACATTGTTTGTCATAAATTGCTAGTTAAATATACAAGTCTCAACTGATATTCAGGACGTGATTTAATCCGTGACTTCTAGCGAGTCATTTTGTGGACCACATCAATTCTGTGCAGGACTATTGATTCCTTATTCTTCTGGTGCAATCTCATTCTTTCTTAAAGTATTCGCCATGACAATCAATGCATTTTTGGCACATCCTCGACCATTCTAGGTATGCACCCTCAAAACCATATTTTCCAAGATTGGTAATCTCGGCTCTCACAGCATATTCAGAATACAAACACAGAATACCACCTATATACTGTAGATTTTTTTAACTTTTTCTTTCCCATAGACTTCCAACAAACCTCATTAGGTCTCTAATACTGAAAACTTCTTCAAAGCATTAAATTTAATCTCAGCACGGATGTTTATACGTGATTCTTGCTTTTTCATTGCTATTTTAATCAAATTTTGCTCCATCCAAGAAGGACTGAAAATGGCAGTGTCCTGGTGTCACTGCTCTGTGTGACATCACAATAGCATGATGATGTAATATATGTTACAGTTGTCATGACTACAAGGCTTGAGACAATATGAAACCAAATATTTGAAAATAACTGTCATTTTGAGATATTTATGAGCATATTTATGTTGATCAAGCCCTTCATTTTTTAACTGCTCCGTTAACCCCTACTTTTGGTTACCATAGCAACCGTTGTTGCTAAGGAACAAAACGAATTGAATTGAAATTTCACCAAACAATGCCTTATATCCTAGTCCGTTCATGTGCCAAATTTGGTTGAGATATGTACACAGGGACTTGCTGCCTCAGAAAAGTCCCACTACTTATGAATCCCCCCTCGTATATGTCGACATCATGCTACTATGAGCTAAAACTTACCAGTAGGGATACATAAGGGGCTATAATTCCACCAACTCTGGAGCAGGATGATGAAGTACCCACTCCTAAATTACGAATCTGAGTTGGAAACACCTCGGCACCATAGTTGAACACCATACCAAACCCAGCAGATATTAGAAATTTTGCGGACATCGATACAACTATTTTCACTGTTGTCAAATCTGCAATTTGTTATTAGAGACAAATCATCATATTTTATCAAAGGGAGTTGTCAATGAAGAATTATATGAACAAATAAATGAATAATGTAGTTTTGAACTTTTACTTACGCTTTGGTATAGCTAGTAGACAGAACAGTGCCACCCCACAAAAGAAAAACACAAAGCTTAGTGGATATCTACGCCCAATTTTCCAGAAGCAAATATGGGTGAATACATATGCGGGGATTTCAATTCCTCCAGAGATGAGAAAGTTGATGAATGGGTCACCGCCCAATGATGACGATGACAAAGATAATCCGTAGTAAACAATCGAACAGACAACCCTAAAATGGATTCAGAATAAACATCACCAATTGCGCATAAAACAAAACATTCACTTACCCTGTATTCGCGAATGCAACTAACGCCTGTCGGCTACCGGATTAACCTACTATTTTATGACCAACTTATTAAATATAAATGGAATAATGGCAGGTACTATTTATATTTAATTGAGTTACCCATAAAACTGTAGGTTAATCCGGTAGTCGACATGTGTTAGTTGCATTCGCGAATACAAGCTTAATAACGAAATTAAGATTATAAAAGCTTAAAATTATAAACTCAAAATAATGGTAATGCAACTCACCAGGCATAGCAAATTGCAATTGTTCTTTTTCTCTGGCGAGGTCCCCGAAACAGACTTAAAATATTACTTCCGCCACTGCCTTTCTCATTTTCCTAAAAATGAACGCAATGAGACGTATGAGCCCTGTCTTTCAAAGATTTAGAATGGGAGTGTGTAGTTGGTTTTTAAGTGCGACCGAGGCACTTGCAGTTTGCGAAAAAATAACACGTGTTCCCGTAATAATGTATTGGCACTTCTAGAAATGTTACATAACAGGAAATGCTACATAGCTCTTCGAGTCTGCTTCACTAGTGATCCACTCGATTGCGCTGGTTACCAAAACGTCGTTTCGGTAACAAAATGTCGTCAACGTCGATGGTACGATTTTTCTTTTTCCCTTATTTTCACACGTTGTGGGCAGAATTCCCACGACATTTTTATCACTCATATGTTTAAGAAAATGTACATATTTGCGAACAAATAGTCCAGAAGACAACAGAATCGTCGATTTAATTCCTCACTTAAGTTACAGAAACGGTATTTCGAAACACACTTAAGATCTGCACTTTTAACCCATACCGTTTTTGTAACTTAAGTGAGGAATTAAATCGACGATTCTGTTGTCTGCTGAGCTATTTTTTCGCAAACATGTACATTTTCTAAAACATATGATACTGATACACGTTTGTGTGAAAACATGTCGTTGGGATTCTGAATATTTTTTATTTATTTATTGGAATCACTTTTAAAACAGTGGCACACACATTGAAAATGTGGTGCATCCACATACAAACATGCTTATACAATTACAGTCAAAATTAAAATACATAATGTCACTATAAAATACATCAATCCTTATTATAGGGAATATAAATACAACGCGTGAAAAAAGAAAAATCGTACCTTCGACGTTCCGACATTTTGTTACCGAAACGGGCGTAATCGAGTGGATCACCAGTGCTGCTTTTTACCTGTGATATGCTAACATCATATAATAGTTTCTCTGGAAGTTCCCTTTTATTAGATTTAGCGATAGCTTTGACAACTGCCTGTGCTCGCTTTGTCTTGTTTGTGGCATACAACCAACGAGGAGACTCTGGGATAAAACTGCAAAACATGCAGTCTTAATTCATCTACGTCAGAGTAGAGTGGTTGTGGCAAAATCGTTAAATTAATTGAATATATAGAGGTTCTTATATGAGTACCTGTGCAAGATCGTCCATTCTTGATAAGCTTTGATAATCAAAGCGAGTCAAGAATGGACGATATTGCACAGGTACGAGTACAAGCAAGGAGGCATGGCGTAGAATAATGGAAATAGCGTCATGAATCCCGGGACAATGAATCTCGGATCCAAGTACGTCATTATCAGGGTCGAAAATCAAAATATTGACAAATTTATAACCTAAAAGGCCGAAAGATTATGCGGTAAATGCTGAAACGGGGGTTGTCAACATATTGTATTAGCTTTGATCTCTTAGAATCCGTTGAATCCTAAGCGATTGGAGTTGTTTAGATCACTTAACGAATGATATGAAATGATGAGGATTTGAGTTTTTTCAAAGTTTATAATGGCGGCCAATGGGGGATTTTAGCAAAATATCCCGAAAACTAAATCATTAAAAGGCCGAAAGATTTATGGATGGATTTTGCTGATTTATATATCAAAACGAACACTTCGTTGAGTGTAACAAGGATCCGTTGAATCCTAAGAAAATAAATGATTTGCTAAAAAGTTATTAAGATTTTAAATTTTGATGAAGACTGCTCTCCATTGAAATCTTTGGACCATGAAATGTCGATTTACGCGCATGCGTTGTGACGTTATTTCCATTATTCTACGCCATGATTGGCTCCCAGAATCGAAGTCGATATTTTCCAACAATGAAAACGCCGAGATGTCGTTATTTTCTGAAATTATAACCGATTATAAATTCAAAATAAACAGTTCAAAAGATTCGAACCAATATCTCGATCATTTCCTGTGAGTTTTGGAATTTTTCGTTAGGAAATAAGACCAAAATTTACGATTCAAATGTTGAAGTGAACAAAATGGCGGCTGTTGGAATTCAAATTTTGTAGCACGACATGCCCATATATGGGACAGAATATCGATGTTGCACTCTGGGAGCCAATCCTCCTTGAGTACAAGAAAGTTTTTCTCATATGACTGTATTATGCTTTATTTTCACGTTTTCATAACAAAACTGGGTGCAAAATAGCTTCAGATTAATGGAACTTCATCTTTCAATTGTTATGACGTCATAACAATATTGTAGAAAATACATGGATACACGAGGCAACAAAGCTCCATTGTTATGACGTCACAGCTTAGTTTTGTAGAATGAGCATGGATACTCTTAGCAACGGTGTATTTGTTGCTATGTTGTTGATGTTTATAGACCAGTGATGTCACAAGTAAATCTCATCTTACACGTGTGACTTTTTAGGATGAAAGATGGCAATATCTTGCATGTGGTAAAGATGGCTGTATTTTGGTTAGTCATATGAGAAAAAGGAATATGTCATCATTAGATCCCAATGGAATCTCGGTACCTTCGTATTGAAGATGCTTTGTTTGCACAATGGTACGTGTGCTAATACAGGAGTGGATTTAAAAATTAACATTTTCTAAAATTGCCCAAAGATTTTAAGCCTCAATTTTGGGTCCCAAATCTGAAAATGATGGTCCAATTTCTTAACTCATTCGCTACGAAGGACGTGATATGACGTCATAAAGCACATACGTTGACTACTAAGGACGTGATATTACGTCCAAGCACAAACTCAATGTATTTTTGGGAATTTTGTAACCATGACAACTTATAAAGTGGGACTTAAAACCTGTTCATTCTGAAAGAGTATATCATATGCTTTAAAATGATATAAAACATTGTGTATGCCCATGTATACACTACATATATTATTTCAGAGGTACCATATATGGCAATTTTCAAAAATTCGTCAGTATTTTAGTGCTTTAAAAATAGGCCAAAAGTTTTTAAAAAATGCACGGTAAGTTTAGTTACTAACAAAACAAGTATGCACTGCACTGCTATTGGAATGCACAAGACAAGCTGTAATGTCGACCAGTGCCTGATAAAATAGGCCACTGCTGCAATTATTATGTAGCCTAACGCCCAAGCATACTGAACTGAGAGACCAGCTGTATTTCGCCATGACGGACCAACGACTTCCATATCTGAAAGATAAAATTAACATTACAAAGTGGTTATTTTGTCAGCGCGGGAGAATAATAAAATATATTTTTGACTCAGTAGGATTAACAATTGACGCGAACTTACTGAAAACGAAGCCAACGGTATATGCTGCAACGATGAAGGCACCTAGGCAAAACCTTAATACTGTGAACACAATAAAGTTAGGTGAAAAGGCCAAACCAATGGACGAGGTAAGTGAAAGTATCATTGCAGCAATGGTGGTATACTTTCGTCCAATTCTGAAAAAAGACAATACCGGTGTCAACGTTTACTGGTATATCTATAATATGGTCCCTAAGACTGGAAAATATTGTCCATGACTATATTATCTAGAATAACAATATTTCCTTAGATATGTTAGTCCGTTTGCTAGAACTGGGTGTCCGGAGCGGATTTTAAATACCAAATTATGGTCTCTGGTCTCTAACGAGTCACACTGAACCATATGTTATGGTTATAAATGTCCATGGATATGTATATAAATAAGTCTCAGTTCATTGAAATACAAGACCGTTCATGTACTACTGCTATGCCACCCAAAACCAAGGAAATTTATTCTTTCACAAACAAAAAATCAAACGGGCGTGATGAGTTCCGTGGTGTTTTATCTCTAGTAATGATTCGAAAGTCAGTGAATCGAGTACAATCACTGGTACTCACCTAGTGACGTATCGTCAGCGTAACAAGATGGAAGAACTTCCGGGCTTCGTTTTCGTTAAGATATTTTTACTTCTCGATTTTACACCACTTATAAGACAAGTTGTGGACAATAATTGGACTCAAAGTTAAGGAAGATAGTCTAATTTGAGAATATACAGGGTGTCCCGAAAGTATGCCCCCCCCCCCTGGGCAGACATACACCAATGTCCTCATAGTATGTGTCATATATCATTGTTATGCTTGTCCAGAGTTACATTGATTTGCCAAGTATCATGTTAACAGCAGCAATTATGTCCAGACATGACCTTAAATACATTTCAAAAAGGGGTATGGCATTTTGTAATGCTAATAAAACCTTTTAAAGGCATTTTAGAAGAATTTCCTTGAAGAATCTGCCCTCACTAACCTCTTTTTACAACTCAATATCCATCCTCTCTTTGACGATAGCATCCACATTTTTGGTCACATTGAGGTTAGCGCTGTTTCCAGGATACTGAATTTAACTTAATTTTGGCCAAACACTAAGTTTTGAAATGCCTGTAACTTTTTCCCATTTATGAGTTGAACAATGATACTTTGCAAATCAATGTCACTTTGAATAAGCTTTAAAGTGTTATATGACACATACTATGGGGACATTGGTGTATGCCTGCCTAGGGGGGGGGGCATACTTTCGGGACACCCTGTACATGCGGTTTTATGTTTGGTATATTAACGAAGACGCAATTCACATATTTAGTCCCTCGCTTTTGTTACGTCGACGATCTGTATGAATATTGCCAATGTGACGTTGACGAATACACTTTGTTACGCTGACGAATGAAAAATGTTGATGTTTTGGGTATCGAAAGATCCAGATCTAGGCTCATAGATTTGTGGCATGTGCCCAGGGCATTTGTAAAGCTGAAGCTGAGATAATGAATCAAAATCTTGTAATTATTCTCATAAACTGTATACTATTGTACGACATTTACACATTTAAAAGAAAAATAACAGATAGGACCAAAATCTAGCCGGACAATCCATTCGTTCACTGTCAACGTATTTATAGTCCGCCAGTATAGTTCTGGGTTATATTGTTTACCAATACAGAAAATATGGTCCGGTAAAGACCACACACCCTAAGTTGTATGGTCCCCCGGACCATATATTCAAGGAGACTATATTTACTCTGACACCGGGTGTCCCAAAAATGTGTACTATAATAGAACAGAAATATAACTTTTACCCTTCATTGCAAATAGCTGAAAATAGCTTTTCGCATGAAGAAAAAATTTTAATTTCCAATTAGCAGCTAAAATCATAGAGATTAGTAAATCACTTACCAAGAAATTTGACATTTTAGATGACACGCCCCGACCTGTCGATTGTGATAGCAGGCCCATTGATACCAAGAGCTTGCTCAGCGGTAGCATGGTTGTGTCACGGGGTTAATGCTCACTCAGTATTATCGTGAATTATATCTTCTGACTTATGCATTTCATTTATATATAATATTAGTACTGATGCCCTTTTAGGGCCAAACGTACATCCGATATACAATTTTCAATAACAGTAAATGCTGCTTTCATGCTGCTTAGTACTATGTAATACTGACTTACAATAGTTTTAAGATATACAAGACAAGACAAAAACTATTGTATTACAGGTACCTGTCTGATATTTGACCTGACAGAGCGGTTCCAACAAGGGGGCCAGCTAGGAAGATGGACTGGACAAAGGCAACCATCCATTTTTTGTCGCATACTAGATCCCACTGCAAATACATATACATAGAGTTTCATCATATGAATTTTTATAGCCTCGATCAACAATTTATAACAAGTAATGCTGATATGAAAATTAGTCAGTCAGAAAGGTCAATTAGTCGACTTCACAGACGCATCTGTTCCATTTTTTGCAACATCGAGAAACTTCAATATGGAGAAAAAAGCTTGTGAGAAAAACACACACAGGCATAGCTTCATAATTTTAACCTAAGTATAATGTACACTCCCCTCCATAAGTTTGGCAACCATTACTCCCTCATTGGACTACGTGTTAAAGCCTCTTTATGTTTGAATTCTTATGTACATATCCAGCGTTGAAAATAATTATGAAAAGATGGGAATGAAATTTGACTGCATTTCCAATGCCTCTAAATTTCCCAATTTTTTCTCAATTACAATAGGTCGAAATTTGATGACTTTGATGAATTTTTGAAAATTTTCATTCCCATGTCAATCAATGGGAAATGGTGGGTTCGGGGCAAATCAGATTTTTGGATATCTATTCAATTTTGCTGAACGTGACGCTCATTTTTTATTTAACAACTTTCAACTTGTATGCTTTGCAAGAAGTCTCGATATATTGGATATTCTGTCACATGACTTGCGACAAACCTATCAGTTCCCATTGGTTACATAGTGATCAGATTTGTCAACAATATCCGACCTATTGCTATTGTTGAAAAATTTAGAAAATTGGAGGTATTTGAAATTATGTCAATTTATATTTGAAGCCTTTATAAAGTAGACTTTTCTTTTAAGATTATGGAAATAAAAATTCAAACATAAATAGGCATTAGCATGTCATCTAATGGGGGAGAGTTAGGGTTGCCAAACTTGTGGAGGGGAGTGTGAGTCAACCTATCGAGGCATCGATATCAATGCAATAAATAGTCTGGAAGAAATATAGGGTATTTTGAGGATCAATCGTTTTCTTCGGATTACAATGTTTTTTGAGCTTCTCAGCATGAATATAGGGTTGGGACCTCAAAACCACGGAATGCCGGAGTGGCACCCTTGGGCAACTCTCTACAGAGCATTTCTTATACCCCCCTAATAAAATCTACAGGGGGTACTATAAGACACCTTTATATCTCAGACACTAATAAAGATAAAGGCTTGAAATTTTCAGGAAGTATTTTTAGCATGATGCTCAATCTGCATGGTTAAAAAATCAAGAAAAAATATTAATCTGTTGCTATAGCAACAGTTATAGAACACTATTTGTTACCTTAGAAATGTATTATTTTGTGTGTTTTCATCATTTTCTTCATATTCTTGATTCTTAAACTCTCTGAAGCATAATAAGCATGATTAGAAGTGAAGATCGAATAATTCATCATATCATTTATGAAATATGTCTAATATTTTAGTTGCTATGGCAACACCACTTGATAATCAGGTTCTTACATTTCACTTTCTTGAATGACTATAAAGGTCGGGTCCAAAATAACACTTATGTGTTATGCACTCTAGGTAAAGAAGAGCTCCTTTAGAGGTAAATAGTCACATGAATTTGTAAAAAAAATGTATAACTTGAAGTTGTAGAACCCCTCCCCACAGCCCCCAAAGTTTGACGATTGGTGAAAACTGGCAAAAGAACTTTCATTTCCTAGGTTCAAATTAAAAATGCATAGGGATGCAACACTTATTAGTATTCAAGGAACATCTACTGACTTTTTCTGATATAACAATATGAAGATTTTAATTATTAGACAATGGGAAGTATTTTATTTGAAACATTTTAGAACCCTATCCCATAAAAATGTTGAAAAGAGGGTGCGGTCAATTTTACCATTTTACAGCATTTAAAGTTTGAAATAGATACAAACCAAGGCATTAAAACATCTTCAAATGTTACTTGACATTGATTCATGTATTACTTGTATATAGGACACTAAATTTTATATGTTAATTTTGTATTTAGTGCATTTCCAAGGTAACAAATAGTGTTCTATTACAGTTGCTTTAGCAACGGATAAATTTATATTTTCTTAATTTTTGTCATACGGATCGAACATCATACTAAGAATACTCCCTGCAAATTTCAAGTCAATATCATTATTAGTGTCTGAGATATAAAGGTGTCTCATAGTACCCCATGTAGATTTTATTAGAGGGATATGAGAAATGCTCTGTAGAGAGGTTGGCATAGTATAGACATTGGCATAATGTCTAATAATTATTACAACCATAAGTTTTTATCATCTGAGCAATCAGACTATGACAGTTATCATGAATGAGTACAGTTCTATATCTAAGTTTAATATTTAGTACATGTATGTGTCAACATTAAGTCAACACATAAGCATCACAGCATAGTAGAGAGGTTGGCATATTCTAGACATTGGCATAATGTCTAATTATCACAACCATTATTTTTTCTCATCTGAGCAAAGATTATGATGGTTATCATGAATGAGTACAGTTCTATATGTAAGTTTTATATTTACTACATGTATCATAATGAAATCTAATAATGGTATCATACAGTAGAGAGGTTGGCATAGTCTAGACATTGGCAAAATGTCTAATTACTACAACCATTAGTTTTTCTCACCTGAGCAATCAGACTATGATGGCTATCATGAATGAATACAGTTCTTTATATAAGTTTTATATTTAGTACATGTATCATAATGAAATCTAATGTTATGCAGTAGAGAGGTTGGCATAGTCTCGACATTGCCATAATGTCTAATTATTAAAACCATTAGTTTTTCTCATCTGAGCAATCACAGTATGATGGTTATCATGAATGAGTACAGTTCTATACGTAAGTTTAATATTTAGTACATGTATCATAATGAAATCTAATGAAATATAACCATATAATAGAGAGGTTGGCATAATCTGGACATTGGCATAAAGTCAACACATAAGCAACTCATCTCATTAGCCAGAAGTCGATGGTCATCATGCACAGTTGTATCCTGATATGTTGGGTCAGTCATTTTGGCCGTACGTTTCTTATCCTTTTCTTTTCAATCAGCAGCGTCATATACAATGTGCAAAGCATGGCAAAAATTCTTATTATATAAAACACTTCATTCTCTTCATCTTAACAAATGGCAGTCTTTGTTAAGCTATAAATCAGAGCCAGGTGTTTGAACAGTAGCTAAAAAGATTAATGTAAATCATTAAAGATGATGTCTTCAAATTTTCAAGACTCCTTACAGGCAGTAGTTCTCATCATCTTAATATATACAAGAATCCTTGTAAAATCATGGAGTATCAGAGCCAGGTGGTGGAAAGTATCTAGTGTGAGTGAGTGCGCTCGTGTGAGGTGGCATCTTTGGTATCTTGTGTGTGGAGTAAACCGTTTCTGGCATAATTGGCAAGTTGACGATCTGACCACGAATAATGAGAAGCAAATGTTGGCTGCAACGTCACACCTGTAACTATAAGCGATAGCAAACCTGGTCAGACTTAATGCATATTGCTACTTGGTTGACCATTTGAAAGCCATATTTAGTCGTTTTAAATAATCAACATTTCAAACACCTGGCTCTGAATTGTGAATGATTCTGCTAAATGGGTTGTAAAGGATTCCAATGTCTGAATTGTATGCCAACCTTGCACGTCTCTACTGTATGATTGTATTGGATTTCATTCTGATACTAAAAACATATAATCAACATACGAGGGGTGATCAATAAGTAATGGACGCTTTTTTACACAGATGCTTTTTATAGACCAATCCCTTCGATTTTCTTACCAGTGATACATCATTCAATTATCTATCAACTCTGAAGATTTGAAGACAAAATATATAATACATGTTGATATATCCTAATTTCCGTGGAGGAGGTACGGGTACCCCGGGACCGACATTTACGTCGCATATTCTGAAGCTATTTTAGCTTGTTTAACATGTAATGCAGTTGAATGCAGGCTGAACAAAACAAGCCATTATAGTCATGAAATACTCCATTTTGTTATGCCATAGTTGATTTTGAATATTTTTTCATCACTATGTGGTATTCATGCCACATTCATTCTACAGGGCCCTCTAAATAGGTTCCATCAAGTGCTACATGTACACAATTCCTCATCCTCTTAACTCAAGATTGTGAGACAAGGCTGAATCCATTCTCTGACATGGTAGCAAGATACAGTTGCATGGGTTGTTTTATTTAATTAGTGTTAATAAACCTGCATCCTTTCTCTATAGAAATAAGTAATATAGAAATAAACAATCACATGTGAGCAGATGTGGACAATATAGTGCATTGGTCAAGGGCTCAATTTTGAGGTCCAGGGATATTGTTTTCTGAACATTTTGAGATCAGTGGGCAGGTGCATTGTCCATATGGAGTAGGGTGTTCCCTTCTCTCACCACCCCTTTCTTCCACAATGCTTTCTCAAATTGACCTGCAAACCCCTTCCATACAACACTCTGACATTTACAATACTTTCTGTTTATGTGTCAGTCAGCAAAAAATTTCAAGCAATACAGCACTTCTTGCATATAAAAAGTTCAAACCTAACTCAAATTTACCAAACTGGCTAAAGACTGAATATGTGACGTAAATGTCGGTCCCGGGGTACCTGTACCTCCTACACGGAAATAAGGATATATCAACATGTATTATATATTTTGTCTTCAAATCTTCAGAATTGATAGATAATTGAATGATGTATCACTGGTATGAAAATTAAAGGGATTGGTCAATAAAAAGTATCTGTGTAAAAAAGCGTCCATTACTTATTGATCACCCCTCGTATAAAATTAGTGTCCTATACAGAAGTTATACATGAATCAATGTCAAGTAACATTTGAAGATGTTTTAATGCCTTTGTTTGTATTTATTTCAAACTTTAAATGCTGCAAAATGGTAAAATTGACCACACCCTCTTTTGAACATTTTTATGGATAGGATTCTAAAATGTTTCAAATAAAATACTTCCCATTGTCTAATAATTAAAATCTTCATATTGTTATATCAGAAAAAGTCAGTAGATGTTCTTTGAATATTAATAAGTGTTGCATCCCAATGCATTTTTAATTTGAACCTAGAAAATGAAAATTTTTTGCCAGTTTTCACCAATCGTCAAACTTTGGGGGCTGCGGGGAGGGGTTCTACAACTACAAGTTATACATTTTTTTCAAATTCATGTGACTATTTACCTCTAAAGGAGCTCTCTTTACCTAGAGAGCATAACACATAAGTGTTATTTTAGACCCGACCTTTATACTCATTCAAGAAAGTGAAATGTAAGAAACTGATTATCAAGTGGTGTTGTCATAGCAACTGAAATGTTAGACATATTACATAAATGATATGGTGAATTATTTTATCTTCACTTCTAATCATGCCATATGCTTCAGAGAGTTTAAGAATCAAGAATATGAAGAAAATGATGAAAACACACAAAATAATACATTTCTAAGGTAACAAATAGTGTTCTATAACTGTTGCTATAGCAACGGATTAATATTTTTTCTTGATTTTCGCCATACTGATTAAGCATTATACTAAAAATACTTCCTGAAAATTTCAAGTGTACATCTTTATTAGTGTCTGAGATATAAAGGTGTCTTATAGTACCCCCTGTAAATTTTATAAGGGGGGTATAAGAAATGCTCTGTAGAGAGTTGCCCAAGGGTGCCGCTCCGGCATTCCGTGGTTTTGAGGTCCCAACCCTATATTCATGCTGATAAGTTAAAAAAACATTGTAATCCGAAGAAAACGATTAGCTTTGAACTTTCTGCCAGAATAAAAGTTACTAGTGTTTCTATATAAAATGCTTGCTTTGTGTGAAGAAAATAATTTAAACATTTCAAACATATTATTTGCTTACCTGAGAAACAATAGTAGATAAATATAGAGATTTGTCATAGTACCATTGCTTGCAAGGCGTTAGTCCTACATCTGACCCATTTACATCACCCCAGGCCTCGACCGCTGCCAGTGACAAGTTTGTATAGTCTCGGTTATACATAAGGCATTTTTGATAGCCCCCATTTTCAAGATCCAACGGTATGCTAACATTCCGTATCTTATCAAGCGTTAAATTCAGCGTTGAATTCCAAAGTTCGGGAACGTAGCAATGATGCTCTGGAACCGCGGCCAGGAATACAATATTTACGTTTAGCATACATCCTGCTATCGATAGTGAAGCAAGTATAGTTACAATCCATATTTGATAGGGTCCAATCTCTCCTACATGATCAGTTAATAACTGGTCAAAATTCATTTTTCTGCTTTCTTGAACTATCCACATACACAGTACACGACGAAGGTTGAAAATGTGGTGGTCGCAATTCAAAAGGTTTGACAACGTTAGGTCCCCATGAGTTTGGATCTTCAATTAAACAACCTGCAATTAATATATACCTATGATAAAGGTGGAAATGTTACTTGATTTAATACCCCAATACGTCCATTTTCCTCAATCGTGTCATCACAATCTATGGTCGAAAAATTAGGAAAAAGATGAAATTTTAAAACTCGTCATCGTCATTCCTATGTAAACCACAGGCAAAGGCCGATAGGAATAACTTTTAAATAAAGATGGCATGGTAATCGATCTGTGTTTATTTATAAATACTGTATTCTGTTGGTGCTGCCATCTTTATATCGGCCCAGAACCTATGATGTAAACTAATGCGAAACGGTGGGTTCGAGGCAAAGTTCGCTTCTATGGCATTCATGGCCTAATGGATAAGGCACTGGACTTCTGCACCACTGCTTTTGGCAGTTTGATGGTTTGAATCCCGGTGTAAAAGGGTAGGAGGTCCTATCAAATTATGGTCCTACTCTCCATTGATTTATATGGTGACCTAAATACAACTCTTTCCTTATTATCTCATACACAATCAGGGCCAGTAAGGGCCGTTTAGAAAGGGGGTCATAATCCCCAGGGGACCATAATTTCTTTCATACCAGATCTAACGGACTCAAGCTAACGGAACGGTGATAGGGAATGGAATATTTTCAAAGTTATAAGTACAGGTCATTTTTATTTTCAATTCAATCTAAGAACTTATGTATACACACCGGAATAGCCTGACAACGGTAAAGTGAGATACCGTTGTGACAACGGTAAAGTGAGATACCGTTGTCACAAATGGCGGACATAACCGTCGCTTCAATTAGATTTTCATGAACTGTATGTTTAATAGAGCACCTGGTCTAAATTCCTTTGGAACAACAATCAATCAAAGTGTCTTAATACACATTGTACATTGTTCCTGAGACTAATATACTCTAAAGTCTACCATCGAAATAAAATCTTTAATTTAACCGATCAAAATGAGATACTGGACAACGGACACTGTAATTACCATATGCCTTTGTCTTTCTAAATTATTCAAATTCAGATTCCATTTTCATTGACGATATCGAAGCACCAATATTGTGGCGATTCACGACCCAATTTGATCGAAAATGGATTTCATATGATATATTATCGCAAGAGCTTAATACATGCACAGAATTAACAACGATAAAATCCCATGAAATGAGGACCAGGTGTCCGCCATTTGTGACAACGGTATCTGACTTTACCGTTGTCAGGCTTTTCCGGCGTGATATAGGTCTAGGTACTCTTAGCACTACATGTAGATGTTCTTTGTTGCAAGGCATTTCAATTTGAATTTGAAAGAAATATGTAATCTCAGAGAACCTACGGATGAATTTGGTCTTTTTGAATTTCAGCCCGTTTCATTTTTTTCTATATACCTATCATCTGTCACTTCTATCGTCATTACCTATTCAGTAACTCGCTGTAAATGCACAAGGTCATTTATGAACACGATCCATTATATAGTCAATATTTGTAGTCAATAAAGAATTGCATGTTTCAGAATTTTTCATATCTTTGTATGAACGCTTTGTGTCTATCTCAATGAATTAGGAATGAGGATTTGCCCCTCAAAAAGCTCGTTTTAAAAATATGTTCTTTGAAGATATGTTGGGATTTGCTCTTCAAGTTAGTTCAATATATGATTACTCTTGATTTGGATTCCTTTAAACAAATGTTATATAATAGGGTATGTTAGGCCGAATTTTGCACTCAAAGTAAAAATTGTATGCAAAGTCCAGTAGCTACTTTTTATATAACAAAATAACTATACGTTATTCTGTCAATCTGAGACACAATAATTTTATTATAATCCCTCGCCCTCTGGCATCCCCACTCCACCTCCCCCTCTGGCAGACCCCCCCCCCCCCCCTAACACCCCCTTTGAAAGTGCCGTGAAAGCACCAAATAGCACCTTAAAATTGTAAAATTTTCTTGGGAAATAGGCACTTTTAGGCACAGACACTTTTAAAGTGCCCAAACTTCATCGAATAGCACCTTGATATTGTAAATTTTGATATGGTGGACAAACACTTGCTCCCCCTCTGGCAACCCAGCCCCATCTCCCCCTCTGGCACCCCCCCCCCCCCCCCTTGACACCCCCAAAATTTGAAAAAAATTGTGATTGTTTTTCAATGTTTTTATTGACTAATACACTTTAAAAGTGCCCAGAAGCACCAAATATCATCTTTAAATTGTGAAATTTTCGAGGAGAGTTCGCCACCCCTCACATCCCCCCAAAAACAAAAGAAAATATTCTGAATTTCATGATGTATTGTCTCAGACATTTTTTAAGTGCCCAGACATCATCAAATAGCACCTTGATATGGTCAATGTTTCTGGGGGACAACCCCTTGCTCCCCTACTGGCATCCCACCCCACTTCACCCTCTCATCCTCTTTGACACCCCCAAAAGAATTTGAAAAAAATTCACATTTTTCTTATTGACTCATAACGCACAGGCGCACCAGATGGTTGCAAAATCGCTCCAAATACAACCAAATGCTCGGTTTTTATTCACTCAACTCCTATTCCTGTGGTGGTGGCGTACTACTTGCAAACTAATTAGACTTTGAAAGTGCCCAGAAAGCACCAAATAGCATCTCAAAACTGTAAAATTTTCTAGGGGGAGTGGACCACTCCACACGACCCCCACAAAACAATTGGAACGTTTGGAAGTTGCATTTGTTAATTCCAAACCAATATAGAGAGTAACAGAGCCCCCCCCCCCCCCCATCTGACTTATGCGATTTGATTTACGCGGCAAAAAAATTGACAATTTTATATTCTCTTTGACAGTAAGCTAAAAACCGCACCCCCCCCCCCCCCCCCCCCCCCCTTGGAGAAAAGTGTCTTACGGGCCTGAGACACGTGGCGTCATTGATCAGTTGATATAACGTAGCCATGATATAAAAGTATGTAATACAACAGTTATGTCCGTATCATTGAATATATGCCTTCGGTCTGTCGTAATATAACCCTCGCAAGCTCGGGCTATATTGGTGACAGACCTTAGGCATATATTCAATGATGGGGACATAACTGCTAAGAAAATGATGCCACCTACTGTGTAATTATGTAAACCATAAATGTATTATTTAATTAAAAAAAGAATAAATTGAAATTGAATTGAATTGAATTCGAATTCTGGTCTAGAAAATCACGATTCCGTGGCCTCTCAAGAATGTTGGGATTTTCAAGATGGCACCATGTTCAAAACTAGCGAAACGTCCTACAGGTCATATTATATTTTTGGTCCCCATGTAGGTCGCAGATGTAGATCGCAGAGATTCCCAAGACATCCCATCCCAAGACAACTCATCCCAGTACATCTCATCCCAAGACAACTCATCCCAAAGACAACGCTTCCCAACTTGAAATATAACATAATTTAAAAAGCCACGTAAGATATGGCAAGTACTTTTCTAAGGGCCATATCTTTAATTCGAAGAATACTTTAACCACAAAAACAAATGGTTCTGTTGCATGGATGATAATCAAGTTGATTAGATTATCTCTTAGGCTGTCCCACCCATCCTCGCCAATTTTACCTAATTCTGAAAAATGCAGGCCTTTTTAATAATAGTGCAAAGTTGTATTGAACTTTTAGACATAATTTAAACTGTAAAGGGGAAAAGTTAATTGTGAACCTACCTTTTGGTAATATTTTCGTTCCCCCATTGAAATACGTGTTAAAGCCTCTTAACCTTTGAATTTTTATTTAGTTAACCTGCGAAGAAAAAAACTTATACTATTGATGGAAACGTACAGGGTGTTCAAAAAAAACGCAACCCGAAGAAATCGCTATATCTTGGAAAATACTTGTTCAATTATGTTCATATTTTCAGGAAATAAAGAAGAGACTGTGTATGTACAGTTCCTGTAAATGGTTAGTTGTTAAACATGATGCCTTGGACACCTGATCAAAAGACAGTTGTACTAGGAAAATACAAAAAACGCAGTCAGGGGTGACTGCAACCGCAAAAAAATTAAATAACTTCCTAACCATAGTGTTTTGGCTCTTCAAATTTGGCACAAATCATCTTCATTCACTGTATGGTAAATCTGTAGAGTGAAATCAAAATCATTTCAGGGACTTTACAGTGATGGTTGAAATGCTTTCAAATCACAGTCAAACACCCTGGTTCGGGGAGACTTTAGGAGCCACTTTGACCATGACTGTAAAGTCCCTGGAGTGATTTTGATGAAACTCCACAAATTCACCACACATTAAATAAGGATAATTTGTGCCAAATCTGAAGTGCCAAAACACTATGGTGAGAAAGTTATTTGGTTTTATTACTGTGGCAGTCACCTCTGACTTGAGCAGGTGTCCAAGGCATTATGTTTTACAACTTACTGACAACAGGAGCTATACATACACAGTCTCTTCTTTCTTTTCCTGAAAAAATGAACATATTTGATTTATTATTTTCAAAGATATAGTGATTTTCCATTCACGTTTTTCGTATTTTGCTAGTACAACTGTCTTTTGAGCAGGTGTCCAAGCTATCATGTTTTACAACTAACTAACAACAGGGGCTAGACATACATAGTCTCCTCTTTCTTTCCTGAAAATATGAACATAATTGGATCAGTATTTTCCAAGATATAGCGATTTCTTTGGGTTGCGTTTTTTTAACACCCTGTAGTTTGAATTCATTTCAATACCTCCAAATTTTCTCAAATGTCCTCAGTTACAAAAGGTCGAAAATTGATGATAAATTCGATGAATTTTTGAAAATCGACATTCCCATGTTAACCAATGGGAAATGGTAGGTTTGCCACAAGTCATATGACAGAATATCCATCACTCCGAGTCCTTGCAAAAATACAAGTAATGCAGACAATGGAATTTGCTAAATTTATTTAACAAAAAATGATACCTTTCT